TTCTGTTCCTTACTAGCAATATATTCTTTTAATATATGTATTTGGTTCTTAATTAAATCGAGGAAGATTTATATTAAAATTTCTCTAGTAAAATTATTAAAGGAATATTTTAGTACGCGACACTGGTTTAAGAATATATTGTATCATCGTTTTAACGATATCTTCGGTGATTTCTAAAAATTGCTCGAGCGCGTTCTTTTACAGCTACCGCCGGACATATGTAATATGTGTAAATTTGCATTATGTAATGACTGATGTTACAGCGCTTATACAGAAGCGGGCATATAAGAGCTTAAAACCTCTGAAAATTAGGTCAATACCAACATTTTCAGATTGAAAAAAAGAAACTGCAGAAAAAAGAATATATTTATATTTTCTTTAATTTTGGGTGTTTATTTAGTAGGATATACAGGGTGTTTCACATCTCTCGTAGGGAGATTCCTTACGTAAAAAGTCCGATTCCGCTTTGTTTCGTAGCTACAGGGTGTTAACGTCTTAATAATCTTTCGATTTATTATAATTTTCTTCCAAGTACTTTTTATTAATCACAATTAACAAATAAATATAAACACTTAAAAATAAATTATCTCCCTTTTACCTAATTTATCGTATATACCTATTTTAGTTTTTTTTTGACTCTGATGAAAAGTTTTTTTAAAAATAAGTGGTTTGCGATCGTGATTTTACTCTACTAGATAGAGAAAGGCGTGCTGGAGAAATGTGGCAACGCCGCAACAGAACACCGTCGCATTTCTCTCACTCCGACTTAATAAGATCCCTATGTGATTTACTTCCACACATATAAATACCGATCCAAAAGTAAGAGTTGCCCGCATGGTATACACTTACAATACCGCCGGCTGTTGTTTAACCCAGTGTATATTTTAAAAGTTTATGATAAATTTATCTTCAATCATGCGAAAATATTCAAAAATTTTCGTAGTTCATAGAATAAAACGAGCAATAATCTATCAAAAACCTGTTCTTACGTAATGATTCATGACTTTTCAAACTCATTACTTTAAAGGTGAGAAAAAACACGGCAATCTTCGATTAAGCCTGGCCGCGTAAAATGGCAGAATAAATGACGAACGATAAGAATAATTATCGATAATTTTGTCGCGTTATTTTCTTGAAATATTACATTACACGTCGAGTCGACGAATCAATCATTAATTTTTCTGAACCTTGAAGACAACACTTAAACGGAGTCAAAGTTCAAAAATTTTCCAATAAATTGTCAATAAAATACAAGTATGTACTTACTAAGGCATATAACATTTATGTAAATGTCTATTACAAGGTTCTTTAATGAAAAAAAAACACTAATTGAGTTTAGAGTGCTTTATGGATATGTGAATATAATTATTATTAAAAGTAACTAAAGTAAATCTGCATAAATATAAAATTTTAATACGTTTCAATAATTTTCGATTTTTTTGTAGAAAATAGAGATTTAAATTTTTGTCCCGATTTTTTAAACGTCTTGACCACTGTGCAATTCAAATTATTCAAATTTTGAAAAAAGTTGAAATAATAAGTTACTCTCATTATAACTAACCAACCAAAATATTTATAATGAGTCAACTTGATCAATGATACACCTGATCAATATTATAATATATACATATCTCGTTATTTTTCATTTTATTTCTTTCCATATTAAAATAGCGATTTTAATTTTTGTCCCGATTTTTTACGTGTCTTGACCACTGTCTAATTCAAAATTCTTCAAATTTTGAAAGTAGGTGAAATAATCATTTCTTTTCATTAAAATTAAACGAATAAAATATTTTTAAGTCAGTAGCTTGTCGTAAAACTCTACCAGCTAAATTTATTTCTGTACCTACTTCAGAAATTTGATACTATTAGACACCTGGAAAAGCACTTTTATGAAATGTATTATATCTTAATATTTAGTGCTCGTGTCTGTAACAGTATCTAATATTATTATATGACCTTTGGAGACATATTTTTCAAAAAACGATTAGGCATTTGAACCATTAATAAGTAATAATTCTATTATAGCATAACCAGCCTATTTAATGATTTCTATGACCTTCTTGCTAAAGGCGTATTTTTGGCCATAAAAGTTTAGTTTAATACGCCTTTACATCAGGTAAAGTTTAAAGTTTATTACACCTTTTCTGTGAAAAGGTATTTGAACAAAGTGTTTCAGTACAGTGAAGGATTATATATTTTATATGGTATGTTTAATAAGATGGTGCTTCGTTCTATATTGCTATTTTCTGTATTTATTTTTTTTTGGTAAATACTGTCTATAATTTTTTGGATAATCTACCTATCGGCTTAAAGAAAAATTTGAAAAATGACTAAAAGATTATTTGAGGTTTTATATAAACATAATGTTATTTTTTTGTGATATTTTCTTGTGTTTTTATTTTTAGAAATATCTCCATAGTTACCTGTTTAGTAGCTATGTCATATTGCTCATTTATTTTAAATAAAATAAATAATTTGAACGAAAATTTGGTTATCTCAAACATATATGTATTTTTTTTAAAAGCTTTTTATTTTTCCTTTATGCCTAAATTCATTTATGACATGTTTGTGAATAAATTATTTTAAAAATTTGTTGTTCTTGAAAAAAATGTTAGTACATAATTAAACTGTGTTTGAAAGGAGCCAACTAGATTTTTTTTGTAAAAGAAATTTCTTGGTTCCTTTGGTAAATTTCTAAGCGTAATTATTTATACAGGGTGAGTCTTTAACAAGCATATTTCGACCCTAGAAATATGAAGTTTTTTTCGCCAGAAAAAAATTGGAAATTTTGTATTTTTCGAGTTTTTTGGACTTGCTCAGTTGACTTTACTGGTGTAAACACACCTTTAATGCATTTTTTTTTAATATGTAATAATTTTTTTTTGTTTTAGTTTAAACCAGTCGGGTAATTTTTTCAAAAAAAATTGGCGCCGGCAGGCACGTATGGCCGCCCATACTAAAATATGTTAATATCTCGAAAACTGCGACTTTGACAGATTTTGATGTTATTATAAACTAGGTTTTTCCCGCGACTACGTTCGCGTTACACCTCGAATAGTTCATGCATTGATTTAAATGATTTTCTTTGTATATAGAGCTAGTGAGCCTGACAAATGCCCTATTTAAACTATGTTTTTAAGAGTTTTAGAGCTACTCGTATTTCATATGAAAGTTATCAATTGTCGATTTTCTGGGTATTATACAGGGCAAGTTTTGAATAAGTGCAAATATTTTCAGGGCTGGTAGATCTCGATAAAAAAACATATTTTCTCTTTACCGTTTTTCAAATAATTCTTTCGAATTACTTTAAAAATTTCCAAAAAAAATATTTTTTGCTTAAATTTTGAGAACCACTGCAGCTTTTCGGGTTTTTTGTCTTGTAAATTTAATCTACTACCTATCTATGTTGCCATATTATCAAGAAATCATGGGTTTTAACTAAAAACTAAAAAAAATCCAAAAGGTTTTTCAAAAAATTCCAAATTTTCAAAAAAAAATTCGCGAAAAAACTCATAGTCGTGTTTCTGGGGTCAAATATACCTACTAAATAAAAAATGAATTTCAAAAATCTCTTCTAATTCTTTTTGTAGGATTTCATTCTTCTAGACCACATAGTAAGGAATTTTCATACAACAAATTGTTCCGACATAATTTTACTCTCTAAGAGGATGAATTTCCTAAAATCGCTTTGTGTAGCTAATTCACTAATGTCGTTTAAACGAACCTTTGTTCTAATATTTATGTATCTAAAGCTGGCTGTATGAACTGATCCCTAAAATATCTAAAAATTTGATATATAATCTAACTGACAAACCACTGACAATGACAAATAATTTATTTCTGGAGGTATTGTGTGTAGGTGTTTTTTAGGTATGTTTTATTATTTTAGTCAATTTACACAAAGATATAGCCATTCAACAATTTATAAATACTTCATAACAAATCTAGACCTTTCATTTAAAAAAAGAATCATCAAGATTGGTAAAGCAGTTTCGGCGGGATGGATGTAACAAAAAAAACATATATAAAGCTCAAAAGCCCTTTGAGCTTTTATATATGTATGGATTTTGTTTCAAATATTATTCCTAATCTTAATTTGAAAGCCGCATTTCGCTAGCTACTGTAATTTTGGAGTTACGATTTTTTAAAATTTTTAACCCCCCTCTATACCCCCTTACCAACCTCCCACCCCCACCAAAAACTAATGGCCAGATTCTCGGGTGCCACAGTATTTTTGTGCCAAATTTGGTTAAAATCGGTTCAGCGATTTTTGAGTTATCGTGTTACAGACGGCAGACAGACAGACAGACACCACGAAAATATTTTGTATTTAGGTCATTTATGACCCAAATAACTCATTTTGAGTGAAATTAAAAAAACTTTTGAATAAGTTGAATCTTAATATCAAATAAATTTGTTAAACATTTTCTTAAGAATCTATTACGCTGTACTGTTCGGGTTGCTCTCATTGGTCGGGTAAAGCGTGTGTGGCCGAAAGATATAATATATATTATATTTCAGAATTTTTTCTAAGGCTTAACACAATCCTGTCGTGTTAAGCCACAACCAAAATTCCAAACACACGTGCCTTGATTAAGGTTTGCAGAGCTTCAGCATTTGCCATAAAATAGCGAGCAATTTGTTACAAAACCATATAAATTATATATCACTGTAATGACAAAACTTCAATCTATTTCCGTATTGTAACTGAATTTTAAATTATGTCTTTATTTTCGAGAAAATTTAATCCAAACGTAAGGAATATTTTGTTGAAGTTTGACCATCAAAATCTTAAAAATAAAGAAGTTATCTAAAAATGTGCTACAATATGGATATACTATAATCCTTTATCTTTAATTTCATTCTTCATTTGTGTAAAAATACCTAGCCAATTTTACATAAAACGTTAAATGCCGAACGCTTATTTTGCTACTTTTTCGGACTAGTTAAATGGACTCTTAATGGTATACTTTTTTAAAAAAATATTTTTTTTTCAGATAAAAAATGACGGAGGGCTCTTCTGATTTGGAGCTGCGTAGAAGACAGCTCAAGTCACAACAATCGACTCTACAAACTAGAAAACAAAATGCCGTATGTGTTCGTAGGGCATACAAAAGATATGGTACCAAGAGCCATCCCTATGTCATTTTGGATGGGTTAAATATGACTGTACCAAAAGGTTGTATGTAAGTACTTATAGAATAGGAAAATACATCAGTGTTATCAAAAATTTGCAAGATCAATCAAGCTTAGAATTATACCAGATAATAATTATAATTATTATTACAGAAAATACACCCCTTAATTTTAATATTCGAAATTATGTAAATATTTACCCTCTTTTTAAATTAAAATTAAAATCTCCAATCTGTATTATACGAGGTAAAACAAAACGTTGTTATATTGGCGAAAGTTTAAAACACCCTGTGGAATGGTTTAACAAGGTAAGGCATTTAAAAACCATTTTATCGCCAAGATGCATCTTTTCTCGATAATTTGTTTCTTGGTTCATCTCGATAACTCTATTTTTGTTGGAGATATTCGATTTTGAAGACGAGATTAACAACAATTTTAGCATTAAAAGCTTGCCTTTGCTTTTGGTCCATATCAACACACTTATGACATAGTGTTTATTGTTTTTCTAATGTTACTGTCATTGAAAAGTCATATTGTTATTGTTTGTTGAAAGTTACTCTATAAATAATTGATCTCCACCATGTTCAGTTAAAGCAACAATAGTGGTTTAACTATACAGGGTGGTCCGAATTGTATTCCGAAAACTTTGGCAGCATATTGTGCAGATAAAAATAAGTAAAAAAGTTCGTATAAATGTATGTCCTAAAATGTTTAGTTTCGGAAATACAGGGTGTAGAAGTTTCATTTTTATTTTGATTTTTTCCAAATAATTTATGAAGTAACATCAATATTTCGATGAAAATTAGTATCTGGGAGTTTTTTGACATGAGAAATTTTATTTTGATGTCAATATGACTCCTACTAGTAGAGGGCGCCACCTACATATTTTTTAACTGGTTTGAAGGGTAATAACTTTTCGTCCGTACCTGTATAAAACTACTGAGTAAAAAAATATACATTTGCGACGTTTTTTACGTAAAAAATGTCTCTTGGTAAAAATCGCTATGAGTATTGGTTTTTGAGGTATTTGGAATCGAAATTATCATTACCTGTCATCATTGACATAAATTAACCATGATGACTAAATAGTTATTAGACAGAGATCATAAATTTGAAAGTTTTTGTGCTAAAAGTTCAACAGAAACTGTTTTATCATCATTTTTTTGCAGAAAAAATTATGAGAATTTGTTATTTCAGTGAAATAACTATCTACTCAACGTGATTATTTTTCGTCAATAATGACATGTATTGACTATTTCCATTCTAAATATCTTGAGAACGGTTGCTCGTAGCGATTTTTACAAAGAGATATTTTTTACGTAAAAAGTCATAGTAATGTATATTTTTTCCCTCAATAGTTTTATACAGATACGGACAAAAATGTATTACGCTTCAAAACAGTTAAAATACATGTAAGTGGCGCCCTCTACCAATAGGAGTCATATTGACATCAAAATCAAATTTCTCATGTCAAAAAACTCCTAGACACTTATTTTCATCCAACTCTTGACGTTACTTCAGAAATTATTTGGCAAAAATCAAAATAAAAATGAAACTTCTACACCCTGTATCTCTGAAACTAAGTATTTTAGAACATAGATTTATACGACCTTTTTTAATTATTTTTATCTTCAGAATATGCTGCCGAAGTTTCCGGAATACAATTCGGACCACCCTATATAATGATTCTTTGAAATCTAAAACAAGAGCCTAGTAGGTACATTCAAAAAGCAATATTAAGTCGCTTATTTTAAAATGGTTTAGCTTTCATTCATTTTATTTTATTGAGGGACAAAAATGGTTCTATTGTGTACTAAAATCATCTAAAATGATATTTTTTTAGAGATATGTGATTATTTAAAAGATTATAATTAGTCGTGATCATAGATTTAGTAAGAACAGATATCACATTAGACATTTTAACCCGATCAAACAATCGGAGGTTGACTACGTACTGTAAAAATCAACTGAGATAGAGAAGGCGACATTGCCGCATCTCAAATTTGCGCCTATCTCCTCAGTTTGATTTGCAGAAAAGGTGACTTTAAAACCTTCACCGGATATCAATAAATCTCAATTTCTTAATTAAATTAATAGTTTATTTTTAAAGAAGCATGCGTAATAATATGTTATTAACCAGAAGATATATGCGTTACTATTAAAGGACATGTTTACTGTTTAATGTGCTGAAACGTCTAGAACTATTGGCAACGTCGCTGCTAGTCTTCCAGAATGAAATGAGCCGTCCGTCCCACCACCCCTCGCGACGGCCCTTGGTCCGTTATAGCGTACTACGTTTAGCTTGCGGTGTGTTTGAAGTCGGAATCAAGACGAAAGTGAACTTTAAGTGTTTTTCGGTGGTTTTTGTTTTTGTTTAACGTACTTTTGAATCTGCGAATTCAGTATGGTACGACAGTGTCAAGTGTGTGGAAAAATAAGCTCAAATTACCCGAATTTGTCTTTTCACAGGTGGGTATTGTTTTCGTCATTGTACATAGGCGTCCCACAAGGGAGCCTCTCACAATCAAAATAATTTCTAATTATATTTGTAATAATTAATCTATTAAAACAAGAACGTAGTAGCCAGTAATTGAATTATAATTCGTCCCAATGACTGTTGTAGATCATAACAAATTTGAATATAAACGTTGCATTTGAAATTATATTATAAGCCAGAAAGTGACATTTTTTTCTTAAAATTGCGTCATTTCTAGTCATTATATACGATATTCTAAAGGAATTTTGCTCAACAAATAAACAAACGTGTTACCCGACCTTTTTTACATTTTATTGCTTTATTATATCTGCCCCTTCGGCCTTGTTTAAACAAGTCTGTTGAACTTAATGCAGAGAATAAGCATATATGTAGGGGTTAGGCCTTAATAATTTTTTGCTTCTTGTATTTTGTTTATTTATACATACCCTACTAAGTTTGAGCTCCATCTACGGTAACGTAGATGAAGCAAACGTAATTCATTATTATGCGACAGAAATCCCATACTGTAGCACACATGTTTGATACTTTTAATGAATCAATTTTCAATTTTCTCATTAAATATTGATTTTAGGTATAGGAAGTTATTAATAATACAAGATTAAACAACTATTACACAGTACTTGGCAGGAAGCTATCGATTGCGAACTAAATCGTTACTAATTACTAATTTTGAAGTTCTTTTTAAGATCAAAAATGGTAAAACTAAAACCTAAACTATCATTCGAAATAATGTTGCCTATTCTAAACAAGAAAAATTTATTTATAAGTTTTATAACATCTCTAATTAAATTTGGACGCAAAGAATATTTCTGTTTGCTGTAGGTAATTTTCTCAGGGAAAATACGAAAATAAAAATGACTTTTTAAGTCAAAAAAAGTCAAAAGGACAAGTTATTCCAAAAAAGGACTGTCCTTTTCAAAAAAGGACAGGTGGCAACCCTAGGTATTTCTGGAATGGAAATTTAATGGCAAATCTACAACTTTAGTTTGAAAATATGTTCCGGCCACCTATGTTTACAAAAATGTCTAAAATGTGCTTTACCATTGCCTCCATATTCTGAAAAAAAATTGAAAGAAATATCACCAACCACAAACCTAATATAGAACTGTTTCGGAAGCCTGAGTCACCCTGTGAATATTCAAACGTAACTGAAAGTTTATATAGAACTAACAGAAAGTTTAAATTGAAAATCGACGTTGGAGCGATTTTCGAAAACCACCTACTAACGTTTCAACATAGGTATATGTGGGATATTAATTATAGTATTATATTAGACCTTATAACAAAACTCATCTGACGAAAAAGTGTTAATATAGTATATCAATATGGAGTATAAATTTTACTAATTAATTTACTTTTTACTTTACTAATTAAATGCTTTCCAAAAAACGATACGCCACTGGCCATTAGAACAATCGAAATGCTCCTAGTTGCCGGGGTCGGAAATTTTAGACTTCTCTGTCTCTTCTGTCCTTGTTTGATACATTGGAATGTTTGATACACTACCAACGAGTATTTATGAATGAGATGTTCGGTCTATCTTTATAATGTCTTTGGTCGTGATCATAATAATACGTGTAAAAATCCTTTATTTGATTCGACTGAAGGTTATTCTTATTTGTTACAGATATGGACTGTTGGGGGCCAGTGGATGTGGAAAAACCACCCTTCTCAACTGTATAGTAGGAAGAAAAAGACTGAATTCGGGGGAAATATGGGTACTAGGGGGGAAACCAGGTTCCAGGGGCAGTGGGGTGCCTGGGCCCAGAGTTGGATACATGCCCCAGGTCAGTTTTTTTTTACTTTCTTAAAACAACTTTGAGTTTAAAGAATAGATAAAAAACATATAGCATGAGAATAATAACCTAAATAATTACAAAAAGAATTATTACTCATTACCCCATCTAAAATTATTCCCATCGTATTGATTATTTCGATTTCAAATATCTCGAGAACCATTACTCATAGCGATTTTTACCAAGCGATATTTATTACGTAAAAAATGGCGAGAATGTATATTTTTTTACTCGTTAGTTTTATACAGGTACGGACGAAAAGTTATTACTCTTCAAAACCGGTTAAAAATGTGTAGGTGGCGCTTCCTACAAGTAGGAGTCCTTCTGTACATCGAAATCAAATTTCCCATGTCAAAGACTCCTCAGATACCAATTATCATCAGAATATCGATGTTAGTTCACAAATTATTTGGAAAAAATCGGAATAAAAATGAATCTACTTCACCCTGTATTTCCGAAACAAAACATTTTAGGACATACATTTAAACGAACTTTCTTACTTATTTTTATCTACAGAATATTCTGCCGAATTCGGACCATCCTGTATGTCCATTTTTATAGTTAAATTTCATATAAACGATTTTTGTGGTTGAATTAAGCAATGTTTCTTTCAGTGATAAATATTGGAAAAAAGGTCTAAGTACAATATCCCCGTGTTTTAGAAATTTTGTCGTAAACAATTTATATAAACTACCAATTAAATAAATTTATTATTATTAGCTAGGTATATTGTTCCTAGGAACGAAACAGAATGATGCTTCATTTTGAAAGAACGCAAATAACAAAACCTGTTTTTGGTGAGGAAAATTTGGCCATTAAAGAACGCAAATATGAAATAAACTTGACATTGTTTCCACTTTTAATAAAAAGAAAGAAGACATAAAAACATATCTTGTTTACATATCTGTCTCCTAAATGAAGTTAAATATGGGATGGTCGAGGTCTTAAAATCCAAATTTGCTAACAAAATATCCTTGGTTATTCAAAAGAATGTCCTCTTGAGTTAGAACTCACAGAAAGAGAAAACAGTTTTTTAGTGAAAAACGTTTTTGACTAAACCTGTTGTCATGTGATCCTTTAAGGTAAATGAAGGTTGATTCTCACTATACCTTCCGTTTCCATTCCATATCCATTCCATATCCGTTCCGTATTTTTTTATTGTATTGACGCTATACACTATCGGACAAAAGTAGAGCAACACTTCGAGAAATATTTGCAAATCGCGATTTTTTAATTATACATGCATGATAATGTATACAAATACAATAAATTTAAAAACTACGAAGTAGGCTATGAGTATACAGACAGCAAGAATTTTTACTAACAAAACAAATGAATTTATTTTGACGTTTAGTTTTAAATGCTTAATAGCAACGCGTCAAAAGTAGAGCAACATTCAGATAATTCATTCCAAAGAAGGGTTTTAGCAAAAGTAAAGGGCAAAATAATCGTGCGACATTTATTTTATGTTTTTTAAACATTTCTATGCTGTATTAGTCATGCCAAGAGGAATTCCAATTTCAAAAGACTTGAAGCAAAGAGTTGTGAATGCATTCATGGAAGGTAACAAATAAGCCGATATTTCAAGACAGTTTGTGTTACCCCGGTACAGTGTATCTAAAATAATTTCATCGTATAATGACAGGGAACACTTAGAAAAGTTGCCAAAATCGGGAAGGCCAAAGAAAACAACAGTAATGACCGACAGACGCACCAAAAGAATTGCTCAAAATGATCCTTGGAAGTCCGCACCTAGAATTATTGCCGAAATTCCAGAAATTACGGTTGGTATACGAACAGTACAAAGAAGATTAGTAGATGCAAAGTTATTTAGTAGACGTCCAGCTAAAAAGGCGTTAGTTTCGGAAAGAAATAGAGCATCAAGGTTGGCATTCGCAGGTCGGCATTTAAACTGGACCGTCAATGACTGGAAAAAAGTTCTGTTCAGTGATGAAACGCGCTACAAAATATTCAATTCTGATGGAATGAGACGTGTGAGGCGACCAAGGTTCAATAGGTTTACAAGGTTTAATCCTAAATACGTAACACCTACAATTAAACACGGTAAAGGCAGTGTATTTTTATGGGGTTGTTTCTCATGGAATGGGATAGACCCTATATACTTTATTAGTATGCAGAATGTTATGCTTCCTTATGCAGAATGGGAAATGCCACTGCGTTTTATTCTCCAACAGGACAACGATCCAAGACACTCTTCACAAGTTGTTCAACAGTGATTTAGGGAAAATGACGTTCGAGTTTTGCAATGGCCAGCACAATCCCCAGACCTTAACCCCATTGAAAATCTCTGGGAAGAAGTAGAACGTCGTATTCGTACCCAAATATTTCCAAATAAACAATCCTTGATAGATAGGCTAACCTAATTAGTTAATGCCTTTGGTAAATCCTAGGTTTAGCGCGCTTATCCTAGGTTTTACCGCATTTTGGACATTTACAGTAGCAAAATAAACACACTAAACCAGCACAATACACCAAAACACTTTTACTTTTACACTGGACGCGCGTTTCGCTAACCATGTTAGCATCATCAGCAGATGATTATAAACTAAAGTACAATCTACAAGTTGAGCGTTTATAAACTCGCTCAGTGGGCACCGAGTGGGCGTGGCAAAATCTAGCCAACCGAGTCAGAGCCAACTGAGCGTAACAGTTAGATTTCCGCTTCTAGAGTAGTAGGAACAAAGAACTTGAAGGAATTGGACCGTTGACTCTGTTCATACTATCTTTACATTTATTAATTCTGATGCTTTCATATGCATCTAATTGCCTGTAATTTGAGACTTGTTTAATTAATTTTAAATTATTAAGATCTATACAATGTTCTTTATCAACAATATGTTCGGCAACGCAAGATTTATCCGGTTTACCATATCTTATCTGAGCTAAATGTTCTTTAAATCTAGTTAATATTGATTTTCTAGTTTGCCCAACATATTTCTGATTACAATCTTTACAAGAAATTTCATAAATACCCGACCTTTCCAGTGGAGGTGTTTTATCCTTTGGATTACCTAATAATTGTTGTAATTTATTATTAGCACTATACACAAGTTTATAATTTACATTCTTCAAAATTCCTTTTAGACCACGGGATAACTCTCTATCAAACGGCATCGAAAAATATTTAGACGTGTCTTTCTCCACTTGAAAAGTCGAATTTTCAGAAATCATTAACCTATACCTACGTTTTCTAATTAATTTATCAACTAGTGAAGGAGAATATCCATTACACTCAGCTACATTCCTAATGTAATCTCTTTCTATTTCATATCTTTCTTTGGAAAGTGGGAAACTAAGTTATCTATGAACTAGGAAATTTAAACTAGCCATTTTATGTTCAACACTATGATGTGATTCATTAGGAATATATCTGCGTGTGGTCGTATTTTTCCTATAGATATTAAATTCCAGGCAATTATTAATATTTCTAATAACTCATACATCTAGAAATGGTAATCTGTCGTTGTTCTCAATTTCATGCGTAAATTTAATGGAAGGAAAACGATTATTAACTTAGAAATAAAATTATCTATAGTGTCTGAATGTGTGTCAAAAACAGCAAAAATATCATCCACATACCTAAACCATACTCTTGGAAAATACCCAAACTGATTCTTAGCCTCCACTTCAAACCTGCTCATGAATAAATTAGCCAAAAATGGAGACAATGGATTACCCATTTCTGTACCTTCCCGCTGTTCAAAAAAGTTGTTATTAAATTGAAAACAATTTTGTTTCATACATAACGATGTAAGCTCAATATATTCACTCACAGTTTTGTTGTCGAGACCATTTGCGTTCAGTAATTCCTTTAAGTAGCCTAAAGTATGTGGAATTGGAACACTTGGGAACAACGAAGATACATCAAAGGAGACCAAAATTTCACCTTCATGCAATGTTATATCTTTAATTTTGTTAATGAATTCAATATTATTTTTAACTGAGAAAGAAGGTTCATGATCAGGTAAATTTTCGAACTTTTTTTTTTAGTTTATAATCATCTGCTGATGATGCTAACATGGTTAGCGAAACGCGCGTCCAGTGTAAAAGTAAAAGTGTTTTGGTGTATTGTGGTGATTTAGTGTTTTTATTTTGCTGTGTAACACCAAAGGTTCCAACCCTCAACTGTAATTTACAGTAGCATATATAAAACAACTCCAGAGTTCCCAAATGGCAAAGGAGTATGACAGGACACGGAATATCCCCAAAGCTGTTTACAGCAACACTAGCAGAAATCTTCCGTCAACTGGACTGAACCAACAAAGGATTAAAAATAGATGAAGACTATTTTAACCATCTAAGATTCGCTGATGACATACTCCTAATAGAAAATGGTTCTGAAGAACTACAAACACAAATTAACGAACTAAATACAGCCAGCAATAAAGTAGGTTTAAAAATGAAATAAACAAAAACTAAAGTAATGTAAAACGAACTAGTAGACAGAAAAGACATTCTAATAAATAACCCAAAACTGAAAATAGTAGAAGAATACATATATTTGGGACAAATAATACACAGCTCGGGATCTCTACTACCAGAAATCAACCGAAGAATTAAGTTGGAGTACTGATGGAAGCATGGAGTACTGATCTGGAAGAAACTCAATCATCTTCAAATCTAGACTGCTACTTTATCGAAAAAAGAAAACATTCGACCAATGTCTACTACCAGTCATGACCTAATATAATAAGTAATAATTAATTATTTTTTCAAAGAATCATTATGTCTGGGTTTATTACCTACCTACTTTTAGGAATAAAATGGGGATTCTATGTGAATCATTTAAATTTTCGTTAAATTGCTTTTTTAAGAAGGATGTTATAATATAAATTAATATGGGGTTTGCTGGTCACCTATTGTACCATTATACCGTATGATCGAAAAAAAAACGGTGTTGAAGACGACTGGGGTCGATCAATGACAATCGATGATAATTTTGGCAAGGTCAATCTCTAGACGTCATTTACTAAAAATTGACAAAAATTAACACCATTTTTCGCAGATTTTGAACTACAATATTCAAAAATAGTTTTATTGAATATAAAAATAAATTACAACCTTCAGTAAATGCCATTCAAAAAGCCTAAGGCTTGACCTCGTCAAAATTACCATCGATTGTCATTCCCCAGGCGACTTTGGCGCCGTTTTTTTCATATTGTATGATTCACGTTACAAATTTGTTTTTGATTGCAGGAAATTGCGTTGTATGGAGAATTCACCATCAGAGAAACTCTTAGGTATTTTGGTTGGTTATCTGGGAAAACTACCCAAGAAATAGAGACTAAACTGGAGTTTCTGGTCAATTTTCTCATGCTTCCTGATGCTGAAAGGTAAGTAAACACTGGAAATCCATAGTGCAAAAATTAGTTTTCAACTATAATTTATTAGAAAATTTGCATTATTCATTATAATTTTTTTCATTTACATAGTTACTAAGTTTATAATGGTATATTTATTGTAATCAAAGAAACTTTGAAACCCTTAATATGTTTACATCCTTATTTATAGTCTTATAATACGCGAATAAAGGTTGTGTTTTTATTTTTCCTATTAATTTTTCGAATTGTTGTTTCCGTACTAATTGGATTATACAGGGTGAATCAACGATAGAGTTTTTGTGTTTATTATTTTATTTCATTTCGAAAATTATGAAAAGATCTTAAATAGAAAAGTTTTAGAGAAAGATAAGAATCATAATTTATAATTATCTTCGAGTATACAGGGTGCTTCAAAAAAATATGGCGGATATTACATGTTTTTTTAAATATAACATCCTATTTTTTAATCTATTTTTAGATCCTGCATAAATCTTTTTAATTTCTATTATTTTTATAATAATAATTTATAATAAAACTAGTATATTTTGTAATTTTTGGGGAAAAAATAAAACTCAGTAATAGTAATTTTTAACTCTATGGTAGTAGTATGCCAATAGATTTGTAATAGACATCTGTCATTATTGTCAACGATAATTGAGCTATACCAAAGAATATACCTAGCTAGAAAAAGAATGGACTCTGCCATACTGAAAAATGGTCCTACAGAAGTGGCGCCATCTATTGAGTAGGGCTTGTTTTAAATGGACCGAAGCGCGGGCTTTTTAAATGAGCGTATTTATTCAATTTTACTCTAAAATTATTAAATTTGATTATTAAATCTTATTTTTACACAAATTCAACAATACTAATAACAAGTATCGTTGTGATGTGTAAAAAATAAGATTTAACAGTATAATTTATACAATTATTAAATAAAATTAAAGCCAAACATGTGAAAAATTATTTATTATTTAAAGTTTTTATTTATAAGTCAAATATTTAAACATCGTTAATTATAATAAAACAAGACCAACGTAATACGCCCAAAGTTTTGTAAATGGAGTAAATATAAATAGGTACTTAAATGATGGCAAAAATAAAAGACTTACATTATATTTTTAGGGCCACAAACAAAAGGAATTGTCTAATTAAAACACATATAACAAATTATAGTTTGAAAAACATTTTGATAATCATTTATTTGATATTATGATTGGCGCTATGACAACGACAATATTTTTTGAGAATTTGACAAATAATATGACAATGTCCGTTGGAAACTACAAAAAAATTCTGATTTAACGCTATTTGGCAATAACTAGTAGCAACTTCTTAACCTAAAAATTAATTGCACTACCACCTAGTGGCTAGGGCTGGAACTATTTTATTTGAGATTTCCGTGAAAACGGTGGAACCGCTTTTGCTATTTCACTTTCCCGCCCCTCAGCTATACCGGTTGCGTCTCAAAAGTGACTCACCTCTATAACTTTTTAATTTTTCAGATAAAAAACCAGATTTCGTATGTTAGTACATGACAAAAATAAGCATTGATTACTTCCTGTTTCACCGGAAATCACCACAAATTTTGATTTATAAATGGCACCTTCGGTATTTTTTTACTTCATTCGATAGAAATGACACTCTGAATAGAATAATGTAAATAATCATATGTCAATTTTTGACATTCTCGCTAAAAAAATCGTATTTTAAATTTCAATCTAGAGTGCCATGGCTGTGTTAAAAACACTAATTTGAAATCAAGGAACCTTGGAAAAATAAATTTGATCGGCTTATGTTTTAAGTGTCTTGTCCTGGCTGGTTAAACGATGCTCAAATCTGACTCAATGGCATGTTTGGAAAAAGCATTTTTTACGAATAATTTGGTAGTACACACTTTTGGTATTTTGTGAGTCAAATTTACATTTATGACCATGTCACTCGGCAGGTACTGTGGCTAAGAAATATGACATTTTTTATACACTTTTTATGGTAAATTTGTATAGGCAAATTCAATTTACATGTTTATTGTGATTTTAGCTCATTCTAAGTAAGTAAAGTATAATTCTTTAAAAAAAATGCCGACTTTTTTTGACAATATTTATTTACACCACTTTATTATACAGGGTGTTTCAAAACAAATGCGAAAAACTTCTGGGGATGATTCCTTGTTCAAAATAAAGGGTAGTTTGCTTTATAAACGTTGGGTCAAAAGTCAACCATTAGGGAGATATCGCGGTACAAAGATGGCGGAAAAATAATGTTTTTATTTTTTATCTTGAAAACGAAAAGAGATAGACTAATGAAATTTTACGGAAGCATTACTGTTATGAAAACACACTTTCTGGTAATTTTTTAACTTTTTTAAAATGAGTGGAAGGGGTTGAAATAAACTCCTGATATCTCCCTAATGGTTGACTTTTGACCCAACGTTTATGAAGCAAACTACCCTTTATTTTGAACAAGGAATGACCCCCTGAAGTTTTTCGCATTTGTTTTGAAACACCCTGTATATAATTATAGAAATTATTTACTTAAAATAATGACAAAAAAATTGAAAAGAAAAGATTTGTGCCATTTTTAATGATACGTCTCTGATGTGTGAAAATGACTTAAATATTAATTATTTATAAACGTGTAGCTAATAAAAATAGTGATAAACAAAAATAATTTTATAAATTAATTTTGAATTATTTGATTTTTTCAGTTTTAATGGTGTTAGACATATTAATTACTGTTGACAGTAATGTTGATTTTTTAAATATTGTTGCGGTAAATGTTATTTAATTTTAAAAAAATGGAATTTTGAATACACGTGCTGAAATGTCTATGTAGTCTATCCAACGACAGGATACATTACAGTGACAGCTGAGGCTATCATTTTAAATCTAATTAGAGGAGTAAATTGTAGGTTCTGTCATTTTTTGGATGTCGTTTGTCGAATTCTTTCCTGTTTTGTTTGACAGATTTAACTTACTCTAATGACGCAAGATTTTTTACTTTAAATTGTTTTTTCTATCGAGTAAAATATAATCATCAACTTTAAATATAAAAAAAAATAATATAAAAAAATATATAATGTTTTTTATAAAATAAAAAAATATAAATATGAAAAAAATAATCAGCAGTCATAAAGTTAGTCAGAGTAAAAGTCATACACTCATAACGATTTTTTTTTGAGTTTAGACAAGTCAAGAATCTTAGTGGTGGTCAACAAAGAAGGGTATCGTTTGCCGCCACCTTGGTTCATGAACCCGAGCTCTTGATTCTGGATGAACCAACCGTAGGAGTTGACCCAGTATTGCGTCAGAATATATGGAATCATTTGGTGGACATAACCAAACACGGCAAAACCACTGTTATTATCACCACTCATTACATCGATGAAACCAGACAAGCCCATTTGGTAAGTTTTAAATATGGCTGTTTTCTTAATTTATATTCTAATTAATAGTCAGTTTTGTAATATGGATAACTGATTGACAGAATGATCTGAAATGATCGAGACCAAACAATTTGACAGTTTTTTTTGGCAACCAAATGACACTTATAATATTAATGCCTTGATTATCAGCGAAAAAAAAACATGTATGTGCAAAACTGGCCAATTTTAATAAAGGACTATTTTAAATCCTATATATGAAAAACCGTTTAAACATATTAGACAATAAAATCGCTTTGTTTTTATTTATTTTTACCCGTTTAAGTAATTTCCTATGTTAGACATTACTAATTTACTAGAAAATTACATATACTTTTCTCTAACCATCGTTCAATTGGCTATATAATTATATTTGTTGTTATTTTTTGCGATCCTTGGCATCAACCTCATTACACTCGTTTCGTATTATTAGACGACTCATACGACATCGTTTTTTTTAAAGCCTGGGGGGCAATTTTTGGCTATTCGTTTCCTAGCAAATTGTTCGCAACTTTTCGATCAACACTAAAATCCAATTTTTAAGTGTTCGCATTTTTGCGTATTAGCAAATTTCCCTGCGTTGTCTTGCGAGCGGATCGACAGCATCGTAAGGATATGTTTTCTAAGTGCACTTATTAGATTTGATAGTTCCAAGTTTGTAGTTGGGTTTAGGTGTATCAATAATAGTAGTGATAATGAATGTTTTGGCCATTCGAAACCTAGAAAATGCAGAACTGCAATACCGCCCTAATGTTTTGCGCAATCCGGGGAATGCGTTCATAGAACTGAGTGAAAGGTAATTTATTAAAAATAAAAATATTTCGGTTATCCAAAGACTTGTGCCGTTTTTTAATTCAGTTACTTGAGCCGTACATGCGACCACAAAGAAGACTGATTGGGATGTGCAAAGCCGGGTAACATTTTTCTCTATTATTGTATATCTATGAAGTAACATTAAATTTCAGATTTTAGCTTTAGCTGCTTTGAAATTTTACGGAAGTGGTTGTTACCAGCCCGGATATTGCTTTAAATAAATACATCGATATGTACCAAGCCTCGGTTTCTCATTCAATTGATGAAGTTACCAACGGTCTAAACCATCCAGAGATATCCGATCAATGGGTTGAATTTACAAATAATTTTGAAAAACTCAACAGAATAGAGAACAGTATGGTTTTGCAATACGGGTATTTATTGCATTGCCTATTGCAATTGCAATTTCTTTACAAATATTAACGTTACTTTTTGCTTTTCTCTAACATTAGTTCCACGTTTTTTTTCCATTATTAACCCACTTGACCAACAACACAACAAACCTCGATTATCGATACCAAGTAATGAAAAGTAAATAAACAGTAAAAAATACGGTTAAACTGGAGAGAATTTAGTTTTTCACTGTGATTTGTCGACGTTGCCACAGTTCCGGCTCGTAATTTTGCGTACGCTCACGACAATCGCAAATTAAGATGCGAAAATGGCTGAAAAATTGAATTTTTAAAACGCATTCGTTTTCTAACACTCGCAAAGTTGCGCGTTCGCATGTAAACGATCAATTCCAAAAATTGCCCTCCTGCTATTATCTTAAATGTGCTTTATACGTTAGTTTAAATTTCGCAACACGCGCCTTTGAATAAATTACCTTATTTTATGTGATTATTAGTCAGAACTAGAGTATAGGTATATGATTTATATTATAAAGAAGTATACAATATATCATTGTGTATCTAATAATAGTTTTTTTTTCAAACGTCACAAAAGTATTATTTTTTGCGACGTTATTGACAATATAAAAAAAAGTCATTTTAACGCCTAGGCATAAAAGTAAAATACGTTTACGCCTAAGCACAAAAGTACGAAATAGCTATTTATGTAACTAGTACCTAAAATGATGTTTTTTAGGACGAATCATTACTGTTTGCGGACGAGGCGTTAGCCGAGTCCGAAATAGTAGATGAGTCCTAAAAAACATAATTTAGGTACGTGTTACATACACTATTTTTTGTCATACGCTTTTTACAGTTTTTTAGAACGCATATTTGCAAATTTTCCATATTTGAAATTATAATGTTTGAAAAAGTTGGCTTATAAATTCATATCTTAGTAACGAGTTTGTTTATTTCATCGCATTTTGACATGTCATTCGAAATTTGTCACAAAATCACACAAATTCATCAACAATTTTAAAATGTTCCAAAATCCCGAACATATTGCTAATAAGGCCAAAGAAATCGTGTTGGATTTACTTCCTGTGAAGTCTCGTGCCATTTACCAGAAAGAATATGATGTTTTTAATGAATGGAAAGACAAAATGGCGTATTCGTTGTAAATGAAGATGTATTGCTAAATTATTTCCACGAAAAAGTAAGTACCTAGGTACCTATTTAAAAGAGGCTTTTAAATTAAAATATTCTTAAATTACAGTCACAAACATTCAAACCATCGTCAATTTGGTCGAAATATTCCATGCTGAGAGCAGTGTTAAGTGTTAAAGAAGATATTTATATTGACAAATTTCCAAAACTTATTGCTTTTTTGAAGAGGAATTCGGTTGGTTACGAGCCTAAAAGTCTAAGGTTTTGTCCATAAAAGAGATCGGTGATTTTTTGGCCACGGCTAGTGATGAAACTTATTTACTTACTAAGGTAAGTTTGCGATAATGATTTTTAAAATATATAGATGGTTTCTTATTCCATTGTATTTGATTTTAGGTAGCTCTTGTCATTGGCCTTTGTGGAGCATGTAGAAGAGAAGAATTGTACTCTCTACGAGTGCAAGACATCATAGAAAAAAGACAACAGCTGCCTTTTAGTTACCCTCTTGCGGATACAAAAACTAATATCAAAAGAGTGTTTCCGGTGGTGAACGAAGGGAACGTTGTCAATCCAGTTGAGTTGTATAGAAAATATGCTTGTCTTAGGCCAAAAATGTACCACATGATTATGTCTTGTTTGTGACTGTAATTTAAGAATATTTTAATTTAAAAGCCTCTTTTAAATAGGTACCTAGGTACTTACTTTAAACAAATAACTTAGCTTTTGATATTGTTAGTATTTAATAATTTAATTATAAATATATGTATAATTTTATGTGATTTTGTGACAAATTTCGAATGACAAAATAAAACAACCAAATAACGAATTTAGACATTTTAGTCCATAAAGGTTGCCATGACGACCTTTACGGCCTAGGCCGAAAAAGAAACATTTTACGGACTGAAATGAGTCCGTAAAATAGCTGTTTTTGGGAGCGTATGACAAAAATATATTTTTTCCATGGCAACTGTTAAAATTGCCTTATATCTATCAAAAATAGTAGATAAAATAGTACTTTAACAGCGAGGATAGGTTAAAAATTTTATTTCTTCTCGGACGTGTTTTAATTGCTTCCATTTTTGAAAATTTTTGTATTTCTTTTCACAATTCGGGATTTAAATGGAAGTAGTTTGGGTATGGCGTTTGTCGCCTCAGCCTGAATATCTGTTCGTAATTTACTTATTTCGTTTTGAGTCATTTCTGGCTCCAATTCAATCAGCAATCGACACGAAAGAGAATTAAAAAATATTGACTCAAAACTGACAACTAAAGAGACAGTTTTATTTATTTGTCAAAGTACATAGAAACCAACGCCAACCCAGAACAATATTTTTTCTACTCGTAATAAATTCCTTGAAATAATAATTTCTGAATATTTTTTAAAACGTAACTCGCTTTCGAAAAAAATATTGTTTTATACACGACGATAAAATTGCATTATCGTCTCCCGAAATTATGCTAACTTCATTCTTCTGTTGATTTCTGGTAGTAAAAATCCTAAGCCCAAATATTGTATATTCATTCTTCTACTATTTCCAGTGCTGTGTTATTTCTGTCTACTAATTTGTTGTACATTACTTATTGATTTTTTATTTATTGGATTGAATATTTCAGATCGGACTGATGCGTGGAGGCTACTTCCTGGCAGAAGCTTCTCCAGAACGCCTCATAAGCCAGTTCAACGCAGAGAGTCTTGAAGATGTGTTTCTCAAGCTCAGTGTGATCCAAAACATGGGAAAAAGAAGACGATCCAGTGTACTACAAACTGTAACAGACACTATTCCTATTCCTGCAGGAGCTGTCAACGATGCTGCAGTTCTGGATGACGAAGTTGGAGAAATATCTGGAGAATTTGGTGATAACATCTCTATATCGAGTAGGACAAACAGTAAGTAAAAGTTTGATTGATTGATCACAAGATTTTTTAAATCAACCAATGTCATGTTTTAAGTTTAAATACGTATATTAAAGTTAGTATAGTTGTTTAAAGGTACTTTTCTATGATTCTAGGAAGGGTATCCATTGCTCCAGAACCCACAGCAGAAGAAATACCGTCGGAACTACCACCAGACGAAGACACGGGCTTCCGATTTCGCGATATGCTAAAAGTTGTCAGTTTTTCCCACATGCGGGTCATGATGTGGAAGAATTTCTTGTGGATGTGGCGGAACATACCCATTATGGCGTTTATTATAGGTTAGAACCGTTTTAACATTTCACATCTCAGAGAAATAAGTAGACTTAGAAGGTTTCTAAAATATTTTTTGATACATCTATGATTACTTATTTCTTTGAGATTTACATTTGAATCAAAATATCTATATTAATGAAATATTGCAATTCTTTCTTAGGTTTACCTGTTGGACAAACGATTCTATTCTGTATAACGATAGGACATGATCCAAAAAATGTTCCTCTATCAATTGTCAACTATGAAATTGACTACCCTATGGAACGATGCCAGTATAAGTATGGTTGTAATGCGTCACACTTGAGTTGTAATTATTTCCAATATATTGCCGATAATTACTCTCTTGATTTGGTAAGTCCTATATACAGGGTGTTTCAAAACAAATGCGAAAAACTTCAGGGGGTGATTCCTTGTTCAAAATAAAGGGTAGTTTGCTTCATAAACGTTGGGTCAAAAGTCAACCATTAGGAAGATATCGCGGTACAAAGATGGCGGAAAAATAATGTTTTTATTTTTTATCTTGAAAACGAAAAGAGATAGACTAATAAAATTTTATGGAAGCATTACTGTTATGAAAACACACTTTCTGGTAATTTTTTCACTTTTTTAAAATGAGTGCAAGGGGTTGAAATAAACTACCCCTATCATTCTTGTTAACGAAATTTAAAAAAAAAATCTTATCAAACACATGCAAAAAAAATAATTTGGATAGTTTAGTTTGTTTAGAAACTTTTTTATCTCTTGTATTTTTTTGATAAAACTCACCGATTTGAAATTAAAAAATAAAATGTAAAGCATTACATGCCAGGACAAAAAACATTTTCTGATAAAGAATCTAGTAGGCTGCTGTAATTTTTTTAGGAAAAAATCTAGTCAGCCGCTGGTACTTTTTAGGATGTTCCTAATATTATTTTATTTGACATTACTCTACTGCAATACGTTATTATCTAGATGATTAGTATTATCGTTATTATCACTAGATTCTTAATCTAAAAATGTTTTTTGTCCTGACATGTAATGCTTTACATTTTATTTTTTAATTTCAAATCGGTGAGTTTTATCAAAAAACACAAGAGAGATAAAAGTTTCTAAACAAACTAAACTATCCAAATTAATTTTTTTGCATGTATTTGATAAGATTTTTCTTTAAATTTCGTTAACAAGAATGATAGGGGTAGTTTATTTCAACCCCTTCCACTCATTTTAAAAAAGTGAAAAAATTACCAGAAAGTGTGTTTTCATAACAGTAATGCTTCCATAAAATTTCATTAGTCTATCTATTTTTGTTTTCAAGATAAAAAATAAAAACATTATTTTTCCGCCATCTTTGTACCGCGATATCTCCCTAATGGTTGACTTTTGACCCAACGTTTATAAAGCAAACTACCCTTTATTTTGAACAAGGAATCACCCCCTAAAGTTTTTCGCATTTGTTTTGAAACACCCTGTATACCTAGTTTTTTTAAATCAGGTTTTTTGCAACTAAAAAAAAATAAACAAGGTACCTATAAATAATGAAAAAAAATATTACAGTTGGGGGTTGGAACCTTTGCTGTTACACAGAAAAATAAAATACTAAATCACCGCAATACACCAAAACACTTTTACGTTTACACTGGATGCGCGTTTCGCTAACTATGTGACATTATGCTACCCTGTATAGTAAATAAATAAAATTGATTTTTTTATCTATTTTTAGACGTACTACGCCACTGAGGAAGAAGCCAGAACGGCAGTGGTGAAAGGAAAATCGTGGGCAATGTTAGTTGTGCCACATAATTTTTCTGATTCTCTGCGGTCCAGGATAGAATTGGGAAAGGACACTCCAGCTTGGGACCTGGAAACGTCCAAAATCCACGTCACTCCAGACAAATCAAGTAAATAAAAATATATATGAACGATTTTTACTTTTTTTTTCATATTTGAATAGACTCAAAATAAATATAGCGTTTTCAATCCAACCATAAAAATGTTTTCCCACTAAAATTTAAAAAAAAGTTATTTTAAATTAACTTTAGAATTGATATGTTAAAAAAATTGTCAGTTGGTACCTACTGTTGAGTTGAGTAATAAAATATGAAATTTTAATTTTTCAATTTCTTTTATTAGATGAAAATATCGCAACGTTCGTGACGAGGGATTTGCTCTTTGGTCTGGAAAGTTATGGACAGGCTTTCTTAAAGCAGTGCGGAATTGACCCTAAAGTTTTTGGAAGACCTATCAGAGTGAGTAATCATAACTTACCTAGATTTTTTATAATTTATTCGAACCACAGCGAAATCACTAGCCAGCTAGTCATCTTCCTTAGTTTTTAAGCAGGTAATTAGTTTAGTCAATTTTACTATGCGTTTAGTATAGCTTCAATGGAACTGAAAATTCGAATTGTTATGCATCGTTAATCGACTGGCTGTCTATCGAATAAGCTGTGATTTGAAATTATTTTTTTAATAATATGAAAAATCCTCACAGGGAAAACACATTTTTTTATTTTAGTTTGAGAAGCCGATATATGGATATGGTCAGCCAGACTTTACAGATTTTGCAGCTCCAGGATTTATTCTTACGTAAGTAAAATATATACCGGGTGCGTCTCAAAAGCGGCTCACCCCTATAACTTTTTTATTTTTTCTGATAAAAAAACGAGATTTGATATGTTAGTATATGACATAAATTAGGATTGATTGACGTATTCAATTGTTTTTGATCCTTTCCTGTTTCACCGGAAATGACTACAACTTTTGATTTTTAAATGACACTCTCGGTATTTTTTTACTTTATTTGATAGAAAATGACACTCACATGAATAGAATGACACATCATATGTCAACTTTTGACATTTTCGCATAAAAGAAAATTGTATTTTAAATTTCAATCTAGAGTACTATGACTGTGTTAAAAACACTAATTTTTAATCAAAGAGCCTTGGAAAAATAGATTTGATCGTCTAATGTTTTTCGTGTCTTGTGTGTAACCTGGCTGGTTAAGGGACGCCCAAATCGTATTTTTAATCATAGGTATCTATCTTAATTTTTTCAAATTGGACTAGGGTGGCTCATTAGCATATTTGGAAAAATATTTTTTTTACGAACAATTTGGTACTACAGTACGTCTGTCCGTTCTGTAGCTACGGGGTATCCGTGAGAGGGGAAACGATATTCTCTCGATGTTTTTCGTAAAAAAACAGACGACGCGTCCCATCGCGTAGCCCAAAAGACTAATCATATGTACAATGATTTGTTTTGACTCAATATATACAAGCAAAATGTAAACAAACCGTTTGGTTATTTACTATTTATTTGTCCACAGATTTTAATATAATACTTGTTGCTTAATTTTCTTATATTTGGCAATTATTTCTTATTTCTTTATAGTAAGGTTTGTCTAATTACATTATCTGTCTAAGTTTGTAGTAGATACTTATTTTAACAGTTATATAATCAATAACTGTATTATTTTCAGGATCATCTTTTTTATGGCTGTAGCTTTGACTTCAGGAGCTATGTTGCTAGAAAGAAACGAAGGAATTTTGGAAAGATCTTTGGTCAACGGTATAACAGCAACAGAAATGTTGTTCTCGCAGGTACTCACTCAATTTGTGGTGATGTTTGGACAAACCACCATGGTACTTATTGTAGCCTTCCCCATATTCCACCTCACACAAAACGGAAGCTGGTTACTGCTGTTTACTTTGACCATATTGGGAGGTTTATGTGGAATGTGTTTTGGTAAGTACTAATTCAGATCTTTTTCAGAGTTTTATACAGGGTGGTCCGAACTGTACAGTGTGTCCCATTTTAGTTGAAATCATAGGGTATCTCCGTTATTAGTGAAGATAGAAGGATGCGTTTTGCACAAACCTGTCCCACTTTATCGTCAAACGGAAGATGCTGCAAACAAAATTTTCATAGCCCTCTTCATTTCTGAGCTACAGGGTCTTTTCGAAAATTTTGCAATTTGGGACACCTCCTGTATCTCTGTTATTGTTAAAGGTATCGAGAAGGTGAAAACTGTTTTTTGTAGAATTTTTTACGTAGAATACAGTGGCGTAGTCTGTTTTTCTACGCAAACAATATTTTTGAAGGTATGAAGTTGTGTTTTTCAAATAGAACACCTTGTATATTTATAAATCATATGATCAGGCTGGCTATGAGCTTCTCAAAAATATATAGCACTATATTTATTTTGACTATTTACTGTAATATTTAATAATAATCATTTTCTTATTAGTAGGCCGTGATAAATAACAAAAAATCAAAATGGTATTTACTAAAATAGTCATACACATATTAAAATTTATTTGGGATTGGTATATTCTACTTTTGAAAAAACTGTTACCACTGAAACTGTGAATATATTTTTCTTTATTTTATAACGGGATGGGTTTGCAAATATCTAAATCTTGAATTATTAAAGCATTTTTCAGGTGTTCGACATTGTTGTAGTGCCCACGATATATTTCGTATTTCAAAAATCCCCAAAATCAGAAATCGAGAACGGCGAAATCCGGGAATCGAGGAGGCTATCAATATGCGTTCATTGGTTCCAATTCATTGATTTGAAAAATAATAATTTAACAGTATTCTAATATTTCCATAGTTATGAGGAGGAATGTTTCTTGCTGAAATTGTACGTAAATTAGCTAAAGGAATATCTAAAATTTCCGATACGATAGATTATTCTTACGTATACACGTATTCCAAGATTTACAAATAGCGGTAGAGAGTTAAGTTTCCCTAATATATAAAGAATTTATTAGCGGCTCCCAAAATAAAACAAGAGACAGATAGCAGTATACTTTTAATAATTCTTTAGTTTCTTTTATTCAATCATGGCCTACTAATAAATATGATATTTTAATAAAAATTTTTAAATATTCCAGTAAATAGTGAAAATAAATATAGAGTGATATATATTTTTGAGAAGCTTATTGCAAGATAGATCATACGATTTATAAATATACAGGGTGTTCTATTTAAAAAAACATAACTTTAGTTCATATTTTCAAAAATATTTTTTTGGTAGAAAAACAGACTACGCCACTGTATTCTACGTAAAAAGTTCTACAATAAACAGTTTTCACCTTCTTGATAGCTTTAACAATAACAGAGATACAGGAGGTGTCCCAAATTGCAAAATTTTCAAAAAGACTCTGTAGCTTGGAAACGAAGAGGGCTATGAAAATTTTGTCTACGGCATCTTCCGTTTGACAAAAAAGTGAGACAGGTTTGTGCAAACCGCACCCTTCTATCTTCACTAATAACTAAGATACCGTATGATTTCAACCAAAATGGGACACCCTGTACTCCGGAAACTTCGACAGTATATTCTGCAAAAATAAGTAAAAAAGTTCGTATAAATATATGTCCCAAAATGCTTAGTTTTAGGTGGCGCCCTCTACAAATAGGAGTCATATTGAAATTAAAATCAAATTTCTCATGTCAAAAAACTTCCAGACACCAATTTTCATCCAAATATTGACCTTACTTCAGAAATTATTTGTAAAAAATCGAAATAAAAATGAAACTTCTACACCCTGTATCTCCTAAAGTACCTATGCATCTTAGGACATACATTTATACGAACTTTTTTACTTATTTTTATCTTCAGAAAATGCTGCCGAAATTTCCGGAATACAGTTCGGACCACCCTGTATATTAAAACTCTTGGACCAGGACGGAAAAATAACGAAATATTAATGACGAATTTATTTTTACAGGCTTTGTTATTGCTTGTACCTGTGACACTGAAAGATCAGCTACGTACTTAGCCCTTGGTAGTTTTCTTCCCATTGTGATGCTGTGTGGCATTATATGGCCCATTCAAGCCATGAGCCCTTATTTACTGTGGATCACAGACTTCTTGCCCTTAACTCAAGCCACAGAAAGTCTAAGGTAAGTGAAAAACTTATTCCAGTGATCTTCCAGCTATTTAAACAACAATAAGAAATTTTGTTCTGTTTTATACATATACAGGGTGAGTCTTAAATAAGTGCAAATATTTTTAGGAGTAGCTTCGGTTTTTTTCGCGAAAATTTTCTTTTTAAAAATTTGGGATCTATTATATACTAATTTTTAGTTAAAAAACATAAATTCTTGATAATATGGCAACATAGATAGTAGATTAAATTTGCAAAAAAGAGAACTCAGAAAAGCTCCAGTGGTTCTCAAAATTTAAGCAAAAAATATATATATTTTTTTTTAATTTTTATAGTAAAATAACTTGATTATTTTGGACTTATTTGAAAAACAGTAAAGAGAAAATATGTTTCTTTTATCGAGATCTACCAGCCCTAAAAATATTTGCCTTTATTTCGGTATCTTCAATCAAGTCTCACCCACTAAAGTTTTTTACACCCTGTATATTCCGTATGATAGAAAACTCTTTTTTCTAGATGTGTGATTGCCAGAGGTTGGGGTATTGAGGATCCAATAGTCTATTCCGGATTTCTATCGTTACTTTTGTGGATTTTCATATTTTTAACAATAAGTCTTATCACACTTAAGTTTAAGAAGGGTTAATAGGTTTTTTTTTTATTAATTTTAGGTAAATTTCAACAGTGTGATACATTCTTGCCTTAGGTATTCGTTATTGTATCAGTTAGGATCTATTTTAGACTTTGTTTATTGTAACTTTGCGTACCTCATTTTTGTATTTAATAAATAAATAATTTATTTTAACAAGGAGTGTCTTATTTAGAGCGTAGAAGAAAAAAATATAACTAATCTAAATATCCCGGGAAGGTGTTAATAAGTATGAACTCTTTCAATATGTAAAAATCATTTTATTAGTTTATTTTTGGTGACTCAGACTATTTAGGACACCTAGTACTCTGTGATAGTTATTTTATATTGTAGCTTTAATAGTCCTTCAACAATCTCATTTCAAAAATCTCATATTTAGTATATTAATGGACTCGTTTGAAATGTTGAGCCACCCTGTATTATCATCATTCTCAGCTTATTCAACCATTTCCAATTATGGTGGCGCCTCCCTCACATATTTAGATACTATCTTTGTAATTTGGTCCATTGTTGTCTGTTGTTGGCCATGCGGCCCCAAATTATCCCTGATCATTTTCTAATATAATATTGTTACGGATTCCGTGGGTCCACTATTTAAACTCACGATAAAATACTTAACGAATTTATTTGTCTCACTCTGTACACACAACTTATACTATTTACAACACAATTTATGCAACTGCTATTACTCTAACGTTATTTCGCGGTATTATCAAACTTCAGACTTCAGGCTATCTTCAGACTTCTCCAACTGTCAAAGCGCGGGCCTTATATACCCCCTGGCGATGGTTTCTGGAATTTTCTAAAGAATTCTGTAATTCTCTTTTACTTTCTGGCGAATTCGCCAGGTTCCCCAATGCACGTTACGGTTATGTAGCAGTAATGCAGTTATGCAACCAGTAATACACCTTGATCTTGACAATATGGTCCCATCTCAAGTTTGATCTTCCTCTAGGCACAGAATATCTAGCTACGCATTGGTAGCTAGATATTCTGTGCTCTAGGTCTCTTAATACATCGTGGGTACCATGCTGTAATTTTTGTGTCCAAAATATATACAGGGTGGCGCACCTCATTCGCCTCGGTTGATTATACGAAAACGGAAAAATGTAGAAACAAATTTTTTTATGGGTATCTGTAGAGAGGCAATGTGCATAATTTAAAATTATTTTCAAATGTACAGAGTGTGTCAGAACTAAGATCCATACCAAAGTTATATTTTTTCTTATGGAACACCCGGTATATTATTTCATTTTTGGATTCTTGGGCATAAAATAAGGCATTTATTAATAATTTCTATTATTTAAGGGTTTAAATGTTTAAATGCTTTGGTTTTTGAGATATTTAAAGATATTTAAATATGCATGCTATAATAAAAAAGTTTGTCAACACCCCGTACATTACTTTTCAGAGTTAATTATTGTGCTGACTATGAAGCCAGAGAAATAAACCATACTAAAAAATTTTATTGCTTCCTTAAATGTATACAGGGGTATCAAAAATTGCTAGTCTATTTTGAATATTTATTTTACATAAAAACTTCGTTATTTCAAATACAACACTATGTATTTTTTTAAATAAATCGAAGCAGATTTAAATGCTCTTTCAAACTATCTTAGGGTTTCCTATACCTATCTGGTTCAGATTTTGAATAAAAAGCGATTTTTCAATAAAATGGCAATCAAGATGGCTGGTGTTGCCATGGCAATTTGCTAGAGACAGTTAGTAGCTATTTTCAAAATCAACATTAGTTTATGCACTTTATTTATATTTAAAATAGTTTACTTTTATTTAATTTACCTACAATAGTTTAATAGCAAAATAAAACACTAAATCACCACAATACACCAAAACACTTTTACTTTTACACTGGACGCGCGTTTCGCTAACCATGTTAGCATCATCGGCAGATGATTATAAACTGGTTGCGGGGCCACCATGTATATACGTAATTAAATCATTTTTTTTTATTTATGAAGCTATTAGAATATATTTGTAAATAAAACAAGAATTTAGCAATTATAAATTTATTTAACACATTATAAATTCGTAGAATAAAATAAAATAAACTATTTCTAAACCTTTTATATAATAAAATAACATTTTCTACTACCCAAAAACTACGATGACAATAATGACACACAGCATATCTTTTTTTAACAGCCCATTTCATTTTATTATATAATATAATATATTTTATTTTATATAAAATTTATTTGAATAACCCTAACATTACATCAACACGATTCTAAGGCATTACTGAATCATTATTTATTTAATATTCACCTATAATCTACTTAGTTTCTACGTAATATTAAAAAAGAGTAATAAAAAATAAATTAGTTTATATTATTTTGTTTCCGTACAACGGAACTTTAGTCACTCCCGATTAAGCTACGATATTCAATCAATGCAGGCTATGGACAAAAATATCGACATATGTCAAAAAATATTTGTTTTTTGTTTTTGCCGGTCTTAGTTTTATAGAAATAAAATTTAGGTGAAAAATTGAGTTTAATTGTTGAAAAATGTTTGGCTGGTGGTAAATAAAGTCGTTTTCTATAAAAATATAGTGATATGTGAGTTCCAGATTCTGTGTTGCGGAAAACTCCAGAAAATTCTTATGGAGAATGGTAAGTTACCTTCTTTGTTAAAAATATGCCTTTGTTATTGTTATTTCTACAAAAATAAGGTCTTCCAAATGTATTTACCCCAAAAATGCGTCTATATTAGTGTTTTAATCTGATTTTGACACATTCAATACATACAGGGTGGCCCATTAGTGAGAGTAAGTCCCATATCGCCGTTGATAATGAAAAAACGAAAATATGAAAAAAGTTTTACACAAATGTTGCATGGTTTGTAAAGGTGCATATCCTAAAAATGTTTTGTTGTATATATCTACAGGGTATCCCAAAAACTACCTAGTGATAAAGTTGGAAGATTTTTTTTAAAAATGCAACCCCCTTTTTTCTGTACAAAATTGGATTCAGTATAAAAGTCATCTATAGTACACTATTTTTATTTGAACCACTGTGCTGTGTTGCCATGCTGTTTCTTATTTGCTGAAACTTAAGTTTAAATAAAGACACTATAAGAAGTGGTTAAAAAAGGTGTGAATTTAAATTTATTAATACTTAGCGATATTTTCCTAAATAGACCAAGGATAACAAAAAAAATTATATCATGTTATACAGAGTATTTTTTATGGCGTGAACAACATCGGAATATTTAAAATGCTATATCTCTATATTTTTTTTAAGTGAAACATAAATGTATATTATTTTTCTTTTAGATGCAAAGTTAAAAAATGAACATTTTTTTGTATTTAAAGTGTTCCTAAATTTAAAAAGCGTTTTGCAACAATATATGTTGTATTATATTCCTATTATAATAGATATTGCTATCAAAATAGTAATTTTTTATGAAAGCCTCCTAATGATTTTTGCCTGAAATTTTACTTTGAAAGAGCAATATAATACTGACACGCATTATGAAACATTCTTCTTTCCTACACTCTTCCTCGCACTAATGGGCCACCCCGTGTATAAAATTATTATATAGCAGAGTTATACAGGGGTGTTCATTAAGCCCTCTCATTAAAAATTATCTACCTATTTTAGGATCTAATATTGATACAAATCTTGTATGTTTAAGTTAAATTACTGTTAAAAAGTTTCTTCCTCTTCTTGGAGACGTAGAATATCTGACTTGTTGAGAAAATAGTAAGTGGGTTGACGCCCTTTTAGGTCTTTTACCACTCGTTTGGCTCCAGCCTTGATCAAAACTCTGGTTATGGTCTCCATCTTCTCCACACCCATAGCGTAGTGGAGTGCAGTCCTCTCCAACTAAAATATCATATAATATACGTCAAAGATATGTCAATTTTTCAAGATCATTTTCTATACAGAGTGTTTCAAAAAACATGTGCCATCTCTCGTGGGGAATTTATTCTCCTAAAAATAAGATTTGTTTTTTATCAACATCTTTAAGATTGATTCTACAAGATTAAGAAAGGAGCATATCAAAAAAGTTAGGCCGAGCGCGATGGGGGCCAAAAATGGCCGACTTAAACTCCGGTTTACCAGTGCCGTCCTGATTTTATTCAAAACATGTAAAAAAATGATATAGGATGTAGTCAATAATTTGTTGTTTTATTTTACGTTGTCAATAAATGTTGGTAGTTATTAAAAGTGTTATGGAAATATATAATTCTAATAAAAATAGATAAGTTATAATAATTATTAATTAACACAAACATCCGATACGCTACTGAAGCAGGTAAGTCAAATTGACGTATCTAAATTCTTTGATAAATAGTAAACAGAAGCAAAAATGCAAGAAAAAATATATAATTAGTTAATTGCATTCATAGTAAAAGGAAAACTACTAAGCTTTTATGATGACTGTGATTTTGTAGGTACAAATATTTATACAAGGCGTTGTTTTACTTACATTATCACCAATTTTCAAGGTGTCTATAAAAGTATTCGCCAAATAGTCGACTATTTCTTCCTGTTGACACAAAACAGAGATATGCAAGGAGCATCTTCCATAACTATTTTTTCCTATAGCTAGTAGTTTACCACTGCCAGTGTCATTTTCGTCTGCCAACATACTCATGACATCGTTTATCGAACCTTGTCTAATGGCATGATGAACTCTTTCACGTTTTTCCTAAATAAATAACAAAATATCATATTTTTTTATACAGTATGTTTTATCTTTTTATAGAAAATTAATAAAGAAATATATTTTTTCGAAATGACAAAAAAATAATATCTTCAATATTAGAAGCATATACAGGGTGAGTCTTAAATAAGTGCAAATATTTTCAGGGGTAGTACGGTAGTACCTATATTTGGACCCCAGAGACACGTCTATGAAGGGTTTTTCCCTAAAAAAATGTGAAAATTTGGAATTTTTTGAAAAAATATTTCAATTTTTTTTTGAGTTAAAAGACATACTATTTTCATAATACATAAGTAGTACATTCAATTTACAAGAAAGAAAACCAAGAAAATATACAGTGGTTCACAAAATTTAACCAAAAAATCATTTTTTCTTGAATATTCAAAGTATCAAACTCGGTTATTTTGGAGTTATTTGAAAAACGGCAAACAGAAATTAAGAACCATATTCCAATTGGCTTCGGAAAAAAATATTATTAATTTATTTAGATTTTCTTTTCAAAATATACTCATACTCACTTCAAAAGCTAGAATGGACTGTAAGAATGACATTGTTTCTGTCTGTTTCTCTTTGGAGACCACTTCAATGATGGGCGTTTCATCCTCATCCACTACGTCAGTTATGTGATCGTAACCATCCAATAGTAATTTCACCAGTTTATTTGTATCACCTAGAAAAAAAACATAGAAATTTAGATATAGAAACATAGAAATATACATACTATAAATTTATTTTGATCACCCTGTAGCATGTAATATTATTATACAATATGTCGCCGGATTATCTTAAGAGGCAAAACTTTTTTATTATTGGGATTTTGGGAAAAATGCATTTTTTATTAAACTTTTTTGCTGTTTCTAAAATAGTTAATCCTAGGTATACTTTTCCAAACTTTTAGAAAAAATAAAAAAAAAAACATGAAAATATAGTTGAAAAATAAAGCAGAAAATTTATTTAGTTCAATGTTCAATGCTATGGAAAGGGTGATAATAGTTATCGGAAAATGAGATACTTTAACAACAGCAAAAAAGTAACGTTAATCAAAATTGATAATAACCATATCTATCAAAGAATGAAATTGGAATTATATTACCATAGAAAGGCCATTTGATTTTTTGCACTCCAATTGGAAAAAATTCAACCATATTTTTATATATTTTTTTTACTTTTCCCTAACATTGTATGAAAATTTGGAAAAGTATAAACGGGATTAACCGTTTTAGAACAAGCAGAAATTTTAATGAAGCATGCATTTTCCTCAAAATGTTAATAATAAAAAAGTTTATCCTCTTGTAAAGATAATCCGGGGACATACTGTACAAAGAGAGAAAAAATATAAGTAGACCTCTGAGGACCTACCTTGTTTGGCTATGTGCAGTATATATTTGTCTATCTCCGTTGTGTTAGCTGGAATATTCGCCTGGATGCTAATATCTCTAGCTGTTCTATACAGTTCGTCCCTGTAAGCTATGTTGATATCTGTTTCTAAAAGCAGCTGGAAGAGGGCGTTGCGACCGTGAGCTCTGGCGGCAGCGAAGTGCAACATACTTTGACCATGCTCATCCTAGAGAAATAATATTCAAAAATACGAAAAATTCGACTTTATTTTCAATTAAAAAAAAATGAAATTTAGAAAAATAAATTAGCTGTGTATCTTATTTATCCCCTACTTACTCTACTAGCGTTGTTATTTTCTGTCCGTCCCTCATTTTCTTCCGGTTCAACCGTCACTACGTCAATATTAACCGGAACTCTGCCTCCCGTCGCCATTTGCATGTTACTAACGCCATCTTCACCCATATCTCTTCGACTACGGTACTGATTTTGGTGCTCCTAAGCGTTTAAGATAGCTGTTAATGCGTCAGCAAAGATCAGACTCAAATTTACTAAAAGTTATTTTATATAGTTGATTTTCACTAATATCTAATCAGGGGATGGCGAATTTTGTACCCATTTGCAACAGTATTAAGTTCTTAACCGGTAAAAATATATTTAAATTTTTTAACAGCTCTATTTTCAATGTTTTATTATTTTCTGGCGCAGTTGGTAGGATCATGTCATGAGTCTCTCTCTTGTTTACTTACTTGATTTTGGTCTGAACCTGAAGGTCCATCTCTACTGCGTGCAAAATTGTACAGATAGGTCGCTAGGTAGGCTATAGGGTCATCAGGGCGTCTATTGGCTACCTCGGTTAAACCTTTGATCAAGGGATCTCCTAGCGCTAGAAAATTGTATATTGTTTTATTAGGAGTAAAAATAATGCTTTTTGTGGCAAGTCTGTACGTTTGACGTTACTGGCGAGGTACAAAAAATACACTTTTACTACTTTTACTCCGAATAGAACATGGTATTTTTTTTCAAACGTTACAAATCATTTTTTAAACAATTCCAAACGTCGCAGATACTGTAAAAAAATACTTTGTAAGAATTATACATATCCAGCAACAATGGGTACACTCGTTGAATTTGACACTTATTGTCAGTTTAATAATATATTTTTGTATTTTTGTGCCTAGGCGAAAAGTGCTTTACTTATATGCCTAGGCGTTAAAAAGTTATATATCGTCAATCACGTAGCAAAAATTAATACATTTGTGGTATTTGAAAAAAAAAACAATTTTTTCTATTCAGAAACTGGATGTTTAGAAATGTTTTTTTTTATATTTGAAGTTGTATATTTCATGTTTTGATAGTTTTTGAATGCTATTTTAAATGGGAGTATGGTTTGTAAAAATAATATACACGAAACGTTACCATTTTCACTTTATTTAACGTTAATAAGTATATAATTCTTCATAAATGATTGAAAAAATAAACGAGACATTTATTTAACGAAATCTTTTTTTATTGGGCGATTTTTTTTTAGTGTCTTTAAAATTTTTTTGGTGTTGCTGTTTGTAGTATAGTAACATGTTGTTTAGTGTTGTGGCTTTTGGTACTGCTAATCACTTACATGAGGCGAGATACCGCCCTTCTTCTGTGGCGAAAAAAGGCATGTCAACTTGATTGTTGTCGTCTGATTGGTCAGGCACATCTTCTGCAACCAAAAAATCTTATAAGCCACAGTGGCACTGAAATAAAACTAAACAAAGAACACAGTGTGTAGAAAGATTGCCCTCATCTATTTTTTAAACCAGAAAATATAAATTTTTTAGTTATCAAGTCTATATGAAATTTCTGAACTAGAAATCTAACAACTGTACATGTTTAAATAAGTTGAGGACAGTCTGTTAGTAAAAATACACAAAAGACATGTATAGCTGTGAAAGGGAGGAAAGGCTGTGTGATATGAAGACATCTTCAAGGTTTTATGTGGCAGCTAGAATGTAAGTAGTTAAATAAGACAGACTTAAAGACAAAGACACCGAATATGTTGTGACAGAGACGAACAAATTCGAAAACACAGAAGGAAACAAGTTTGAGATTAGAAAATCGGTCGATTACACATAACAAGAGGCAAGTTGATTGAAAATTAACATTATAAATATATCCTTAAAAATTAAATAATCATCCATCTTTCAAAAATTTGAGGGAAATTTTATTTACTTTTAAAATTTGACCACTATTATATATTGGATAAATGTAGTGTTTGACTTGCGTCTTGCATTTTTGCATAATCTCCCATTATTAATACTTGCTGTACTAACCTAAACGCAGCCGTCCGTCCCCTCACATGAGTGGTATTTACAAAAATTCGAAAAACACTCAGTGAAACTTTGGCACTAGTCTAATCTAACTTTTGGCAATCATGGGTATACTTTTAAAAATGCTGAAACCTCCCCGTCAGCAACAAACAGCTGTTTCTCATTTGATAAAGAAATAATAACATTAACCATCTTCGATATCAGCGTTACTATAATTCAGTCTTTGACACATAATAATACATTATTTTCAAGACCACTTTCTGTAACTGAAGATGATAACTCATCTTTGGAGCTATGTTTGTAAATCCTACAGATAAATGATCAGCGTTAGTTATAATCCTGACATGATCCAAGACATTTATGTACACAACCAAGATATATCTGTCGCTCATAAATACAGAGAGCCAGTACTTTACATATAATCTATCAGATTCTGGAGTTCACCAAGGGAGATAAATCACTAAGGTAACTGTAACTTCTGAAAATTCACCCATAACTTCATTTAAAATCCAATCCAAAAAAGGTTTTAAATACTGTTGTTTCAAAAATCACACTGTTCATCTTGAAGATCCATCTTCACTTGACTAACTTTTTATTGACATTGTTTATGGTGCTGTTCGAAAATCACGTGAGTCCTTGGCACTAAAACTAACTTACGATTGTCAAAATACGTTCAAAAATAATGTCAATGGCGCAAAGCAGCAGAATTACGCTTGCTTTTGAAGATGTTTAGAAAAACCGCTGCTATATGCATCGAATTCGACATTGCCATATCCTTCTCTAGTTGAAGCACGTTAGCTACAGCTGTAGTAAAGTCCGAGAAACATTGTAGTTCGTCAACTCCCACAGCCACCCGATTGTCAACCCGAAAAACATCAGCAGCAACTCCACTGCGTCTAAAAGTTAACGCTCGCACAGCACACAACTGTCGTAAATTATCAGGCTCTTTTAACAAGTTTGGACACCGAAGAGTCAGACGAAATCTCAGTCCACAACCTAAAGTCGACGGTCTGGCTGACAGATATCCTAGTTTTTCATCGAAACGAAAATCCAGGTCTTCTAAACATTTTAATGCTCGAGCTAGGCGGATGAATACCAGTCCTATAGAGCCTGGAGATGAATGCTCGGCACTAGTTACGATCCTGACATGATCCAAGACATTAACATACACAGCCAATGTACAACTATTGCTTATAAAAACTCCTCTGCCGTAAGGCCAGTGTTTTCCATGTAACCTATCAGATTCCGGAATATTCCAGAGAGGTATTAAGAGTCCGTGACTAGCCAGCGTAACTCTGGCTTCAGAAGGTTCTTCCAAAACTTCGTTCATGGTGTAGTAAGTTCCTGCACCTTTTTCCCTGATTTCATCTTCAGTAGCGTTGGGATAAAGGATCTTGGAGGCTTGTTGCGTTAACAGAAGATCAACAATGAGTTTTTCTACTTTTTCCAATTCTCCAGGAGTCAGAGATTTGGGTAGTTCGAATCCAGACAGATTTCTTGTACATTCTAGTGTTCCTGCAACCACCCATTTGGCTAACGGGTCTAAATCTAATTCTTTAAGCTCTTCTTCGATCAGTTTTGTTCTTGGGTGAGTACCTAACTCTAGCCTGATATCCATATAGTTGTATTCCTTAATCATTGGTTCAAGTAATTCTTGGAATACTCGGTAAGCATAGAAATCTGGAGCAATAACTCCAATGGGGAAGTCTTCTTCCAAGGCAGCACGAACGCTGGGTTCTGAGGGTAGTTTTTTGACGCTGGGCCAGATAATGTCATACAGGGTGTGATCTAGCCTGGTCATTCTTAGACGAATCGCATCAAAAATGTATCTAAATAACGTTAAAATGATGGAAAATCGTGATAGAATCAAAGGTTATCGTGTTTTCCTACCGTTTGATGTGTTTGGACAAAAGAGATGCTGTATGGTTAGATACAGAATTGCGAGAAGCTGATGTGGTTGATGCTGCAGATATAGAGTTTGAGTTTCTACGTCCGTGAAGGACGCTGTAACAACGGTCTAGGACTCCTATCATGTCTTCGTCGTCTAGGTCTTTTCTAGCAGAGCAGGTATCATCTATGACTGCATGTCGGTTGTTTCAAAATAATTAGAGTAAAAAAAGGAAGGATAGACTAATAGTTTATACCGTTGAAGATTTTGGAGATAAATTTGAAGAAACCAAAAAAGTGTTCTTGGTTTTCTTATGCTTTGAACTAGATTATTTTTGGGTAATTCTTCCCTGATTTTTTTTTAAAACGAAATTTAATCCTTGTTTTGTTTACTCTATTATTTTACGAAATTTTCTAAAAATATGTCTCGTCCTGATTTTAAAAGCAGCATTTTTAATCAGTATACCTATTTAAATCACAAAATGAGCCATAAAGATTGCAGTATATCAAAATTCATCAAAATTTCATCTATTTTACAGGGTGTTCCAAGATTTCGTGGACATAGTACTTTGTCCACCGTCATCCATGGATATTGGTAAATATTATATTACATAATATGGATTTTTCAACAGTAATTTTTTATCAAAGCCATTTAAGTACAAAAAATGTTTATTTTTTAATTCTAACAGAGATATAATATACAGGATGTTCCATTAAAAAAAAACGAAGAAAAATTATTATATATTTTATATAGTTTGGCACAGAATTTTAACTTTTTATTATTAGTAAATACCTAGTATAGTTTTGAATTCAGGACATTTCTTGTATTTTTAAATTTTTTTTAAAAAGCCTGAAAAAATATTTATTTATTATTATATATTTTTTAATTTATTTACTAATATTTCTGGAACTATCAAAACATATTTAATAATATAATTAGGATTATGTAAAGTGATCAGAAAGAAAGCCAAAAATGCAATAATATACACTGTTTTATTAAAAAAAATCATACCGATACACTCACTCTTTTTTGAGCCACCCTGTAGAAGTTATTAAATACTTTAGGTTTACACTTATACAAAATTCTTAAGTTTTTTATTGGAGCTACAGATGCCCGACGCACTATTGCCGAACCCTGTATATTAGACCTACTAGTCCATACTATTTTTGTAACTTTTGATAACATTTTTTTACTTTTTTTTTAAATAATTGGCATAATACATAATATACATTTAAAAAAGTATTGTTCACCGTCAAAAATATAAATAAATAAAGATTATTTTCATGACAAAATAAATTTAATAATTCGTAAAAATACGTAGCAGTTCTATGTCCCAGGAATATTGACACACCCTGTATATGTTTTATAGTTATACACAGATTAGAATTAAACAAGTTTAAAATAAATTAGGAATTGGTAACAAAGTAGAGCTATCTTTAAATTAAAACACACGAAAGTGAATAAGTAATTACTTTATTTACAATCTTTATGGCTTGTTCGATACACAAAGCGTACAATCTAGAAAAAATACAATTTTTCACTTACCCCTGTCATTGAGAATGGTTTCAACTTCGTTTTCTGCACCAAAATCTGTCAAAATTTGCCTATGATTGAAGTCTGATTGGTTCTTTAGGTAGAAATCTGACGTACGGCCGAACTATATAGAACAACGTGAATTATCAGAACAAACTGTTTAAAACAACTTTGAGAAATAATCGTACCTTGTCTTTTATTCTATTATCTGCTCCTAAATGTATCAGTAAATTGTAATAATGCCCATTATCCTTCAAAACTGCCGCATAATGTAAAGGTGTACGCCCATTTTCGTCTTCTATATGTACCGTTTCTGGAAACCTGAAAAAAAAAATATTACGATACATTAAAAAAATACAAGCCTATGTAAAAAAAATTAAATAATGCAGTTTTCTACATTTTTTTGATAAAAATAAGTACACCGGGTGCGTCTCAAAAGTATGTTTTCAGATAAAGAAACGAGCTTTGGTATGTAAGTATATGACATAAATTAGGATTGATTGGTATTCAATAATTGTTCTTGGTCACTTCCTGTTTCACCGGAAATGACAATAACTTTTGATTTTTAAATGGCTCTTTCGGTATTTTTTTACTTTATCCGATAAAAAATGACACTCTAAATAGAATGACATATCAGATGTCAACTTTTGACATTTTTGCATATGGTTTATTTGAAATTGTAACATGCGGTTCATAACGACAATTTGACTCGAAATACAAAGTGTGTGATACCAAATTATTCGTAAAAAAGGCCTTTTCCATATATGCTAATCGTTCCAAAAAAATGAGATATGATTAAAAATACGATTTGGGCATCTTTTAATCGGTCAGTACAAGCCAGGAAAAATATTAAACAATCTAATCTATTTTTCCAAGGTTCCTTGACTAAAAATTAGTGTTTTTAATACAGCCATGGCACTCTAGATTGAAACTACGCACAAAGTAGCACAGTAATATGAAAGCCGCATGAAAAAAGTGTATCTCAACACACAAAAATGGAATTTACTGTACAGGGTGTGTTTTACAGTATCAAATAAACATAATATTACCTTCCAGCCAAGTACCGTACTACACTAGTACGACCAAAGGCCACTGCAACATGTAGAGGCGAAGCACCATTTGGCGAGACATTATCACGAGCCACTGCAAACTTACGCCTGTCCAACGCTGCTTGGAGGTCTCTGAGACTCCCTTCGCGAGCTGCTATGTGAATCCGCCGAATTTTTGACTAAAACAAGAAACAATTGGATTATTTTTACTTATTACCGTTCATTTTTAACTAAAAAATCCTAGATCGTACCATGTAGACTGGTACGTTGTCCAGAAAAGTTTGTAACTCCTGGTTATCGCATTTTTGTCCAACTAGACGTTCACCTTCACCATTTAGAACCAGTGCTGCCAGTTGTTCCATGTTTCCTGAGTCTATAATGGCTCTGATATCTTCAACATCTTCAGTATTGGGTCTGTTTTGACCTGCGTTGTTCACAGATTCTATTTCATGTTCTCCGTTTACTATTCCTGTAAAAAACTTGTTTTTATCTGGGTTAGTTAATTGTTGTTTCCATGATAAAACATCCAATGTGAAATTTAAAAAAACAACAAATCAATAGGTCTTTCAAATTTTATTATTGTTGATGGTTTCCTGATACTGTAGGAAAAAAAACACATTAGATAGCTTTAATATGGAACTGAATTTGGATTGTCTAAAACACAGAAAATGATAGCAAGTGCTTGTAAGTGTTGGGGTGTTTGGATTGGCACGTTTTTTAGAATACTCAGTGGACAAAGATCAAATAAACAAATAAATGTATGCTATGATGACGTTAAGTAGATTTTACTGTAAAAAATTTACATGTATAATAGATGAAGAGTTTGATGTTTTGAAAAAATTGCAGTACATTGTTTAAGTGAGTTCTTTTAATGTTATGAGGTAATTCTTTGGAATAGTGATACTGAGACACTTGATATACCAAATAATATTATGTGTATACCTTTGTGGTGAAAAATAGTTATGAAACACAGATGATTGAGTGTCTTGAAAGTAGTGTATAAGGCTCAAAATAAGACACATTTGATTGCTTCAGAAGTTATATTACTAAGGGTGTATTACAAAAAACACTTGAAACTAGCTACGACACACGTGGTACACAACAACAGAGTCAAAAGGCATGTATAGAAAGAGGATAGACTCACACAAATCACGCCACGACATGAATTTTACCTTCTATCACGCCTTCACCTTCAATATCTGGTTTTACTTCATCTTCCTGGTTTTGTTCTTCCTCTTTGTCCTCGCTAGTGATCTCGTTGGATGCTATTCCAGAATCCTGAGCTGTTCCAGGTCGACTGCCCGTGGCTGGACGACTTTTTGCGGCGCTGGATGTCCTAGAAATCTTACTAGTTGGTCTGCTGGTGGGTATGGGAGTGTCTTGACGTTTTTCTTCATTATTTTCTTCAGGTTCTTCAGATTTATTATTGTTTTCGTCACCTGCATCATCTGGAGGACTTTCTTCCTCATTTTTATCTTCTTCATTATCAGCTTCAGTGATATCACCATCATCGACTTTTTCAGCTTCTTCGTTAGGCTCTTCAGTATCGTTATTAGGTTCATCAGGATCTTCATTAGGTGGTTCAGTCTCTTCAGCAGGTTCTTTAGTTTCCTCGTCGTTTTCTTCGGGTTGTTCGGTTTCCGAAACTTCAGCAGGAGGTTCTTCGGGTTCGGGTTCGTCCTGTATGGGTTCAGTGGCTTCAGTAGGCTGAGTTTGGTCTGTTTCAGATGAGCCACCTAGAATTTTGGTAAGATTAATTGGTCCTATTGAACCTTGTAACGTAAAATGAACGTCAGATGATTTCGAAGTTGTATTTCGATATAGGGAGGTGAAATGGTTTGTAACTGGTTTTGTAACTGCAAAATGGTTTATAAAATAACGTTGTCAGTAATATTTATGTTATTCTTTATTGTCAGAACTACTATTATATGTATTATTAAAAAATAAGGTACCTTCTTCTAACAAAATACAACTTTTTATGGGTCTATTGAAATAAAACCACGAGAATCATTCTTATTTTGAGGATATGCCACTAATGTGAATTTTAAAGTGCGATAGTGAAGTTATTACCTGCTTTATTCCATTCTTTTCAATTCTATAAGTCAACTAGATTTTTTTTTCTACGCTGTTATATTTTTAAAATATTCCAAACACCCCGATCTTTTGATTTTCTTTCTCATTTTTCTTTCAAAGCAACACCAATCCATAACCACCAAAAGCGATTCAAACCTTTATTTATTTGGACTGACCTTCAATACTTTGCTCTTGTCCTTCTACAACCGGTTCAGCTTCACCGACCTCCGATCCCAAGACATCCTCAGTTTCGGTGTCTTCTTTGCCTCCGTCATCAGGTTTTTCTTCGGATTTATTCTCTTCCGTTTGTGCTTTTTTAAGACCTTGATTTAAGTGTCGAGTGTTGGGTATTAGTGTTTAAACTATTTTGAAGTTTACGGCTTGAGCCGAAATCTTTTTGATTCTCGAAATTGTTTGTGAGAGAAATGTAAAGAAAAAATTTTCAAAATTTTGAAGACGTATCGTTTAAAAATTTGGACACAGTCAAAATATTTGTATTGCTGTTTTCGTACTTCCCTCACGAATGATTTCGACTATCCAAATGATTTAGACCTAAGATAGATTTGTTGTGTGAATTGTGTATTACATACCATTCACTACTGATTCAGATACTTTCTTAATCAAGCCGTTGATTGGTGCTGACGAAGCTATGCTTGCCAGCATGTTCCAATCGAAGCCATTTGGTTCCCTTGCACCTCTGGGACAATCTGGTACCACGTTTAGTAGTTTAGTGTCCATTTCCGAAGCTCTGGTTTTGTAGTAAGCTGCCGTTTTTTGTCGCTAGAAAAAGTTGATAATAATTGGTAAGGTTTTTCTTAACCTTTCTATTTTGGATTATCTATACTGATTATTTTTCTCATCTCTATTTTTATCATTTACTTTTGATTGAATATCTGTACCTATTTTTTTAACCTCATCAAAAAAAAACTGTCAATATTAATTAGTATATTGAACATTCAGATATAGTTTTGGTTGTAGTACTTACGTTATCTAGTGTGGATTCGTCTGCTCCGTTTTCAATCAAGAAATTGAACATTTTTCCGTCATCTTTGAGCACCGCTGCATAATGTAAAGCGGTACGACCTTCATTATCTGTTACATTTATACTGTGCGGTACTTCTCGAACTATGTATTTGGCTATATCTTCTTTTCCCAAACCAACTGCCTGCAAAAATTACTCTTATTTTAACTACCTATTACTTCTATTGATTTTTTAACAGATTTTTTGTAGAAATATACGAGTAGAATCATTATTAAGTTTACATTCTATCAGGGACTTTATAAGCAGTCAAAATTTTAGTGGGTCTACTAACTGCCAGGCCTGGGCATTGCAAGCTCAAAAGGTATTTAAAACTAATGAGATTGACAGATGAAGCCAAGTGCAGATTCTGTCAATTAGAAAAAGAAATGATGCAGTCTATGTCGGTGGCCTGGCAAATATGCGGTTCTTTGTACTAGACAATGCTAAACCATTGCCAATGAGTAATATGAAAGATTCGGACTCTAAGTTATGAGTCTTTTTGAAAAGGATAAAACTGGAGAATGTAATCTAGATAAAAGAAGAGTGTAATATATACATGTCACAGTATAATATAATACCAAATACACAGAAAGATGAAGCAATACATACTTTGTGCAATGGTGTAAGACCATTAGAATCCTTGGCTGTCAGAATATTTATAGGTGCAGGCGGTGATATTCTGTTCCTCAGGCTATCCAAATCTCCATTTTGGACATCACAATGTACATCTTTAATAAATCCCTGTAAAAAGGTATAATGCCTATAATAATAATAGCAGGAAATGTCTGTATATTTTCCGAAAAAATACAAAGAACATATTTGGAAATATTATACAAGGTGGTGACAATTTCGATGCTCAACATTGGCATCTCAGAAACTAGGAGAGATACGAATTCGTTTAAATGAGGCAGTGAACAGTTATTCCTAATAAATATCTACTTAACTTAGTAAACGTATTATTTTCTTTTTTTATTTATAAATTATACTTTATATTTTATTTTATTAAAAAAAAATAGAAAATGGGACTCAGTCTTCATATTTTCGATAAGTAGTAAGATACGAAGGGAGTCAAAAATACAACAATTTAAAATTCATGAACTAAGAGTCAAAGGAAATAAAAGACAAATCTGTGTGTAGCATTTTTAGTTTCATAAAAAATAGCAAACTGATATGAAAACCGCATCTTTGTAGCTCTACTCTTAAACGAGAAACCCTGTAAACACACGAAAATGGGACGCCTTGTATATGTGCCCTTATTGAGGAACCGTCACTGCTGGCTAAACGTGTTTTAAAGACTTTCTCAAGAATATTTGCTGTAAATAGATCGAACTTTGTGCGTGTTCCGGCCATTTATTAATGTATCGATCCCGCCAGTGACATTTCTATTGTTTTCGCAGTTCCAGTTCAATAAATTTTCGTATGTATACCTGGCTACTTAATTATTAAGACCTCTATCTATCCTTGAAGTCTCTCTATAGTCTGATTGATTCAACATTTCCACGGAAAAATATCCCTTGAATTATTTCTAGGAAGAGCTTCGATTGACTTGACTTGTTATTTTTTTCTAGAATCGTCTGCGATAAGAAATCGATAAAATATTTGAAATATTGACGTTGGAGTGGTAAAATACCGTAAAATTAAAAAAACGGCGTCAGAAACGGCTGAAGAATGACAATCGATGATAATTTTGGCGTGGTCAAGCCCTACACGTCATTTGTTTGGACCGTACTCTCCTTTCTTTTTTAATGGCGCTTACAGCCAGTTGGCCTTAAGAAGGATGAAATTTATTTTTATATTGAATAAAAATGATTTTTAAATGTTGTAGCTTAAAATTCGAGAAAAATATTTTTTTTGGAAATATTGATTTGAGGGTCTGGAGACGTTCTATCCTTTTTTAATCTCTCTAGTGTTAATTTTTGACAAATTTTATGTCGATTTATAGTAAACGATGTCTAGAGATTGACCTCGCTAAAATTGTTATCGATTGTCATTTCCCAGCCGCCTTAGACGCCATTTTTTATTATCATTATGGGTATATAGGGTATTTAGAGAATTTAAGCCACTGATGGATTTAACAACACTCACCATAATAAACGGTACTGCTTCCAAAAACTTTCTAACTCGTGGATTATTGCTGTGTTCTACCAACAACCTTGAACCGTGCCCTTCCCAGACTACCTGCTGCAAATTTGCTAAGTTCCTCTGATGAATCCATATCCTGATGTTGGATTTTTTAAAGTTGAGGCCTAGGATGACAATAAATAAGAATCATGAGATTGTTTTAGATAATGTGAAAAATATGACACATTTGAAATTAATAAATAAATATTTAGGTAAAAAATAAAAATAACCATCAAAAACAAGCTCGAATATCAAAAACAACAGATAAATTCAGCTAGAAACTCGTTAAAAAATTGCAAAATATTGAATTTTATTAAAAATGAATACGGTGTTATCATTTCAAAAAAATTAGATGCCCCTAAATAAAAGTAAACTGATATACTAAACAATATCTTTAAAATCGTTAAAAATTTAGATAAAAAATGAAAATAACTGATACCGACATTATAAAGAAGCTCCAAAATAAAAAACAACCCCAAAATAGACTCGAAACTCGTTCAAAACTCGCAAAATATTGTTTTTTTTTTAAAGATTGTTATAAAATGAAAACGGTGCTATTATTTCAAAAAAATTAGATGCCGCTAAATACAAGTGAATTCATACCTTAAACAATATCACGAAAATCGTTAAACATTTAGATGAAAAATGAAAATAACCGTAACCGATAATAGAAACAAGCTCCAAAATAAAAAAAACAACACGAAAATAGCTCGAAACTCGTTGAAAAATCGCAAAATATTGAATTTTGTTAAAGATTTTTATAAAATGAAACGGTGCTATTATTTTAGAAAAATTAGGTGCCTCTAAATACAAGTGAACTGATACCCTAAAGAATATCACGAAAATCGTTAAAAATTCAGATGAAAAATACAAATAACTGTTACCGACATCAGAAAAATACTGCAAGATCAAAAACAACACATAAATTCAGCTCAAAACTCGTCAAAAATCGCTCTATCGGCCACTAATACACCCCCTGTACCCCCAACGCATAACGGTACTGACCTGGAGACGCAGCCATGGTGTACGTACGCGAGCACCGGCACGTTTGAGGTGCCCTCGCTGCGGCTGGCCGTGTCACATTCCGACTTCAAATACAAACAAACCGCCGCCGTCACGTGGGGGTCCCCCGACTTAATTATTTAATATAACAATCGATTCGCGTCTGAGGGGGTTCGGGGGGTAAAATATTATCCCCCCGGTCCCTGCGTGGGGGGTAACGACAGAAGGATGACCGGAAATCGATCGGGCTGTCCCGTTTTTCGTCGCTGTCCCTTTCGGCGGGGTTAGATTGGGGTAGATAATGGGGAAGAAAAATATGAAAAGAAAGACATTATTTTGTTTTTATTACGTTTTTTTTTGGTAGGTGTCTGATAAATGTTAAGGTTGTTTTTTTTTGGTAGGGGGGTGAATTGAACTTTGTTTAAGATTGAGATTTCGATATTTGTTATAATTTTTTGTGTGGCATATTACGAGTAAGGTTAAAAGGATAATATTCATTTTTAATGGCCCAATTAATAAAATAATATTCTTTTTTTTCAAACGTCCGAAAGTATTAATATTTGAGACGTAATTGACAATATAAAACGTTTATTTTAACGCCTAGCCATAAAAGTAAAAAAAAATATTTGAGTGTACCTATTGTTGCTTGATATACAGGGTGGTCCGAACTGTATTCCGGAAATTTCGGCATCATATATTCTGCAGATAATAATAAGTAAAAAAGTTCGTATAAATGTATAGTTTCGAATTAAATGCGTAGTTTCGGAGATACAGGGTGTTGAAGTTTTATTTCGATCTTTTCCAAATAATTTCTGAAGTAAGGTTAATATTTGGATGAAAATTGGTGTCTGGGTGTTTTTTGATATGAGAAATTTGATTTTGATGTCAGTATGACTCCTATTTGTAGACGGCGCCACCTACATATTTTTTAACTGGTTTGAAGAGTAATAACATTTTGTCCGTACCTGTATAAACCGTATGAGTACAAAAATATACATTCACGACGTTTTTTACGTAAAAAAGGTCTGCTGGTAAAAATCGCTACGAGTAAATGGTTTTCGAGATATTTGGAAAAATCACGAAAATGTAAATTTTTTCACCTGGTAGTTTGATACAGGTACGGACGAAAAGTTATTGCTCTTCAAAACAGTTAAAATATAGGTAGCGCCCCCTACAAATAGGAGTCATATTGACATCAAAATAAAATTTTTATCTAAATATTAACGTTACTTCAGACATTATTTGGAAAAAATCGAAATAAAAATGGAACTTCTACACCCTGTATCTCTGAAACTAAGAATTTTAGGACATACATTTATACGGACTTTTTTACTTATTTTCATCTGCAGAATATGCTGCCGAAGTTTCCGGAATACAGTTCGAACTACCCGGTATAATCACTTACAAGGTTTTTCATTTTATATTATTTGTGACGTTTGAAAAATTGCATGTTCTCCCCTGTATTGTCAAACGTAAAGCCTTACCACAAAAGGTTTAAATTTTACTCCTAACAAAACAATATATATACTATTGTTTGTAAAAAGAAATAAAGAATTCCCTATTTGTCTAATTGTCATACAAGTATGCAAAACAATTATAGAAAATGACACCCGCTCAGTGTATTTCTACGATTATCTACCGGGAATTAGCAGCTGCGAATGAGGGAAAAATTGATAAAATTATTAAAATTCAACGATGCAGGCATCGTATCTTAATTTTCGAATGATAACCACCATTTACGGTTGGATGCGACTTGGACATGCGATGCAGACAGAAAAAGATATGCGACTGGTTGCTTGTTTCTATGCGAATTTTATTGAAAATTTTTTGCTAGTAGCTAGAGCTGTCAAAAATTGAATTCAAATAAATATATCATATCATTAGTCAGTGTGTTAAAAATTATAAGTAGGTATAATAAAAAAATTTTACAACTTCTTCTAACTCAACAACTTTTTAAAATCTTTATTTAGAGCATTAAAAAGTATCTTACTACTAAAATAAAAAAATAGCGGGGTGCCATTTAAAAATCAAAAGTTGTAGTGATTTCCGGTAAAACAGGAAGCGACCGAAAACAACTGAATACGTCAATCAAATCAAATTTATGTCATATTATACTAATATACCAAATTGCGTTTTTTAATCTGAAAAAATTAAAAAGTTATAGGGGTTTAAAAAGTTATACACTTTTGAGACGCACCCTGTATAAAAATACTACCTTAACAGTAACTAACCTAGGCCTTTATTTCTTTATTTTAAAAACAGTAAATTGCAAAGACTTACTTTCTTTGTTGGCTGTGCTTTTTCTCGAAGTAGTCGTCGTTTTTGGGCCACTAGGTAACTCCAGCTCTTGTAAATGAGTCGTATAGTATTTGGTAGAGTGTTGTCTATAGTCTACAGCAGATGGATCGGCACCGGCTGCTACCAGAAGCTTCTGTACAGTATTCGAATCTTTGCAGAGCAAAGAGTAAAAATATGGAGTTCTACCTTCCTGAAAATAAATATAGAGTGTCTCTTAAGTACTTTTGCTTTTCTACTCCAATATTTTTGAAAATTTTTATTTTTTTTACATTTTCTCGTTAAGAAATGAGATTATTTTAAGAAAAAAATTCTTACCGAGTCTCTCATAGCTACAGTTTGGGGGAATTTATCCAGCAACCACCTGTAGATGGCCTTCAAGTCGTAGTAAATAGCCTTGTGCAGTAAACCAACACCGCTTTCATCTTTGGCCATCACTAGCCTTTTCCTTTTTTCCGGTTCTTCGTCTAAAATACTCTGTAGTTCTGTCAGTCTATCGCTATTCACAGAATCGTGGAGTTGAGATATTTTGGACTAGAATATAAAAAAGAAATCATAATAGTTGTAGATGATAGCAGTCAGTTTTCTTGGGTATCTATCTTCGTTTTGGGAGTGGTCACAGTAAAGTTTCTCTGTTTATATCACTGTTTTGAGATTAAATAAATGTGAGAAATAGTTACCATAAGAGCTGGCACAGATTTCAAGAACATCCTTGTCTTGTAATCCGCCGAGTATTCTCCTACAAGTTTTTTTCCTTGACCTTCCAAAACGATCTGTTCCAACTTGTCTATGTCACCATTTCGAATCAGATGTTTAATATGAGCAGCGCTCATACTCAAAACTGAAAAAAGAAAATGAAAAAATGTACCAAAAACTCCAATCTTTAAAAGGATTTTCTCTATAAACTATCTGAAAACCTTGTGTGTGTTTCAGAGAGTATGGATATCTGAGATTGAGGTGGATACCTACCTCTAGGAGGGCTACTGTGTACATACAGACCCTTAGTATCCACTATGGCCCTTTTTCTCAAAACTGGCATTATTTAAAGTAATTTTTTGAACGTTGTCTTCATTTTGTACGCGTTTGCATAGTATAAATTGTCATCTGGAAAAGACAGAAGAAAATTATTTAGTTTTTAGGTCAATAGTTGATATCTACCATGTTTTTCATGGACAAAAACAGATATATCAAATATTAAATGAGTTATTGATCCACTTACGCAGAATGTTGATTAAATATTTATTAAGTTAATGATAATTTTACTATTTATTTGACATAGTTCTTGAATAATGTTTTTATGATTTCTTTTTTGCTTATTTTTAATTTATTTTACGAGTATTTGGAGACACTTATAATTAGTTTTCTAAAACTTATCTTGTATATTAACCTTGATATTACAACAATACACAGGGTGAGTCTTAAAATGCAAGTGCAAATATTTTCAGGGCTAGAAACAAATTTTTTCTTTGCCGTTTTTCTAATAAGTCCAAAAAACCAGAGTTATTTTACTTTGAAAATTTCGAAAAAAAAATTTTTTTTGCTTAAATTTTGAGAACCACTGAATCTTTTCTGGGGTTTCTTTCTTGTAAATTTAATCTACTACCTATATTGAAATATTATCAAGAAATTATGTTTTTTAACAAAAAAACTAAAAAATATTCAAATATTTTTTCAATTCCATATTCTCTACAAATTAGGAAACTAACATCATTTGCAAAAATATACGTTGTTAGGACCATGTTTTATCAATAATTAATTTTTACCATATTAGTTCGAAACTGCATTTATAATTTTCTATTTTTAACGATATACATGAATGTTTTAAATACCCATAGAATCCTGCATGGAATATTGCTTTTGCACAAAAATTATAATACATCAAATCAAATTGACGTACCGATAGCTGTCCGGAGTAAAATGATGATTAATTATGATAGCCTTTAATAAAAATGTATTTTCGGCGATTGTAATGTTTTGGAAATTTGGCAGGTCGTCAGTATCTATTGATAAAATCGATAAAATGGTCAAACTAAAGAAAATTGATGACTAATGTCTATAACTATATCCAGGGTTTGTTTCTTGAAAAAAAAAATCTGTTTTTATAGAGGTAGAAAAAGGAAGATTTTTTCGCAAATCTAAAATTTGTCAGCATTCATGGAATACAGGTCATAATTTGTATGTATGTCCCAAAATGCTTAGTTTCGAAGATACAGGGTGTAGAAGTTTCATTTTTATTTCTATTTTTTCCAAATAATTCCTGAAGTAACATCAATATTTGGATGAAAATTGGTGTCTGGAAGTTTTTTGAAATGAGAAATTTGATTTTGATGTCAATATGACTCCTACATGTAGAGGGCGCCACCTACATATATTTACTGGTTTGAAAATAAATAAAATTTCGATCGTACCAGTATAAAATTACTGAGTAAAAAAATGTACATCTGCGAAGTCTTTTACGCAAAAAAGGTCTCTCGGTATTTGGAATTGAAATTATCAATACCTGTCATCATTGACATAAATTACTTGTTGACTAAATAGTTATTAGACTGAAACTTCTACACACAAATGAAACTTCTACACCTTGTATCTCCGGAAAAGGAATTTAGGACCTACATTTATTCGAACTTTTTACTTATTTTTAGTTCGGACCACCCTGTATATTTTTACGTACTGCTTGTGGTATGAGAACCGAATATTGCGAGTTATATTCATAGATGTAGAAACAATGAATAACTGAAAAATTATCGATGTATTTTATTTTGAGTGTCCTTTATGCGTTCCCCTAACCCCATTATCAGCGCTATGGTTTGCCCCAAACTAGTATCTAATTATTGTCTGTCCGAACTTAATAGTCCTCAAAACAGTTGTCCTCAATAGTTTTTTCTTTAACTATACTTGATCGAATAATAAAAGCTTCTAAAAAAAGAATAAATTGATTTTTTTTGGCTATATCTCTGATTAATTATTAAGACCTAGGCCTAATTTGATTAGTGCTATTAAGTTTTTTTAGTTTTTTCTTCTTCCTTATTTCTAATTTTGTTTACTTGATTTCATAATCAATAAAAATATTATATTACATTATACAGAGCAGGAGTAAGTACAGCTACAAAAATGTGTTAAGGGACCAAGAAAATTTACTACAATCTATGAAAGATAGTACCAAGGAATATTTGCCATATATCTGGATAAAAAAGGAAAGGGTGTACAACCTTAAAAAAATATATTTGATGAAAGATCCGATAGCATCAAAAGGAAAAATAATAGAGGCTTTTTTTAATAAAATCTAATATAAATAAATCTATTGCTCAGGCATCTGTAAAGCTTAGTAATACAGGGTCCGGCAATAGTGCGTCGGGCATCTGTAGCTCCTACAATAAAAAACTTGAGAATTTTGTTTTAGTGCAAACCTAAAGTATGTACCAGGATGTATTTCAGGAAAATATTTTAACTTCTATAGGGTGGCTCAAAAAAGTGTGAGCGGACCTGGATGATTTTTTTTAAATGGAACACCCTGTATATTATTGCATTTTTGGCTTCTTTTCAGATCACTTTACATAACCCTAAGATATGAATAAATATATTTCCATAGTTTCAGAGATATTAAAAAATAAATTAAAAATATATATTTTTCAGCCCTTCTTAAAAAGATTATTAAAAATACAAGAACTGTTCTGAAATCAAAACGATATTAGGTATTTACTTTAGATGGTCTGTTCTTACTTTGCTATAAATATGGTAATCGTAATTCATACAGGATGTTCAATATTCTACGCCAAACTTTCTAAAATATAAAATATTTTTTCTTTGTTTTTTTAAATGGAACACCCTGTATGTAATTTTTTTATTAGATGGAGAGTTTAAAAATGAACATTTATTGTATTTAGAGTATTTCAAAATTTTTAACGGTTTCGCAGATACACACAGTATTATTTCATATGGCGCTTTCAATGGTAAAATACGAGAGAAAAATTACTGGGTGGCTTTGATAAAAATTTACTGTGGAAAATGCCATATGAAATATGAAACCGCAAATATCTGCGAAACTGTTAAAAATTTTGAAATACTCTAAATATAAAAAATGTTCATTTTTTAATTCTCCATCTATTGAAAAAATAATATACATGGTGTTCCATTTAAAAAAACGAAGAAAAATTATTTTATATTTTAGAAAGTTTAGCTTAGAATTTTGAACATCCTGTATAATTTACGATTTTCATATTTATAGCAAAGTAAGTACAGACTATCTAAAGTAAATACCTAAAATAGTTTTGTTTTGAGAACAGTTTTTGTATTTTTAATAATTTTTTTTAAGAAGGGCTGAAAAAATATATATTTTTGATTTATTTTTTAATATCTCTGAAACTAATCAAAATGTATTTATTCATATCTTAGGGTTATGTAAAGTGATCGGAAAGGAAGCCAAAAATGTAATAATATACAGGGTGTTCCATTTAAAAAAAATCATCCAGGTCCACTCACACTTTTTTGAGCCATTCTATAGATGTTAAAATCTTTTCCTGAAATACATCCTGGTACATACTTCAGGTATGCACTTAAACAAAATTCTCAAGTTGTTTATTCTAGGAGCTACAGACGCCCGACGCACTATTGCCGGACCCTGTATATGGCTATCATTTCTTAGATTTTAAAGAACATAAGTAAAAATCAAAAACAAAATAAAAGAAAGGACACACAGAAAGTTTTAAGTTTTTTTTGGGGTTTACTTTATTAAGTAATTGTTATCAGGCAGCAATTTTTAGTTTGAAGTTTTACTTCTTAAGTTATTTTAACAGAATTGTCAACTAAATTTATTATTTTTATTTTAATTTTATTAATTGTGATTAATAAAATTGCGTTTATGTCATCAACGAGGCCGAATTCGACAAAATATCAAGAGATAACTTTTAATTGTCATTAAACGACCTAAACGATTTTGATGTCAAAATAAAAAAAAGTCAGTGGCGCACATGTTGTTTTTTGAAAAATATTCCAGTGATAACCAAGATGCACGTAGTACTTGGAAGAAAATTAAAAAAATTAAAAATCGGAAGATTATTAACACTTTAACACCCTGTGGCTACGGAACAAAGTAGAATCGGACCTATGTTGATATGAAAAATAAATATTATTTTTACGTGAGCAATATCTCCACGAGAGATGGCACATTTTTTTTGAAGCACCCTGTATTATGTTTTTAATTAAAAAATAAAAAAAAAACTCGAAAAATTTTTGTTGCGAAAAAAACTTCATGGGCATGTTTTTGTTTGTTTTGTTTGGGTTTAAATGTATACCTGCCCTAAAAATATTTGTACTTTTTAAGAGTCACCCTGTAGAAGTAGAATGCCGCCGGTTGACGGTATTTTTAACAATCACCAATATGAAGAAAAAATAAAAAATAATAAGTTGGCACTCAATTTTTCAACTTACTGTTTTTATTTATGTATTATTATGTTTTTATTCACTATTTATTAGTGTTCACTGGCACTATTTGCACACTTTTCACATTACCACCAACGTTACAAACCTTTTCCGGGTCGCGTTATCTCTTCGGGACACTCTACCGATGAAAATGTCCATAAAAGCGCCTCCTGGCGGGAAACGAACGCACCCGCGAGAATGGACAGCGGCGAAAAGCCGTCCCATTGGCCGGTGCTTGTTGATTTATTTATGACTAGGCAAGGGTAGTGAGTTGGTGAGTCGGGGGATGAACGATCGGGGGAGGAATTGTTGCTCCAACTTCCCCTACCCCACCTCTTAACCTTTGAAATATTAGCAAATGTATGAGGTGTCTCAAAATATTTATGGAATCTTTAGTTTTGGATATTATTTTATTTAATAACATGTAAAGTTCTAAATTGACTGAAAAAATGATGAAATATAAGCGATACTGTACGTCTGTCCGTTCTGTAGCTACGGGGTATCCGTGAGAGGGGAAACGATATTCTCTCCATGTTTTTCGTAAAAAATTAGACGACGTGTCCCATCAATAAAAATTCGACAAATTTGCAAGTGGCCAATAAAATGAGTGGGCGGAGTAATTTGCGCTGACGTACTCGTGAAGTCGACGTATAAAATATATTGTTGTTTATTTAAATGTTTTTTTGTCCGCATTCCTTTCATAAACGGCCCACACATTATACGATTTATCGTACTGCAGGTTGTACAACACAAATTTGATTCGACCGTTTGAACGACATATCGGACGCGCTGTTGTCCACAAACTTAAACTACAACTGGCCACACATTAATACGATTCGTCGTACTACATGTCGTACGATAAGTTGATACAACCGCTGGAACGACAGATCGGATACGCGTTTATTCACTAACTAAAACTACCATTTGATGTTAATCACCAACAAGTAGTAGTTTTATTTTCCATTCATTTTGAATTCTATTGTGTTCAACGTCAACATGACATCGAATTTATCAAAAAGGACTCTAGCTGCAATTTTGTTAGTTTTGTTAGACGAAGACGAAGAACAGCCCAAAAAAAGAAGAAAATGGTGGAAAAATTGGTTACAAAAACGACAACTCTACTCTCTACTATGAACCTTTTACGTGAAATAAGTGCTAATGAACCAGTCGATTTTAAGAACTACTTACGAATGGACGAAGATATTTTTAAGTCACTGTTACAATTAGTAGGCCCTAAAATTGTGAAACTAAATACAAAATTTAGAGAGGCTATTAGCGCTGAAGAAAGATTAATTGTTACACTAAGATATTTGGCAACTGGAAATAGTTATGAAGACCTTAAATTTCGTACGGCTATTTCACCTCAATCCATTGGTAAAATAGTGCCTGAAACATGTTGCGCGATTTACGAAGTTTTGAAGAAGGAATATTTAAAGGTAAGTCTTTGAGGTAAGTAGAAACATAAATAGTAAGATAGTTATTATTAAATTCACGTCTAAAAGCAGTCCGAAAGTTATTAATTTTCTTTTTCAGAAATTCTATTGTAGCATCTGCTTTTATTTCTTTTAATTTTTCCAGTAGGATATCATAACTGGCATTTTTTTTTGTTTATTTAGGTATTCCTTACTTTTCACATCCCACAAACAAGGTTGATTATGATAAATTTCTATAAATTCCGCCCAAAACTTCTCGTTGGTATCCATTTTAAAGAGATTGTTTAACCATGTGCAACGAAAAATGTAAACGATCTGTCTGCGACACATAGGGTTTGCACACAAACCATCAAATCTATCGTATATACTACTGCGTTGTACTACAGATTTTCTGCATGCCATACTTCCGTACGATACGACTTTGTCTTACTACAAGTAGTACTACAAAGCCACTAAAACGGGCCACAGATTATACGATTTATCGTACTACAAGTTGTACAACATCAAATGGTTTCGACCGTTGGATCAATGGTTGGATAGTTAGTGGCTTTGTAGTACTACTTGTAGTAAGACAAAGTCGTATCGTACGGAAGTATGGCATGCAGAAAATCTGTAGTACAACGCAGTAGTATATACGATAGATTTGATGGTTTGTGTGCAAACGCTATGTGTCGCAGACAGATCGTTTACATTTTTCGTTGCACATGGTTAAACAATCTCTTTAAAATGGATACCAACGAGAAGTTTTGAGCGGAATTTATAGAAATTTATCATAATCAACCTTGTTTGTTGGATGTGAAAAGTAAGGAATACCTAAATAAACAAAAAAGAAATGCCAGTTATGATATCCTACTGGAAAAATTAAAAGAAATAAAAGCAGATGCTACAATAGAATTCAAAATGAATGGAAAATAAAACTACTACTTGTTGGTGATTAACATCAAATGGTAGTTTTAGTTAGTGAATAAACGCGGATCCGATCTGTCGTTCCAGCGGTTGTATCAACTTGTCGTACGACATGTAGTACGACGAATCGTATTAATGTGTGGCCCGTTTAACTATCCAACCATTGATCCAACGGTCGAAACGATTTGATGTTGTACAACTTGTAGTACGATAAATCGTATAATCTGTGGCCCGTTATAGACACAGATCCAGCAGACGAACTGTACCAATTAGATTTTTAGTTACGTAATCGAGGGCACGATTTTTGAATTCATTGTTGCCAACCATAGACATATTCGGCGCCGGGCTGACTAACTGGAATTTGAATTTCCCACTGGGGATTCAGGTGGTAGCTCTGCTGTGAAAAATGTCAAGTTGCCACATTTATTTATTTATTTTCTGGCATTGTCATTCGTTTTGACGCTTTAGTCCTCAACTGGGAATGTCCACGGAATACCGGGACATCCTGTAAGTCCTATAGTAATTAAAACGCGAAACTTTGTGCTAAACGTATAAAAAAATAACAACTTACAAAATATATTTTTAATGTATTTATTCCATTGAAAAAATACAGAGCTGTCGTAAAAGTTTCTAAGCACTAAGTTGAATGAAATAAAAGCGCTAACAACTTGAAATTCGTGTTGTAAACGTCAAAATTTAAACGTTAAAAACGCTAAAACGTAAAATGGACAAATATTTGCGGACGTGAAAGCTTAATCGCTTGGAGAGTTTTAATATGGGCTCGTATTAAGTGAAATTGGATCTGAATGACGCCAATAATTTCAGTCACGACAAGCTCTTAAGGAGCGACATGCGAACCCTTTCCAGCGAAATTACGGTAAAAAGGAAATAAGTTAGGAAAGGCAAAGAAAAAATTATACAAATTGCACATTGTAGTTTTAGAAAAATAAAGAAAATACTATTAGCCATTTGTGAAGGTACAGGGTGGGCCAAATTGGACACTTTTAAAGGGAAACACCATTTTGGTGTTTGGAGCTCAATTTTTATCAAAAACATGATGGTGAAATCCGCACATCGATATCTGTAACCGTTTGAGTTAAGGGGTGTTTTTCAAAAATGTGCATTTTTAACAAATCGCTGTAACTTTTTTTTGCTATGGAAAATTTTCTATTTTTGTGAAAACATTTCCAAAGCGCCTTTTTACGTAGAATTTAATGGTTTAAGTATAATTTTTTAAAAATTAGTAATTTAAGAGTTAACAACAGAAAAATTGATTTTTTATTTGGGACTTATAGCTTAATAGTCAATGCAAAAAACTCATCGCAACTTTATTAGAATAATTTCAACTGTAAAGCGGTAGTAATGGCCCTTTATGTCCCTTAAGTACTGTTAAAAACGTGAGTTTTGTTGATGTAAATAATAATTGTTTATATATTTATAATTAATTTATTTTTGTTTTCTAAAATATTTTGATTAAAAGCTTAATCACGTGACTAAAAATTTTTGGCATGAACTGTAGTGATATATATGATTTGTACAATAAGTTGCTATTTTTTTCCTACAGTATAAGTTATCGACACAATATCAAAACTAGCCAACCACTTCGATTTTTTTTTTGAACAATAATGAAAGGTTATTAGGGCCTAGACTCTCCATTGTTGTTTTCACCTTTTGGTATATTTATTTGTAAAGAAAAAAACAATTAACCGGTCTATTCTTGTGTGAGTAGCGATCAATAGCAGACTTTCATCAAAAATGTTATTTAGATTTTTAAAACAGATACCTACGTCATCGCAATATATATTTGTGCGTTATTTAATAAGGGAGATATTTTTGTAAAGCAGTGGTTCATTTTCCATTCTTCTTTAGCTTAAAATATCATACGATCGAAAAAAAACGGCGTCGAAGACCCTTGGAGAATGACAATCAATGATAATTTTGGCGAGATCTTTTTTATTTTTTGTTGACCTCAAAAAAGTGGTAATTTATTTTTATATTGAGTATAATGATTTTTAAATGGAGTAGTTTAAAAATCTTTCTATAATTAGTTTTAATGTTTGACAAATTTTATGTCAGTTTTTAGTAAATTGACCTCGCCAAAATTATCATTGATTGTCATTCCCCAGCGGTCTTTGAAGCCTTTTTTTTCGATCATACGGTATAATATCTACAGAAAAAAATAATCAGAACAGTATATAATTTTGTCGTACCCTCTACAACTAACAAAGTCACATTTACTTTAGTTAGACATTAATAAAAAAAAGTCTTAAAACTAATTACCAATTAAATGTTAACTTGCTTCTCGAAGTTTTAAAAAAAGACTACGTTTTTAAATAAAATTATAGTTATTAAGCTTTATAAAAACTACCCAAAAAAACATTGTTTTGAGAAATTGACATTTTTGTCTATTATTCTCTGAAATAAATTTACACAAATCCTATAATTAGTACCTAGGCAAGTTCTGTCATTAGTGGTATATATTTAAAAGTGCATTTAGACGACTGTTTCAGAAAAACTATAACAATGAAAATGTGTTCGACGTATTTGCTGCTATTTTTACTGGTTGCTCTTCTGCCAAGTTCACACCAAGGTAACAAAAATTTCTCATTCCTTTACTTATTGCTTTGAATTTATATTTTTTTTCTGTCAAAGCTGATCAGAATTCAAGTCAGTGCGATAAAAATGAGGTTTATAGATGCGAAGATGAAATAGAAAAAACTTGCAGTACGCTTGAAAATGAACGAAAGCCTGTAAACTGTAAATGTTATTGTAAAAGTGGAACGTTTAGAGATGCAGTGTCTGGAAAATGCGTTGGAAAATGTCCATGTCCGAAAGGAATGGTGTTCAGGTATTTCTAATCAATCAAATAATAAAAATATAGAATGATATAATGTTCATATCAAATAAACTTTTAGTCACGTGATTAAGCTTGACCGGCACAGTGTTGCCCACTTTTACATATTTTATTTTAATCAAAATATTTTAGAAAACAAAAATAAATTAATTATAAATATATAGCCAGTTATTTACATCGACAAAATTCACTTTCTTAACAGCACTTAAGGAACATAAAAGGTCATTACTATAGTTTTCCCATTCAAAATATTCTAATAAAGTTGCGATGAGTTTTTTTACGGCTATTAAGCTATCTTGTACCACTTTGCACTAAAAGAGGTCCTAAAAAGAACAATGTTCGACCGCAAGGTCTGCTAGTAAACATTTTTAAGCTTAAAGTATCACACCACTTTTTATTTAAACCAAAACCTCTTAATATACAAAATTAAAGTGTCAAAACGAACGACAATGTGAGGAAATAAATAAATAAATGTGGCAACTCGACATTTTTTACAGCAGAGCTACCACCTGAATTCCCAGCGCAAAATTTAAATTCCAGTTATTCAACCCGGTGCCGAACATGTCCATGGTTGGCAATAATGAATTTAAAAATCGCGCCCTCGATTACGTAACTAAAAGTTTAATTGATATCAAATATATTTTAGTAAAACTCTGTATATTCTTTTTTGTCATCAAAGAGTCAAAATTTTACGGTAATATGGTGCCAAATATAACTATTTCTTTTTAGGTACTTTAATAAATGCTTGGATGAATGTAAGTTACAGCCTTGTACCAAAGAAGCTGTTGAAGGCTGTTATTGTCCAATAAATCAATGTTGGGACAGCGAAAGATGTGTCCCCAGAGTATAAAGTATATTATTCTAAATATAAAACATAATAAATCGTCGGTGAAACGTGATAAACTGCTAACTCCATTATTCCTAATTTTACAGGAGAGCAAAAAAACGGTACAAAAAAATATGTATACATGTGGGAAGTATTTTGATGCGTTAATATGATAAAGAGATAAGAATTTTTCATTTGTCATTTTTTTCCGACACAATAGGGAGATAGCAGATATTCGTCTTGCAGAAATAAGAAATAAAAATATACTTCTGGAGATAGCAACCTTTATTGTTTGAAATTTTGTGCAACCTTTATTGTTTGAAAAAGTGGAAATGAATATTACCCAAACAGATTTATAAATAATCAATTAAATTTAAAAAATATTAGATTCATAACCAAAACATTCAAGTCCAAAAACGAATAAATTTTTATTGAAAATTTTAAAATTTTTTCCATTTTTAAAGAACTGAAGTAGCAGAATTTTGGACTTAATGAATATGAAAATAATTTAAAAATTAAACTTATAATTCTTAGAAGAAATGGTAGAATCCTTCCATGCTTATCCTAATTTTTACACAACGGTAGTAGACCGAGCTTTGAAGACAGTGCGTGATTTTATTAAATTTTTATTACTTTTCTCCTTATTTTTTTAATTTTTATAAAAAGTATGTATCATTTACGTGAAAATACGTTGAAAAAAATAAAACTGATTAGGTATTATGGAAATTCTTGTACAAGTAAGTAATGTTATTTAAACTATTTATAGCACGCGGATGAATTGCTCGTATATAGAGAATTTCGTTTTTCCCGTTACCCTTTACGGATACCCTGTATTTACAGAAGGGATCGACGCAGGGTCGAACTGGCCATATTATATAGATAACTATTAGGGGGGCCCCTTATAGTTCATTAATAATTAAAGAGAATTAAGAATAATTATTATTCTCTTAACAATATTTGCTTTTGCATTGCATTATGGAATTTGCATTGCATTGATTTACCTTGCATTAGGGTATTTCCCTGATTTCTATACAGGGTGAGTCTTAAATAAGTGCAAATATGTGCAGGGCTGGTAAATCTCGATAAAAGAAACATAATATTTTCTCTTTACCGTTTTTTCAAATAAATCCAAAACAACCGTGTTATTTCACTTTTAAAATTTCCAATTTTTTGCTATAATTTTGAGAATCATTGTATTTTCTTTCTTGTAAATTTAATCTACTACCTATGTTACCATATTACAAACAAAGTATGTTTTTAAACTAAAAATTAAAAAAAAATCCCAAATGTTTTTTTTTAAATTCCAAATTTTCAAAAAAAAAATCGCGCAAAAAAACTCATAATCGTGTTTCTTGGGTCGAAATATACTACCCTAAAAATATGCACTTATTTAAGACTCATCCTGCATAAAATAGGGAAAAATTGACCAAAACGTAAGGCGAAAAAATACGCCAAAAAAACATACTAGCCCCTCCTAACATTGCCACCCAGGCCCCTTTGTCCTAGTGCGACCCTGGATCGACGTACTGTACTAAAAAAACATACGACTAAAAATCTGTGTGTTTGCTTTAGCGTGATCGTAACGAAAATTACGGAGATAGCAGCATTTCGGTGGCTATTTCAGATCACTAGGAGTTAGCAGATATTACTGAGTTAAAATAAAATATTTTCTTTAATGGGAAAAAATATGTTTGCTTTCCCTACTTATAGAGTTTTTTTTTCTCTTTCTAATGGTATAAAAAAACTTTTTAACGTAAAAAATGGAGTTAGCAGGTTATCACGTTTCACTGACGAAATAGGAAATAATTATTTCTATACAATGTAATATTGATCCTTAAAAAAACCGTCTCTATAGAGTGTTAACTTTTTTTTTAGTGGGCTTCTTACCTCAATTACTTAGTGACGAGCAAAACCCTTGGTCTTAGTCTTGTTACTATACTCTTGCAACTCTTGCAATTTTTAATAGATTAGGAAAACTAGAGGTATTTTTTACATAGAAAATCTTTAAATAAATAGTATAAAATACCAGTGACTTTATTTATTAATTTCCTTTATTTTTCTTTTAAAAATGTATGTAGAATGTAGAAAGCAGAAATAATGAAACAATGATTTAGGTACAATAGTTCCTTATTCCTAAAAAGCTTTAAGTTGGCATTTTGCACCATCCCAACAGTAATAGGAGGGGCAAAAACATCCCTGCACGACGTAAAATGGACATATTTCTGATTCACAGCTGTCAACACAACTGTTGCTTTCCCTAAATTGAAAAAAAAACAATTTAGGTTAAAAAATATAGACATGTATATACAGAACTTGAAAAAATTGGTCTGATATCCTTTTAATTCATTTATTTTCTTAAAATTAAACTTAATATACCTAAATATTTTTCCTCCAAAACAAAGACACGTTTTAGTGCATTGTCCTGTGTAGAAATCTCTCTGGAACCCGTCCTTGCAACAGCAAGAGCAACTTTGTGATCCTACTTCATTATTTGGATACAGTGGACATGTTACTTCAGTTCCATCTACTGTGTATTCTTCGTTATAACTACATGCTATTTTATGGGAGAAGCCTGATATTATTAATTAATATGATATGGTTGAGTTAAAGTATTTAATATACAGGGTAAGTTTTAGACCTCAGGAACAAGCCTATGAGGTTTTTTTGCGAAAAAAAAATGAAAATTTGCTGTTCTAAAAAAAATGGATTTTTTTAAACTTTTAGTTAGAAAAACGGTTTTCTTTATAGAGATCTATCAGCCCTGACAATATTTGCACTTACTCAAGACTATATTATAACATTCGTTACTATGTTTACTATTTTTTAGCTTTTTAGAAAATTCGTAAAACTTTTCAAATTTATATTTAATTTTTTAATATCTTTTTTGTAGTAATATTGTCAGAATATTGGCTTTAGTGTTATTTTTTTTTAACTTTAGATGAATTACTCTAACTTACCTGAAATACAACTCGAAAATACAGTAGTAATAACTGAAAAAATTAAAATAAAACAAGCCCAGCGATTCATTTTTCTTCTGTAATAGTACTGCAAAGTATATTTTGCTGAATTCTTTAAAACTATAAATTCAAACATGTGAAATTATATGTTCATGTCATAGTCGCTTTTGAATAATCTTATTTTTTGTTAACGAATAGGTTTCAAGATAAATAACGACATTTAAATTGTTATTTTTTTAACTCATGATTTAAATTAAATGTGCATACATTGTTTTATATACAGATTTGGTCATCGCAGAAACGTGGTCTGGATGCTTTCCATCTTAGTGCTTTCCATAAAGTCAACAAAATGAAAAATATACGAAATAATATACATGTACTGATTTCTTTCGAAAATCGACAACTATGAAACTATGAACCCTTCCTGGATACCAACGGTACATTGTGAGACAGGAAATTGTAGAGGGAAACAAACTCTATAACATAGGGTAAAACATTTTAATGAACAGTGCTTTACATAAAATCAATAAAATGAAAAATATACGAAATAATTCTGATTTCTTTCGAAAATCGACAACTATGAAACTATGAACCCTTCCTGGATACCAACGGTACATTGTGAGACAGGAAATTGTAGAGAGAAACAAACTCTATAACATAGGATACAACATTTTAATGAACAGTGCTTTACATAAAATCAATAAAATGAAAAATATACGAAATAATTCTGATTTCTTTCGAAAATCGACAACTATGAAACTATGAACCCTTCCTGGATACCAACGGTACATTGTGAGACAGGAAATTGTAGAGAGAAACTAGCCCTATAGCATAGTAAACACTTGTAAAATATACGAACAAAACATAGACACTTTGATCTTTACCGACTCGAGACGGGACATTGAAAAGTGTCGAATTTTGAAACAAAACAAAAATGAGACAAAAATGTCGCAGAAATGTATTGGATTTGTCGCAATTTTGTCGTAAAACATGAATTGTCGTTGTTTTGTCTGCTTGCTTAGTCTGTACCCAGCATAAGAAGGACAAAAACAAAATGTATTAAGTGGTTTTAATTTTATATATTTTTATTAAAGATTAGTAACACAAAGATTGTATTAATAAGTACGTATTTATACATCTGTTAAGAGTACTTTTAAAAGTACTTATTCATTAAGTGGTAGCGTTTCTTCTGATGCATGCTGATCCATTCCAGCACTGAATAGGAGGGCAATAACAGCCCCATATTAAGATTAACGGGCAAGGATGTGTAATTACACACTGGTCGAAGCAGTTGTTACTTTGCCTAGAAACAAGTATATTTTTATGATAATTTATAATTTAATAATTGTCCACATTTTGTGCTAACAGGTACTAAAATTGGAATAATTGTATTCTAGATCTAGACAAATCTTTATTTTAGCATAACTTTTGGAAATACTCATTAATAACTACCTTGTATATGTATTAAAAACTATGAAAATTATAAATAATGAATGATTTACTAAAAATAGTTTTTAGGAAAAAAATCTAAAAAGTTTCTGGAGATTGGTAGTACATCTTCAAATAAAATTTGTTTCATGGCAGTATTGATTAATGAGGAAAAAACAGCGAAAAAAATGGCGTCAAGTGGGCTTGGAAATAATAATCAATGACGTTTACCGTAGTTCCAGCCTGGTAATGCCCGGTATGGATCAGTTCATACTAGTAAACGGTAGAATGTCAAATGCTTGGTTCATATAAAATAACTTCGATGTTTATTTTCAAGCCCACTCTGACACCGTTTTTTTCAATAGTATGGTCTTCTATATTTTGTTTGTTTATGGGACACAAATACAGATTTTATATGTAGAATATGATATATTTTATATTTTGACCATAACTTTGTATATTACAGAGATATTCAAGCTAGATAAAGAAAATTTAATGTCCAGGAGTAGAGACAACAAAAATTATCAGCTAATATCATTTCAAAAACCACTATAACGCCGATTTTTTTTAGATTAGTTTTTCTATAGAAAAGTTTTTTTATATATATATTATAAGATAATTTTCGAATGAATTAATGTATGTTACTAGTAGTACTCTTGAAGTACTGATTTATGAAATGGTGGTATTACTATTGATGCATTGTGTTCCATTCCAGCATGTATATGCAGAGCAAAAACATCCCTGGATTATATAGAGAGGACAAATATGGTGTACGCATTGATCCCAACAATAGTTACCTGGCCTAGAAATAAATAAATTAATGCTGTAATAGTAGGGGAATCCCAGATGCTAAATGGGGATTTACTCCAGCGTCGTGGTAACCTGTTGTATTCAGAAAAGATAGATGTTAAGTCAATTTCACTAGTCGGAAAAAGTAGCAAAATAAGCGTTCGGCATTTAAAGTTTTATGTAAAACTGGCTAGGTATTGTTACACAAATGAAGAAGGAAATTAAAGATAAAGGATTATACTATATTCGTATTGTAACACATTTTTAGACAACTTTTTTATTTTTATATTTATAAGATTTTGATGGTCAAACATCAACAAAATATTCCTTATGTTTGGACTAAATTTTCTCGAAAATAAAGGCATAATTTAAAATTCCGTTGTTATACGGAAATAGATTGAAGTTTTGTGATTACAATGATATATAATTTATATGATTTTGTAACAAATCGCTCGCTATTTTATGGCAAATGCTGAAGCTCTGCAAACCTTAATCAAGCCTTGATCAAAGCACGTGTGTGCTTTACCCGCACTTTACCACACACCCGCTTTACCCGATCCCTGAGAGCGACCCGAACAATATAGCCTCTTAAGTGAACCCTAAAAAAGCACATATTCAAAAGACTAACGATTTGAACGCGAACAAAAGTCACGGGCAGATTTTTTAGAAATACTTATTAGTTCTCAGCATCACACTTTATTGATGATTTTAGGTACTTCAGCTTGTGGAAACCGGTAGATTATGCCAATCCACTGATTTTTCAATGGTTTCCTTCAAAATAATAAAAAAACTACTTATGATTCGTTTTAGAACGAAGAAAAATTATTAAAACTTGCAGGAATTTTTATTTCGCGCTTTCTTACCCCATTCTGTTGTTTTATAATATCTGAACTGAACAATATACAATAATTCATCGCAAACAAAAAAATTTGCTCGCATTTTGGAGGATTTTGTATATTTACCTCCATACTTTTCCCAGTGGACAAGAACATTCCTTCACGCAGTTTCCACACTTATCTCTCCAATAGCCAGGCAAACAGAAACATCTACACACTTCTTGATTTTCAATTTTTGTGTCAGGACACGGGAATTCTATAGCGTTATTGGTACCATTGCACCTGTACTCTGAATTTTCTTTACAAGCCGGAGCATTTCCTAATGGTTAATAAATATACGGTGTAAAAGGAAGAAATAAAGTGACTTTGTTCTTTATCAGGGTGTACACACCCTAAAAAACGTTTTTCTTTTAAATGTAGTATGGTCCAGATATTTGGACTTTTATTCTCGATAAATATCTCAGAAATTCAACAAACTTATTAGTTTACATTCGTAAATGAACTAGAAAAATATATAAATATGTTTTGCTTAGTATACAGGGTAGAGAATAGCTACAATTTTTTTTGAAGTTTGAAATTTTTATTTTTGTACAATATGTGTAATGTTTTCTACTTTCTTTAAGTTTAAACAACAAATAGATGTAATATTTCTTACCCTGAATATAACCAATAAAAACGATAATCAAGATACTTGGCAAAATGTAAAAAATTCTCCTGAAAGTATACATATTTCAGCAACGCTTTTTTATGTTTCACTTGACTATTTTTGCGTTAAATGGTACAAATTAGTAGTTGGATGTTTATTTAAACATTACAAACGTTAGGGTTAAAATAGAATTAATTGGAAATAATTAGGGAAAAATATTTAAAACTGATAATTTTTATCAATTCGACAATGCTTAAATATATTTTTAAATAAAACATGGTGTTTACCTAGTCAAAAACATATATTTTTTATAAAAATAAAACTTTTCAAATAAATGTGTTAAATATTAACTGATATAAATGAATAATAATTATTGTTTTTTTTAAAAAAAGAAATAAATAATAAACTGGGCATATACCAGGGTGGTTTAAACCATAGTTTTACCCTTTAAATAAAATAATTATCGTTATCTACGTATGGCCATTACTTATAAAACCATCTTATATTACGTACATATATACAGGGTGGCACCCTGTATACACGTAATAATAATAAATACTCAAAATCACTTCCTTTAAATTTACCTGATGCAAAACATTTCCATAAAAATTCAGACTCTTTCTATTATGGGAAGGAAATAAAAAAAGGTATTAGATAGTTATGATCTTATATTATGTATTTATTTTTAGGTACATTATCTATTTATAAAACTAATAAGAGTAAAATTACTTATTTTTTTATCCTGTGGAAGTATTTCTTCAGGTGCATGTTTCTTCGTTCCAGCAACCCCACATTAAGTACTGGGGACAAAACCTGTTGTTACATTGGTCGAAGCAACTGTTACCTTCCCTAGAAACAAGTTAATTTATATAACTTTTTAATTTATATTCGACCATAGTTTGTGTTAACAGGCACCAAAATTGAAATAATTATACAAAAGTTAGAAAAAAATCTATATTTTCGTTATTATATTTACGTTAAAAATTCACACAATTAATTTACAAGTAAAGAAATTTAGAATATATCTATGTGATGAATATTGTACGATCGAAAAAACGGCGTCAAGTTGGCTTGGAAATGACAATCGATGACAGTCGCTTTATACATATAATTTTAATCTATACTAATAAATAAAATCCTTAAGTGACTGACTCACTGATTAATCACGATCCTGCTCAAACCACTCAACGTAAGAAGCTCAATTTTGTCACACAGGTTGACTCTAGGGTGCAGAGGTTCGATAAGAAGGGATTTTTCGAAATTCCAGTTCCAAGGGGGTGAAACCACCCCTGAAATATTACAATATTTTTTATTTAAAAAACGGTCAAGTTTCCGAAAAAAAACGCTTAAACACGTATATTTTATTTTGTTTTTTACATATTTTAAGATTTTTTAAAAATGTATACAGGGTGTTTCGAAAAATCTGGTCATTGATTGATCACGATCCTACTTAAAGCGCTTGACGGAAAAAAGCTGATTTTTGGAAAACGGATTGACTTTAGGGTGTAGAGGTTCGATAAGAAGGGATTTTTCGAAACTCGAATTCTAAGGGGGTGAAACCGCCACTCATATATTAGAATATTTTTTATTTAAAAACCGGTGAGTTTTTCGGAAAAACTCTTAAACATGTATATTTTATTTTGTTGTTTTACATATTTTAAGATTTTTTAAAAATGTATACGGGGTGTTTCATAAAATATGACCACTGAGTAATCACGATTCTGCTTAAACTGCTTGACGTTTAAAGCTGATTTTTGGTAAACGGATTGACTGTGGGGTATAGAGGTTCGATAAGGAGGGGTTTCTCGAATCTCAAATTCCAAGGGTGTGAAAATGCCCCTCAAATATTACAATATTTGTTATTTAAAAAACGGTTAGTCTTTCGGGAAACCACTTGGACACGTATAATTTATTTTGTTTTTTTAGATATTTTGAATTTTTTTAAAAAATCATACAGGGTGTTCCTAAAAGTTAATTAAAAGGTAATTGATTAACCACGATTCTGCTTAAACTGCTTGACGTAGAAAGCTTATTTTTGGCAAACGGATTTTTCGAAAGTCAAATTCCAACGAGATGAAACTACCCCTCAAATATTACGAAGTTATATAATAATATCGCCATATTGTTTTTTTTCTCATGCTGACATAAATGTGAGAAAATTTTATCCAGTTTGTATGTTAATGGAAATTCTTGCTTTGCTTTATCATCACCATTACAAATGATTAATTCGACGCGAACGAAGTCGCGGGTACACGCTAGTTTTACATATAACATCGATCTTCATTTCCAAGCGAACTCTAAAGCCGATTTTTATTTTCCACTCTATCTACACTATATTATAGATTAAAAACAACGTCAGTGTAGGCCTAGAAAGAAGCAACAATTTAGTTCAGATGACATAATTTTGACTTAATCAAAATGGACACTGCCAATAAGCTGTTAAGTTTTTTTTTTATAGAAAGATAAATAACATTAAAAATGAACTGTATAGTACATATAAAAGTATGTAATAAAATAGGAGTACTCTTGAGAGTACTGAATGTTTAAGTGGTAGTATTTCTTGGGATGCATGCTGTTCCATTCCAGCACAGACCTATGGGGCAAAAACAACCCCAAGTTATGTATTTTGGACAATTTTGGACTTTGCATTGATCCACGCAATGATTACTTTCCCTAGAAATAAATAAATTCATTTTGTACCTTGTTTCACAAAGTATGGTGAAAGATAGTATTTATATAATTTGTTATTCTAATTTGTTTCCTTAATAATTCTAAATGTGTGGTTTTTTTATTGTGGTTTGTTGAATAAAGCATATAGAAAAAAAATACAGATTTCTGCGATTTTGGTCATCAAAAAAAAATTGCTCGCATTTTTTAGTATCCTGTATACTTTTCCGGGTGGACATGGACATTCTTTCACGCAGTTGCCATTGCCATCTCTCCAATAGCCTCCATTGCAGAAACATTTACACACTTCTTGATTTTCAGGTTTGGTGTCAGGACATTGAAACTCTATACCGTTGCACATGTACTCTGAATTTTTTTTACAACGCGGAGCATCCCCTAATGGTCAAAAGATACAGGGTGTAAAGGAAATAATCTGACTTTGTCCCATCACCAATTATACAGGCTCTAACCATATTTTTTGTTCCTTTTAAATGTTGTGTGTTGTTTTAGTTTCCCAGAAACTTTTTTTCTTGTTAAAAATCCCAGAAACTCAAAAAACTTATTAGTTTGCATTAGTAAATAAACCAGAAAAATATATAAAAATGTTTATATTAGTTTACAGGTTAAGTTTGGAGTTGAAATTTTTATTTTTGTACAATAATATGTGTAACGTGTTTTCTATTTTTTCTAAAAGTTTATACAAAAAGTAGACATAATATATCTTACCGTGAATATCACCAATAAATAGGATAATCAAGATACTCTGCAAAATGTAAAAAAATCCCCTAATAGTATACATATTTCGGCAAAGTTTTTTTATGTTTCACTTGACTGTGATGGTTACAAATTAGTTGTAGGTTTTTTTTTATTTAAATTACAGCGTTAGGAATTAAAATAGAGTTAATTGGAAATAATTAAGGAAAATATTTAAAACTGATAATTTTTATCAAATTCACAATGCTGAAATGCATTTTAAATAAAATATGGTGTTATGTGTATACTCCAATACCTATATTTTTAATTAACAAAAAATAAAAATTTTGTAATGAATGTGTTAAATATTAACTGATATAAATGAATATTTTATTGATTTACTTAAAAAAAAATAATAAACTGCATATACCCCCCATGGTGGTTTAAACCATAGTTTTATCGTTTAAATAAAATAATTATCGTTATGTACGTATCTGGTAAATTCTTGGTAAATTTAATATTCAATATTCAGCAAATTCTTTTTGTAAATGTCTCCTTTATTTTGTAATAAGTAAAAAATTCAAAACTATTATGTAAGACATTTTTAACTTTGATTTTGTTACTATTTCTAGTAGGTACACACACTTATTACAGTAGGTACTCAGTATTTATTTAATATATTTAATTAAATTATCTGCCAAATATTGCTTGAGATCACAGACTTAACCATAGACTAACCTCTAATTTAGTTTGTGTTGAGATTCATTTATAAAAAATTGTATGATCCTTTGTGAAAAGCTTATTTCCCAAAAACTATAAATTTATTTTTGTTTTTAGATCATCAAACTGGTAGAAGTAGTTCTATAACTGCAGCTATTACTGGTACATCAGCTTTTATTTCTCCACTCCATGAAGATACACAACAGAACACAGGTTTTATGACTGTATTCCTTTTCGGACAAACTCATAAAGGTTTGTAAAAAAATCAAAATTGTTATTTTAATACTTTTTATAATTGTAAAACTAGAATTTCGAAAATATTAGTAGTTAAATTCTATAATTTATACGTGAATTTCAGTACAAATCAAATTTTAGCAATTTAGTGCCCAGTATATTTGTTACCTTCCCTGGTAACAAATATTTTTATAATGTTCTCTACTTTATACAAATTTTACCATAATTTGTATTACAAATATACTATTTTTGTGCTTTACAATATTTTCCTCTGTATTATATTTATACAAAGATTTTCTTTCGAAGTTTTTTAGAGACATTTTGCAACATATTTGCCTGACATTACTTATTAAAACCACCCTGTATATACGTGATAAAAATAAATAAACAAAATCACTTTTTTTGCCAAATAGCTAAATATTTCTTTAAAAAATCAAGACTCTTTGTATTGCAGGGAAATAAACAAATTCATTAGGTAGTATGATTATATATTTTTTAATGATTATGATGACACTGAGAATCTATATTTATAGTACTTAAAAGTATTTATTTATCTATGAAGTGGTAGTATTTCTTCTGATGCATGTTGTTCCATTCCAACATTGGCTGATGGTTGGACAATAACAACCCCAAATTAAGAAATAAGGACAAAAAAATCTGTTATTACACTGGTCGGTGCAACCGTTACCTAGCCTAGAAACAAGTATATTTATAGTATTTTCTGTTTTATATTTGACCATGCTTTGTGTTAAAAGACACTAAAATTAAAATAATTACCCTTGAAGGTAGAAAAAAATATATATTTCGTTATTTTATTCCATAGTTAATAAGAAATACTATATGATCGAAAAAAAACGGCGTCTAGTTAGCTAGGAAGTGACGATCGATGACATTCGCTTTTAAAATGACATGTTCGTTTCCAAGCCAACTCTATCGCCGTTTTGTTGGGCATATTATAGAATAAAAACAACGTTAGGGTAGGTCTAGAAATAACAACAATGTAGCTCAGGTTCGCTCACTATTAGCTGTTAAGTTTTTTTTTAAAGTAAGATAGGTTAACAATGAAATTAATTAGTACTTATATGTAATAAAAGAGTACTGTTGAGTGTTTTATTCAAGAAGTGTTGTTTCTTAGAATGCATGTTGTTCCGTTCCAGCACTGAATTATGGGGCAAAAACAACCCCGATATACGTATAAGTGACAAACTTCGTGTTTGCATTGATCCAAGCACGCATTACTTTGCCTAGAAATAAATAAATTAATTTTCTACCATATACAGGGTGTTTCAAAACAAATGCGAAAAACTTCAGGGGGTGATTCCTGGTTCAATATCTATAAATTCTATAGTTAGTCTGTACTTACTTTGCAATAAATATCATAATCTTAAACCATACAGGGTGTTCAAAATTCTACGTTCTTGTACGTGTTCTAAACTTTCTAAGATATAAAATAATTTTTCTCGTTTTTTTTTTTAAGTGGAACACCCTGTATATTATTCCTTTGTAAGATTATTTGTATTATTTGAGCTTTTTAACAGGACACTATCTGCTCAAGCGATTTTGGTCAATTAAATGTGGTTGTTTATAATAACAACCCCTGTATATATACCTCCACACTTTTCCTGGTGGACATGGACATTCTTTCACGCAGTTTCCACAGTTATCTCTCCAATAGCCGGGCAAACAATAACATTTACATCCTTCTGAATTTTCAGGTTTGGTATCAGGACACTGGAGCTCTGTACTGTTGCACTTATACTCTGAATTCACTTTACAAAGCGGGCCCTGACCTAATGGGTAAAAGATACAGGGTGTAAAAGAGAGAAATAAAGAAGTGACTTTGTTCCAAAACAGAGTATACACACACTAGAAATATTTTTTTGTTTCTTTTAAGTGGTGTGTTCAAGATATTTAAACACGTAGAAAAAAAATAATTTTTAGTTTCTCAGAAATTTTCTTTCTTGATAACAATCCCAGAAACTCAACAAAAACTTATTATTTTACATTCCTAAATGAACTAGAAAATATATAAATATGATTTGCTTAGTATACAGGGTAGGGTATAGCTACAATTTTTTTTTGAAGTTGAAAAGAATTGGAATTTAAAATTTTTATTTTTTTACAATATTAAGTCTTAATAACAAATAGATGTAATGTTTCTTACCCTGAATATAACCAATAAAAACGATAACCAAGATACTTGGCAAAATGCAAAAAATTCTTCTGAAAGTATACATACTCGTATTTCATCAAAGCTTCTTTATATTTCACTTGACTATATTTGCTTTAAATGGTGACAAATTAGTTGTAGGTTGTTTATTTAAATAATATAGCGTTATAACGAGTTAAAAGTTAAAATAGAATCAATTAGGGAAAAATATTTAGAACTGATAATTTTTATCAAATTGACAATGAAATGTATTTTAACAAAATATGGTGTTTACCTAGTCCAATACATATATTTTCTTATAAAAATAAAACTTTTCATATAAATGTATTTAATATTAACTGATTATGAATAATTATTGGTTTACTTAAAAAAAGAAATAAACAATAAACTGCATATACCAGGGTGGTTTAAATCATAGTTTTATCCTTTATATAATAATTATCGTTATGTACGTATGTGGTAAATTCAACATTTAGTAAATTCTTTATGTAAATGACTCTTATCAATTAGGGTATTTTTTAATTTCATACTAATTAATAAAAAAGTATAAAAAAATTAATAAAGTACGTAAAAAATTCAAAACTATTATGTAATCTGTTCTTGACTTTTATTTTGTTCCAAATTTTGCTTGAGATTCGTTAATAAAAAATTGTATGATCCTTTATGAAAAGTTTATTTCCCAAAAACTATAAATATATTTTTGTTTTTAGATCTTCAAACTGGTAGATGTAGTTCTGGTAAACTGCAGCACTGGTACAACAGGTTCTTTTTCTCTACTCCATGAAGGTACACAACAGAACACAGATTTTTTTGGATAGCATTTCTTTTCAGACAAAGTCATAAAGGTTTGTAAAAATTCCAAAAATTTTGTTTTAATACTTTTTCTAATTGTAAAACTAGAATTTAGAGAATGTTAATAGTTGAATTCTATAATGCATAGATGAATTTCGGTAAAAATCAAATTTTAGAACTTTTGTGTCCAGTATATTGATCACGAAAATTCTTTTAGCAATGGCAAAAGCATCTGTTACCTTCCTTAGTAACAAATATTTATAAGGTTCTCTATGCACATTTGACCATAATTTGTATTACATATAATATACTTTTTTTGTTTTACAATATATCCCTCTGTATTTCTAAAACAGAGCAATTTAGAACATTTGTTTATACAAAAATTTTCTTTCAAAGTTTTTTAGTTTAGTTAATAATAACAAATACACAAAAAGACTTTTTTTACCTTTAGCTTTAAATATTTCGTTAAAAAATCAAGACTCTTTGTATGAGAGGGAAATAAACAAAGGCATCATCAGGTAGTTATGATATTATATACTATATTTTTTAATGATTAGAGAAACACTGCGAGAATGTATTAATAGGTATATGTACATATATTTATAAATGTAATAAGAGTACTTTAAAAGTACTTATTTATCTATGAAGTAGTAATATTTCTTCTGATGCATGTTGTTCCATTCCAACATTGATTTCCTGGGCAAAAACAACCCCAAACTGCTAACTGGATACAAATAAACCTGTAATTACACAGGTCGCCGCAAATACTGCCTTCCCTAGAAACAAGTACATTTATGGTATTTTCTAATTTTTATTAGGCCATACTACAGGCCATACTTTGTGTAAAAAGATTCTAAAATTAGAATAATTATACAAAAGGTTAAAAAAATATTTTTTTTTATTTAATCTTTAGCGTTAGAATCATACTAAGTTATAAGTAAATATACCGTATGATCGAAAAAAAAACGGCGTCCAGTTTGGGCGCCGGACAGGGGGGACAAGAGGGGGCATTTCGGTAAATCGGTAATAACAAGAACCCGAACAAAGCTATAATCTAACATTTTCAGATTGTTTACAAATTTATTTTAGCAAATTTCCCTCTAGTATGCATAGAATTGGTGAAAAAAGTAACAGAAAATAGCAAAAACATTATTGATTATTGAATACCTAACAAAATATGTGCTAGAAAACCTTAAAAATATGAGAAATTAAGAAAAATTCGATATTGAAATTATTTTCCGTTTTTCTGAAAAACGGTAAGAGACCGCCAAGAAAAAAGTTCAGATTCGTAATCTACGACTTCAAAATGGGGTGTATACCAATTTTGGTGAAAATCGGACGATTTCCAGTTTTCCCAATAATTACCAAAAATGTCAATTTTTTATTCATTTTTACCTTGCCCCCCCTAAATTTCATTCTTCCGGCGCCCATGCCCTGTATATATACCTCCACTCTTTTCCTGGTGGACATGGACATTCTTTCACGCAGTTTCCACAGTTGTCTCTCCAATAGCCAGGCAAACAATAACATTTACATCCTCCTGGTTTTTCGGGTTTGGTATCAGGACACTGCAGCTCTGTACTGTTGCACTTGAACTCTGAATTCACTTTACAAAGTGGAGGTACACCTAATGGTTAAAAGATACAGGGTGTAAAATGGAGAAATACACTGGCTTTGTTCCAAAACAGAATAGACACTCTCTATATTTTTTTTTGTTTCTTTTGAATGTGATTAATATATTTGAAAGTGTAGGAAAAGGCTTCTTTTTAGTTTGTTAGAAACTTTTTATTAAAAAGATAAATATGTTGTTTAGCCTAGCTTCAAAAATATCTGAAAAGTTGAAAATATTGATGCTTGGATTATTTTTCTACAATTTGTATAATATGTTTTGTACATTTTTAAAAGTTTAAACAACAAATCTTATGTACTTGATGTTCCTTACCCTGAATATAACCAATAAAAACTATAATCCAGATACTTTGCAGAATGCAAAAAATTCTCCTGAAAGTATACATATTCCAGTAAAGCGTTTTTATTTTTCACTTGACTATTATGCTTTAAATGGAGACAAATTGGTAGTTGTTTGTTTATTTAAATAATACAGCGTTAGGATTAAAATAGAATCAATTGAAAATAATTAAGGAAAAATATTTAGAACTGATAATTTTTATCAAATTGACAATGCTGAAATGTATTTTTAAGTAAAATATGGGTTTTACCTATTGTAATACATATATTTTTTTATAAAAATAAAAATTTTGAAATAGATGTAGTAAATATTAAGTGATATAGATAAAGAATTACCTATTTTTTATATTAATATTTTACCTTAAAAAATGAAATAAATAATAAACTGCATGTACCAGGGTGGTTTAAACTATAGTTTAATCCTTTAAATAATAAGTATTGTTATGTACGTATGTGGAAAAGTTAATATTTAGCAAATTCTTTGTATAAATGCCACTTATCAGTTAACGTATTCAGTGGTGTTACTATTAGATAATTCCAAAGTAAATAAGTAAAAAATTCAAATATATTATGTAATCTACGCTTGACTTAGATTTTGCTACTTTTTTTCTAGTACACAAACTTCATCACTGTTTATTTAATTGAATTATTTTCCAAATATTGTGAGATTAATTTAAAAAAAAATGTTTGGCCCATTTTTAAACTTATTTTGCAAGAACTATAAATTTATTTTTGTTTTTAGATCATCAAACTGTTAGAAATAGTCGTATAACTGCAACAATTACTGGTACTGGTACATCAGGTTCTTTTTCTCTACTTCATGAAGATACACAACAGAACACAGATTTTTGGATAGGTTGTATTTTTTCCGGCCAAACTCTTCAAGGTTTGTAAAAATTCCAAAAAATTTGTTTTAATGCTTTTTGTAACTGTAAAACTAGAGAACGTCAATTTAGAGAATGTTAATAGTTGAATTCTATAATGTATACATGAATTTCAGTATAAACCAAATTTTATAACTTTTGTGGCCAGTATATTGAGTACGATTTTTTTTAGCATTGGTAAAAGCATCTGTTACCTTCCTTTGTAATAAATACTTTTATAAGTTTCTCTACTTTATACACATTTGAGCATAATTTGTATTACAAATAATATACTTTTTTTTATTTTACAATATATCCCTCTGTATTTCTAAAACAGAGCATCAATTTAGAACATATGTTTATACAAAGATTTTCTGTCGAAGTTTTTGCTTGACATTACTTCTAAAACCACCCTGTATATACGCGATAAAAACAAATAAACAAAATCACTTTTTTTAGCCTTTAGCTAATGCTAAATATTTCCTCAAAAAATCAAGACTCTTTGTATTAGAGGGAAATAAACAAAGGCATTAGGTAGTTATGACTTCATATATTTTTTTATGAGTAGGGTAACACTGAAAACGTATTAATAGGTATATATTTATAAATGTAATCAGAGAGTACTCTTAAAAGTACTTATTTGTCTATATCAAGTGGTAATAATTCTTCTGATGCATGTTGTTCCATTCCAGCATTGATTGGGTGGGCAAAAACAACCCGAGATTAAGTACTGGGGACAAAACGTGCTGTTACAGCGGTCGAAGCAACTATTGCTTTCCCTAGAAAAAATTATATTTAGGTATAGTATTTTCTAATTTATATTTGACGATACTTTGTGTAAAGGCACTATAATTAAAATATACTTAATTACACTGAAGGCAGATTTTTTTTTTATAGTTAGATAATCCTATATGTCAGATTCATAGAAATAATATCATATCTGATAACTGGTAAATACTGTATGATCGAAAAAAACGGCGTTAAGTTGGCTAGGACAAGACGATCGATGGCAATCGCTATAAATTTTTACATTTATAAAATGACAGCGATATTAATTTCCAATAAAATTCTATAACGTCTTTTTTTTCTTTTCGATCTTACTGTACTCGTACCATGTTATAGAATAAAAACAACGTCAAGGTCTAGAAATAACAATGCAGCTCGGGTTCACTCTCTATCAGCTGTTAATTTTTTTTAATGTCAGGTCAACAATGAAAATGTATTAGTACGTGTATGTAATAAAATATGAGTACTCTCGAGAGTACTTATGAGTAACAAGTAGTGTTATTGTTTCGAATGCATGTTGTTCCATTCCAGCACTGACATACGGGGCAAAAACAACCCCAAGTTACGTACCAGGGACAAATGTCGTGTTTGCATTGATCCACGCAAGAATTACTTTGCCTAGAAATAAATAAATTAATTTTGTACCTTGTTTCACAAAGTGTAGTTTAGAAACTATATTTAAATATAATAAAATTATTGTTGTTACCAAGATCCCCTAGTGACAAATCCCCAAAGTTAATAGATTTTATATAGAGTCCTCAATTAAAGACCAACTATACCGGGTGCGTCTCAAAAGTGGCTCACCCCTATAACTTTTTTATTTTTTCAGATGAAAAAACAATATTTTGTATGTTAGTATATGACATAGATTAGGATTGATTGACGTATTCAATTGTTTTCTGTCACTTCCTGTTTCACAGGAAATGACTACAACTTTTGATTTTTAAATGGTACCCTCGGTGTTTTGGTGCTTTATTTGATAGAAAATGACACTCTCAATAGAATGCATATCATATTATGTCAACTTTTGACATTCTCGAATATGGTTTATTTGAAATTGCAACATGCGATTCATAACGACAATTTGACTAGAAATACCAAGTGTGTGGTACCAAATTATTGGTAAAAAATGCTTTTTCTAAATATGCTAATGATCGAGCCACCCTCGTTCCATTTGAAAAAATTGAGATATAATTAAAATACGATTTAGGCATCTTTTAACCGGCCAGGACAAGACACTAAAAACATTAGACGATCAAATCTATTTTTCCAATGCTCCTTAATAAAAATTAGCGTTTTTAACACTGTAGATTAAACTTTAAAATGCAATTTTGTTTTAAGCGTTTTGAGCGTTTTCATTCTATTCAGAATGTCATTTTCTATCGAATGAAGTAAAAAATGCCGGGGGGCCATATTTAAAAATCAAAAGTGGTAGTCATTTCCGGTGAAACAGGAAGTAGCCGAAAAGAACTGCACACGTCAATCAATCCTAATTTATGTCATATACTAACATACCAAATATTGTTTTTTTTATCTGAAAAAATAAAAAAGTTATAGGGGTGAGCCACTTTTGAGACGCACCCGGTATATAAAATGACAACCCTATAACGCCCTTTTTTTGTTCTTTTCGATCTTATGACAGCATATCGTAGAATAAAAACAACGTCAGGGTAGGTCTAGAAATAACAATGCAGCTCAGGTTCACTCTCTTTTAGCTGTTAATTTTTTTTAATGTAAGATAGATATATAACAATGAAAATGACTTAGTATCTATTAAAATAGGAGTACTCTCGAGAGTACTTATTTAACAGGTTCGGAGTACTTATTTAACAACTTCGGATGCATGTTATTCCATTCCAGCAATAATATAGCGGGCAAAAACAACCCCAAGTTAAGTATAAGGGACAAATGTCATGTTTGCATTGATCCACGCACTGATTACTTTGCCTAGAAATTAATAAATTATTTTTGTACCTTGTCTCACAAAGTATAGTTTAGAAATTATATTTAAATATACTAAAATTGTTATTACCAAAATCTCCTAGTGACAAAACCCCTAAATTTAGACTCCTCAATTATTAAAGACCAACAATATAGAGAGTACATGACAGTGACAGCTGTTTTGTGTGCATTTGTGTAAATTATATTTTTTGTCATTTTTTGAATGTCATTTGTCGAAATCTTCCCTAATTTGTCGGACAAGCTTTACATAAAGTTGAAGTAGAAAGTTCCACAATCTAGTATAGGTATCTGACTAGGATTTTTAGTTACTTTTCCATATACGTCTGCAAAATTTTGACTTTTGTTGTTTTAATTTGTTTTCTTAATAATTCTGAATGTGTGTTTTTTTTTATTGTGGAATGTTCAATGAAGCATATAGAAAAAAAAAACCATTTTGGTCATCAATGTGTCCGTTTATAATAACTACCCCTGTATATATACCTCCACACTTTTCCTGGTGGACATGGACATTCTTTCACGCAGTTTCCACAGTTGTCTCTCCAATAGCCAGGCAAACAATAACATTTACACCCTTCTGGTTTTTCAGGTTTGGTATCAGGACACTGAAATTCTGTACCGTTGCACTTGTACTCTGAATTCACTTTACAAAGCGGACTCCCCTGACCTAATGGTTAAAAAATACAGGGTGTAAAAGAGAGAAATAAAGTGACTTTGCTCCATAATAGAGTATATTTTTAGTTCCTCAGAAAGTTTTATTCTTCTATTTAAAAAATCTAGAAACTCAACAAACATACTGCTTATATCAGTAAATGACTAGAAAAAAATTAAATATGTTGTTTAGTACATCAATAATAAGTTCGAAATTATTATTTTTGTAAAATATATGTAATGTGTTTTGTACATTTTCTTAAAGTTTAAACAATAAAGATAATATAGTATAATTTTTCTTACCCTGAATGTAACCAATAAAAACGATAACCAAGATACTTGGCAAAATGCAAAAAAATCTCCTGAAAGTATACATATCTCAGCAAAGTTTTTTCAAGTTTCGCTTGACTATTTTGCTATAAATGGTGACAAATTAGTTGTAGTCGGTTTATTTAAATAATACAGCGTTAGGATTAAAATAGAATTAATTGGAAATAATTAAGGCAAAATATTTAAAACTGATAACTTTTATCAAATTTACAATGCTTAAATGTATTTTTTAATAAAAAATGGTGTTTACCAATACCAATAAACATATTTCTTTCTAAAAATAAAAACGTTGAATAAATGTGTGAAATATTAACTGATATAAATGAAAAGTACTGATTAACTTAACGGAAAATACATATAGCTACCTATGCAGGGTGGTTTGAACATATTATAATAGCTTTGCACTTTTAAGAGACCATTTTACTAGTGCTAAAAAGTAGCAAAATAAGCGTTCGGCATTTAACGTTTTATTTAAAATTGGCTAGGTATTTTTAAATAGCTTCTTTATTTTTAAGATTTTGATTGTCAAACATCAACAAAATATTCCTTATGTTTGGACTAAATTTTCTCGAAAATAAAAACGTAATTTAAAATTCCGTTACAATACGGAAATAGATTGAAGTTTTGTGATTACAGTGATATATAATTTATATGGTTTTGTAACAAATTGCTCGCTATTTTATGGCAAATGCTGAAGCTCTGCAAACCTTAATCAAGCCTTAATCAAAGCACGTGTGTTTGAAATTTTGGGTGTGGCTTAACACGACAGGATTGGGCTAAGACTTAGTCAGATTTCTGAAATATAATATATACTTCCTTCGGCCGCACACCCTCTTTACCCGATCCCTGAGAGCGACTCGAACAGTACAGCGTAATAGTCTTAAATTAAAAAAATCTTAAATTAGTTCGTTAAATTTTAGCGGTATGTTTAACTTAAACCATTTTGTCAGTAAACCAGAGTCATAATTTGTTGGTTTCTTATGGAGTCTTACAGACGCTGCTTTCTTTTTTTCAAAAAATCCGTCGTTACTTCTACACAAAACACAATCAAAGCTAGACACATACCACCAGCCCAAATACAAAAAGCAAACCCTATTGATTCTAGATTAATTTTCTTCTTATCGGTGTCTAAAGTGAACAGTTTGATCACAATCGCCTTCCGTAAATCGTTCACGATTTTCTGCAACCATCCATTCTCTACACAACCTTGAATAACTGCCGAAAATTGATCAAGTATCGGATGTCCTCTGGTAAACATCATGTGAATAGGTTTGTTGTAGATCGTTTCAGAATTAATATGAAGCATGCTTTCCTTGTTCTCCGTCAGGAAATACAGTGGAACGTAGTGGAGAGCGACCATATAATCTACTGTAGCAGTAGCGTATGTTCGGTACTGAGCGATTTCGCTCAAGCAGTCCTTGTACCCGCAATGCTTTATACGGCTGTAGTTCATTTTCACATCGTCGTCATGCTGGTAGCATTTCGTGATATCCCCGCTTAGTATAAACTCGAAACCAGCTTCATATATTTCTTTTAAAGTATCTACCTGATGTTCTCTTATTGATGAAGCAGTAATTATTAGTAAAGAATTCTTGAAGACCGATGAGATAATAAAAACAGCCCAGATACAAACGATCAATGGTACTCTCACGTTCAAATTGCTGTCAGATAGAATAGGACATTCTAGAGTTGCCATTACCATCAACTCTGTCCATTTCAGCACGTTGAAATTGTACAACCATTTCATTACCAGAGCTGAGAAAATGGTAATGGCAATATAGGCTGCGTAAACTTGGTTTGAGAAAATCTGGAATACTCTAAGCCAGGCTGGTTTATTTTGAGCAGCCGCTACGACCCAAACCATTCTGTCAGTGAGGTAAAAAGGAGTGATGTCAAAATCTGTCGGATTGTCGCCGTTCCTTAAAGTGCAAAAGCCTCCGAACAAGTCCAGTTTGTAATTGATCAAATCCTTTTTTACTTGAGTGTAGAGTATCACGTCTATTGTATAGTTTGGCTAAAAGTAAGTAATCGTAATTAAAATCAATAAGCAATTTTTCAAGGCATCGTTATTCTAAAAGAATAGTCTACTATTTCCAGAGGCGTAGGGTGGCGTCAATACAAGGGGATGTAATAATAAGTAACTGCCTTTTACCAACCCAATAAAGTTTTTTTTTTCTTTTTTATTATTAAAGTCTTTAATTTTGAAGTTACAAAAATAAAATATACAAAAAATGTAACAAGTTAAAAAAATAATCAAACCAATTTAAAAAATGAACTAAATTTAAGTAAAAAAACAAAGCTGTTAACGAATCTGTTAGATAAAATAGTAGACAAGACCAACAAAAAGTTATTTTTAGGTTTACTAAGTGCCTCAGAACAACATAATTAACCAGTGTTCACTTTTAAGAGTCCATTTCACTAATCCGAAAAAGTAGCAAAATAAGCGTTCGGCATTTAATGTTTTATGTAAAACTGACTAAGTATTTTTATACAAATGAAGAAGGAAATTAAAGATAAAGGATTATACTATATCCGTATTATAGCACATTTTTAGACAACTTCTTTATTTTTAAGATTTTGATGGTCAATAATCAACAAAATATTCCTTATGTTTGTACTAAATTTTCTCGAAAATAAAAAGACATAATTTAAAATTCTGTTACAATACGGAAATAGATTGAAGTTTTGTGATTACATTGATATATAATTTATATGGGTTTGTAACAAATTCAGCAAATTCTGAAGCTCTGCACATCTTAATCAAAGCACCTGTGTTTGGAATTTTTAGTGTGTAAAATATATAAATTAAAGTACAGCGTAATAGATTCTTAAAACATTTTCACTAAAATGACGAATACACGGTTTTAATTTAGTATTACTATTATTATTACTTAAATACTTTTTTGTAAACCGTTTTATAAACTCAAAATTTTGATATAACCTACCAAGTTTGCCAGAGGAGCCCTTTTATTAATAAAACCAATTCTGTCTTTGAGTAACTCAAACAGTTTATCCTCAATGCCGTCATGGTTCTTTACAGAGTAAGGAGGGATATCTCTAAAATGTTCCTTCAATGTTGTATTCCTCCATTTTTTCGGATATTTATTTTTGTAACTTTCAAAATCGATATCCTCGATTTTAGAACAAGTTCCTACTTGAAAGGGTGTGCTTTCTGGATTCTTTACATTCTCGTATTTGTAAGGGTTTATAGTGAAAATATTCAGTTCACTATTTATTGCTATGACTTGGGCTACGTAATACCTGGTGAAAAATGAAAAATTTGAGGAAGTTGTGAAATTTGAAACAAATATATGCAATGCTCGGGGTTTCATAGATCTACTGGTATAACACTCTTCCATTGTAGTGTTTATGTCATTCATGTTTTCATTAATAACATAGATATCTTCTCGATTATACCAAAGTTTTGTAAAATTGGTTACTTTCATTGTAGGACGTCTTGTTAAAATATTTCTCGGATTTTTCGAGTATTCCAGAACACTAATTTTGTCTGAATCTTTATAAAATCTTTCTATAATCTTTTCGATACATTTTTCTAACTGATTTTCGAAATTTTGGTCATTAGCATTTGCAGAAAACAGCAAAAATGTAATTATGACAGAAAATAACATTTTACCGACTGATTTTTCTTAAAAATTAAATAAAAATATTTTATTATTCATATTTATAATGTATTTTTTTATGTAAAAAATGCATTAACGGTTTTTGTTAATTGAAAGTAATGTTACGTAATTGACTAGAGTTTTTTGCGAGTAAAATGCATCAATAATTTTTTAGTGTAAATTTAGAACATTATTTTTATTACCTATATATTTTTTTTGATAGACACTATTAAAATTAATGGGTAATGGTCTTTTTACATTTTTAACACACATTGTACGCCATTATCATATTGTAGTTAACAAATTTATATTGTTTTAATATAATACTTAAATTATGATATTATTAATAAAATGTAATATTATTTTTTTTGCAGATTATTGCAATATATTTTACTGGTTTTTAATGTTCATCTATTTTTTCTAATTTTAATTTATGATTCCTTAATTTCATAGACAGATTCAGACCATCTATTTTTAATTTGGACTAATTTTTGGGCTTAAACAATTTCTACAAATAGTAAGTTTGATATTTTATGCTAGTATGCATGTATACAGTGAAGAAACAACAAGAAAAAATTACATTTACTACCCCGTCTATTCAAATTTTTCCTTTCGCGCGTTTAATTGATAACAGCGCCATTCGTATTTAGTGAGAATTTTTGGAACTATCGTCGAAACGATTATGGCGCCACCTTATGGAAAATTTTACAAGTAACCAAATACAGATTTCTGTTTCTTTCCTATGTAAGTGTGGCGCCATCGTGGGTTAAATATTTAAACTAGTTACTTACAGATTTCTATAAACAAAACACGCTGCTGGTGCTATCTAATGTTAAATAGTTGAACTTCGGTTAAATTTTTCTCAGAATTTTAAAGATATCTATAATTTTTAGTTCTCAAAATGATTTTAGTGAGAGCCATCTATGAATAAAATTTTATACTAATATTGATTCTAACCTTAGAAATTTTAGAAAATGTATTTTTTTGTATCTGTTTCTGTTATATAAAAGTAAAATAAATGAGTATATTTTCAGTTTCATCTGGTTTAATAACAGATTAACACTGGTTAAGTTAAACTGTACGATCTATATAATATACTTAATATCTAATTTTTAATTTTATTTATTTACCATTCGTCTATTTAAGTGTAATCTTGGAAGACATGAGTACCTATACTGAAGACTGAAGTAACATTTTTTATTACAGGTACAAATAAGAACTTCTTATGAAGATAACAAAGGAGAAGACACCAAGAAAAATGGAAAGAAATGAGATTTTCTTTTGGGAAGATGTGAACTTACGTAGATTTTCTTAAGAAAACCTCATCGATTGTACTCTGCTTTTGAGTGAAAGTATGTACCAGAAAAGAGTAAAGCTGGAGCAACAAGATTGGAATCCTGTTGAAAAATATATCCGCGGGATGGTTTCTGCTTTTAATTGTTGTTCTACATTGTTAGGAAATGTATTATTGTTATGAGGAGATGCCGTGGTATGAGGTAAATTTTTTTTCACATTGTTTCCGTGTGTTTTTTGATTTGTTACAATTTTCTGTAAAGTGAATAGTGAAACGACCTGAACGAAATGATAGTATGCTCGAAAAAACACATATATGTATATCTTTATGTTCTTTTACAGTATAAATATTTTTTATGAGATTTTAGTATAATAATTGAAGGGTCCAGGGGAAAACATGATAAGCGCCGATTCCTTTATTTTAGATTTTTACCATATTTCCCTACAAAATGTATAAACTTCGCAGGGCAATAAGCTGTTAAATCTTCTTACTAACAACTTTTAAATTGAAAGATTTGAAGGACATGTTTGAAAATTTGTAGTTTAAAATGTTGAAAAAGCAATAAATTAAAAAAATATTTTATGGGTAAAAAATATGTAGTTTTATACGTGTGATAAATAGTTGTATAAAATAAAAAATTAATGATAAATATGTTTTTTTTACGCGTAACAAATAATTTTTTACACGTAAAAAAATCTTTTTAGGCGCGAAAAAAATTTTTTACACGTAAAAAATACGTTTTTTCGCGTAAGAATAGTTTTTTACGCGTAAAAAATAGTCTTTTCGTGTAAAAAAATAGTTTTTTACGTGTAACAAATAGTTTTACACGCGTAACAAATAGTTTTTAACCCGTAAAAAATATTTTTCGTGTAGCAAATAGTTTTATACGCGTAATTTGCGTAATAATTTGATTCACTATCGCAAAATTTGTATTAAAATCTTAATATTTTTGATAATCACGTGGACTGCTCACAAATACACGTCGCGTCACTACGTATTTCTAAGCTGTTACTGCTTTTCATTACCACTAACCACTAGCTTAGCTCGTGTGTCAGGGTCGCCTCGCTAGCTCGTGTGTCACGGCCTTGAATTTTTACACCCAGCGCGCGTAAAGTTGTTTCACTTCAAAAAGTTATGGCCTAGTGTGTAAAATAGAGCCTTTAAAAACTATAAATTTCTTTTTTGTTTCAGATTATATCAAACTGGTAAGAATATTTCTACAACTGCAGCTAATACTAGTACTGGTTTACTCTGGGGTACTGGTATATGAACTTCTACTCCTCTACCATGAAGAGATGATGATCTCCATGAAGATATACAACAGAACACATATCCTGGATAATATTCCATTGCCACCCTTTTTTTTATTGTAAAAGTAAAATTTAATGAGTATAATTTCTATTTTTTTTTATAATTGTATACATTAAAATTAATAATCCTAAGGGCCGGTTGTACAACGACTGGTTCAACAGAAGTTTTCTTGAACTGCAGTGATCTATAGTTCACCGTTGAACGTAGTTCAGAGTCTCAAGTGTTGTTCCAATTCCCGTTTTCATGAACTAGAGTTTACAAAGAAAAAAGAAGAAAAAACCAACAGCATAACCTTCAAACTGAGTAAATATAAAAACAATTAGGCATTCCAAACCACGTGACTTTAAAATGGCGGCTGGGGGCAAGGTCAATGAAGCCGATCAGCTGTTCTGTCATAATTCTATGAATTGAGGTTTTAGTTTTGTATTCAGTTTATATTTTTTTAATAATAGGTATAGGTACATACCTATTGGGCCATCAGTATGTGTAAAAAGTAATAGAAATAAATAAAAAGTATCTTTCTTATTGTTTATTTGACAATTGTATATTTTTGTTAAGGAGTATAACAGTATATACTACATATTCGTTTATTACGATATATAAACAATAAGCTAATTTTGCAATTTACACTCGTGAAAATAAGAATTACAATATAATGTTATAAATAAATAAATATTTGAGTAACAATCAATAATACACTGCGACTCCTAAATGCCATTTTAAAACAATATGTTATATTTTTTTAGAGCATCGTAGATGGATTGTACCATTCTATTTATAAGGTTTTATACCTTTTGTATAAATCATTATTGATTACTTCAAATGTTGTTAAGGCTGTAGCAAAAGACACTTTAAAACGATAAGCCAAATCTTTTAAACTTGCCTAGAGCTGTCATTTGTGTAAACGGTATGTAATCTGCAATAAGGCGAAATTACTAATTTTAGATGTTGCAAAACTAAGCTACTCAAATTTGTTGCATAAGTCATCCATCGTGATGTATGTTTGTACACTAAAACTGTTGATTCAAACATCTGTTTCAATCACCCGATGAGGTTCTGCTTCAGACGTGTTAAGAATGGCCTATAATAAATATCAAAATTAGTATATTTTAAAATCTGAACAGTTGTCAGTAATCTCACTTCATATTGTACTTTTCTTCTTTAGTCAGCCCTTAGTTTTCTCTCAATATCATCCTTTTTTTCAGATTTGTACAATTATGACCCATGTCTTGTCACGGAACCAACTCAATCTGGATGATTTTCATCTTCTAAACTAACAAGTTTTCCTAGAAATAACAATTATAAACTTGTAATATTCCACCATTATTAAAACAGAAATATCAATAAAGAATTTTGATTACAGACCTGTTAGAAAGTGTTTGCTACACACCCTCTGATTTTTATTATAAACCACATATTAAATCATCTCCTTTTATAGCTGCCATCCAAAGAGAACGACGATTCTTGGACAATTAATTTTGTTCTGTTAAGAAGCGGTGATTTGTGGTCGTAGGGACACAATAAAAATATAAATTGTCTTTATTTGCTCGACTTCCGACACGTAATCGGCATCTAACAAAACGTCTTCAAATATTATGTTTCTCGCAGAATTTATATCCTGGCTATCAAAATTCACTATAAATGTGTTAACAACTAACTACTGAAGCACAATATGAACTGAAAAACACTATAAAATATATTAAATATAACTTAGCTCTGGTTTGACTACCACAAGGCCTAATGTAAATACAGCCATGTGTGCCCCCAGCGGCCATATTGGATCGATTTTGACAGGTCGTTGGAATGCCTAATTAAAAAATATTTTTTTTCAGATTTTCTGTTTAGGAGCAAGATTTAATTAATTAATTAAGCTTATTTTGTTCTCAATAAAGATTTGTATTTTCAATGATGTTTATTTTTGGTAATCTACCACAGGATAAATTTTATATTTGTACATTTCTATATAGCATTTTTTAGAAAATATCTACAATAAATTTTGAAAGTAAGTATTTATTAATGTGTAACGAACACTATTGTTGATTCCTCTTTGTACATGTCCAACCATGTCATTATTGACATTATTTGTCAGTTCTATTGCAGCTGCAATTTTTTCATTGATTTCTGGAGGCTCCACATCTCGCATTGATAATGCTATATTGTGAAGGACCACTGTAGACATAACAACAGCCTCTACCTTTTCCTGCTTCAAGCGTATTCCTAAAGAAAGTATCGGGAATCGCCTTTTTAAAACTCCAAACGATCTCTCAATAGGATTCCTTGTTCATATTTGTGCCTCATTAAATAGATGTTCTGCTCGTGTATGAGGATTTAATAGAGGTGTTATAACGTATGGTTTTATTGTATAACCACTATCAGCTACAAGTAAGTTGTCACCATACACTCCATTTTCAAAGTCATTTCTGACTCTGCTATTCCTAAATATGTTGGAATCATGGGCAGAGCCTGGCCAGCGACACACTATGTCCTGAAATTTGAGATCAGAGCTGCAAATAGCCTGAACATTATCTGAAAAAAATCCTTTTCTGTTTCTGTAACTTTCAGCATCTATCCCCCCAGGCGACTGAATTTTTACGTGAGTGCAGTCCAAAGCGCCAACACATCTTGGTAATTTAGCAATATTAAAGAATCCTTTTCTAACATTAGTTACTTCAGCTTCAGTTCTTGGCATTCTTACAAAGTGTTGTGCCAACTGAGCAATTGCTTCTAGAACCATATATATTTTTCGGCTGGCTGTTGATTTATGGATGCCCCCGAAATCTCCAACAACTTGTAAAAAACTCCCAGTGGCTAAAAAACGCAAAGCAGTGCATACCATTTCTGTAGGGGTTACTGCTTGGTTTCTAAAGGAGTAACAAATAAATTATGTCCATCTTAAAACTTGGCAGGTTAGTAACAAGCTATACCTGTCTGTAACAGATGAGATTTGTTCAGATAATTCATCTATTATAAATCTAACAACTTGTTTCTCCAACCTAAATCTTGCTTTAAATTCTGTATCATTCCAAATGTTGAAATGATCTGGTCGATCTCTGTAGACTTGTGGGGCTTGAGGATGTACATGATGAACCAATTCCAAAAAATCTTCGTCGTCCGTAATATCTTCCCACAGATGATCCATTATGTTTGATTGCAATAAATTAATTAATTTATTTATTTATTTACATTTTGCTTACCAGCAAACCCAATAATAATCATTTAAAACGACTTGAACTGGCCTCGAACGTCCAAATTCGGACGTTCAAGATCAATCGTCGATCAGCACCTGAACCCATAACGTACAACGTCTTTTACCCGTTGATCCTAAGATCATCGTGAACTCAGGATTAATTCCGTTTGTACAACCGGGCCTAAGTCAGTGCTTGTCAAATACAATATGATCGAAAAAAAAACGGCGTCAGCGATGGCTATGAAATGAAAATCGCTGTCATTTTTTATGTAAACTTATGGGGAATGTCATCGATGTTCATTTCCAAGCCAACTAGACGCCGTTTTTTTTTCGATCATACCGTATATCTATGTGTCTAGTGGTTTATTATGAATAAATAAATAATATAGTGAAATAATAGTTGTTTTATTTAAAAATTACACATCTACAAGAAAAAGTTTTGTCACAAGGCAAATTGGTCATTTTTACCAGGAACATATACAAGCGAAGAGATATTTTACTATTGTATATAAATGAAAAATATGTTCCTGATAGAAATGGAGATTTGTATAAAACAATCAATTTTGTTTGGTACTCATTGTGTTTAGTACTGCTGTCACATTAAATATTAAATGACGAATGAAACTGCTTAACTCCTGGTACCGAAATATACCTCCTCGCTCTAATATGTTCCTGATTTTATTTTCGATTGGTCACTTTTAGCACAAAGATGTCAAAAATAAATTCAACCTATCAAATTTTGGAGTACCTGACCAACGAGTTCGAACAAGTTAGATTTTTTCGAAAAACGGCCATAACTTCTAAACTATAAGGGTTAGAGAGGAACGGAACTCGGCATTCCATTCGCCTTTCAACCCTCTATAAGGGTGCAAAATAAGGGCGCGATCGGAGACCAAAAAATTTTTTCGGCAAAAATGAAAGAAGGTTAACCCCTTACCTCATTATTGCCGAGAAATTTTTTTTGCCTCCGATCGCGCCTTCCATTTTGCGCTCTTATAGAGGGTTGAAATGCCTATCGAATGCCGAGTTCCGTTCCTCTCTAACCCTTATAGTTTCCGAGATATTAAGGGTTGAAGTTTGGAAACGAGTTCGAACTGCTAGAGATAGCAGAAATACTGTTGATTAATGCTATATTTATATGTGGTACTAAATTTACGCTTTACCTCTTCACTTTTATGCGTTCCTGATAGATATCGGCGATTTTGGATCAGTTTTAAAAATTTTTGTGCGATCTTTGTTAAAAATTGAATTTTCTTGGTATGTATCAGGAGCACATAAAAGCGACTAGGTAAATATTGCTTTTTAATTTACTCTCTACCTCTTAACACTTATGTGCTCCTGAGAGATATCGGTGATTTTGGAAAGGGTTAAAATTTTTCGTTCAATTTTTATCAAAAGCTGAATTTTCTCGGATTTATATCAGGAGTACATAAGAGCGAAGAGGTAAAGGTAGGTATTATTTTTATCTAAAATACTGTCTATTCCAGGAACAAGTGTAAGTAAGTATAAAAATATATTTATTTGATAATTAAATTACTTTCTTCTTGTTCACGATTAGGCAGTATATTTCTTATTATCTATTTAGTTCAATGAAACTCATCTATATTATTAATTATTGTTTATTAACATAACATATTTTATTAACAAGAGTAATTTAAAAGATATATTAAATCCAAGATGTTGATGGACAAGCTGATGTCTATGTTGAGGTAAATACATCTCCTAGCTACCCTTCTGGAAAGTCCTCTTGGTTCTGTAAGAAAACATAAACAAATAATAATTTTTTTTGTTCATTAAAAAGCTTGATTAAAAACAGCTTTAAATAATCAGTGAAATGATAGGGTACATAAACTATTATAAGATTAAAAAAGATTATTTTTTATTATAAGATTAGCCGTTTTTTTTAGATCATACGGCATATTACGCTACCTATATATACCGTATGATCGAAAAAAAAAACGGCGTCAGCGATGGCTATGAAATTCATTTTCTCTTCAAAATGCCGTCATTTTATATGTAGAATTATATGGTGAATGTCATTGAAGTTTATTTTGAAGCCAATTCGACGCCGTTTTTTTTCGATCGTACGATATTATAGATACTATGGGAGAAATTAGTTGTAATTGTAACTAAGGAATATTTTAATTATTGTAACAATTTTTAAAAATCCTGAAAAAATCTTTATATAGGCAACTCTATATACACGTTAAGTGTATGTTTAGTTGCCTACAAAAAAGTAAGCTGTGCGCCAAAACATTTTATTTGAAATTAATAATTTTTAACTACGTTTCACAACATACAATATTAGGTATTTATTAAACAAAAAAACTGGAATAAAAAACACATCTTTTAGAATAAACTACCTAACATTATTTAGCCTTCTCTTCATGAATTTCATCCTCAATCCACTGCTGAATGTTGAATTGAATCAATCTGGTGGCATCTTGAAGAGGGTGGTTACATTGAAGTCCAGCTGTTCCAAAAAATTCTTGTCCCAAAGCAGTACAATACCCTCTTCCCAGAACAATACAATTCAATTGCAAGAAAATGTCCGATGAACTTTCAGTCAAAGAAGAATGACACACAAAATTATACAAATGTGTACATAAAAGAAGATTTAGTAATACCAAAATACAATTACTGGAAGAATTATAGAATTGATAAATGGGGCATTCCCATAAGGAAGAAAGTATGGGGGACAAATAGTAAAATAGGGATATGATGAAAAAAAATGACATGAAAATTAATAAAAATAAGCTATAATTCTATACAGGGAATGTAGAAATACTGTCTTAGATAAATCTGACAATAGAAAAGGATACAAAGTCTGGCACAAAAAATTACATAAACAGGACAATCAATAAAGAGTTTATAGAACGGATATTTCCAATAATAAGGAAAACATGAAAGACAAATAATAATAAAATGGAGATATTATGATTTGAAAAATGGCCATAAAAATAATTAAAAAATAAGTATCATTCTATGGCAATAGAATTGATAAAATATGTCTTAGAAAAGTCTCACAAGAAAGCCAATAAGAATATAAAAATATGCGTAACAATGATTCAAAAAGTTTATAGAATTGATGAAGGATAATATTCAAATAATAAAGAAAATATGGCAGATAAAAATAGTGAAATAGAGATAGGCCAAAAGCAAGATGGAGCAAATAATTTTAGATTATATTAAGAAAAAATAAAGAAGTGTGTGGTCAATAAAATTGACAAAACGTTATGCTTAGCCTCCTCTCAGGAATATCTGGTCAAAATTTGACATCATGCACATAAAGAAAAAATCCTCCAGAACATACAAGTTCGCTCCCCTTCATCAGATTTAACCCTTGGGCGACGATTAAGCCTCGCCAGTCAGTTCCCATCCCAGCTAAGCAGCCTCGTCTCGGGTCACCCTCGTCACCCATCGAGCGGACATCCACCGGGACCCCCCTACAGGCGGACCCCCTCATCATCTTCAATGTGTCCGATATCCCGCCCCCTCTACTGTCGAGACGTCACGGGATACGTGCACGAAGAAGTCTCGTAGCTTGGGTGCCAGGTCGTATCCGGCCGAAGCCTCTAGCGTTAGAACACCTAGCTCGTAAACCAGAGGGTGGTGACTCCCTTGGGTACCTATGCATGCTACATAGGTCATCGATGTCCGAACATCAGGGTTAGGGGGCGACCTGGGTTTCCTCCTCTTAGGGGAGGCTAGTTATGATGCTCTGGAGTCGATGTTACTTAGGAAAATACATTGGAAATAATGCACACAGCCTGTGGAAATCAGATTTTCGAATAAATGGCGAATGCGCCAGGAATTAATCGGCAATTTTGAGGTTTTAAAATGCGTTATGGTGTATCTAAAATATATGTAAACGCACGCAAACTCAACCAACTGAATCTGTAAAATATAACAATTCATGGAAAAGGTCTAAAAAAATGGCATAAAAATGAATCCACGGAAACTACAATTCTGTACAAGGAATTATACAAGCAAAAAAGTCTTAGAAGAATGACACCATAAGGAAAACAATACAAATTGAAAACTTATAGAAATACAGTCAATGGGATATGTTATAAAATTAATCAATGAATTATTATGCCTACAAGGAAGAAAATATGGGAGTCAAGCTATTATAGAAAAAGAAAAGTTAACCATAAACATGAAGTAAAATTCTAAGTAGATGGTATATTTTACCAAACAAATTAAGACCTATAGAAATACAGGCAATGGAAGATTTTATAGGACTGATAAATGATATTATTCCCACAATCAAGAAAAGATTGGAGTCAAGCTATTAGAGAACAACGGCATACAGTCGAATCGGCCTACAAACACGTAAACGTTTACGCACGCATGCGCATTTCTTATATTTTCTATTTTTTATACACGTAAAAGATTCTTTACGTCTACGTATACGTGCTAGGAGCGGCCGACTCGACCGTATGCCGTTGTTCTCTAATATAGAGAAATAAAAGTAAACCAGAAATAACATGAAGTATAGTCCTAAGTAAATGATATTCTACCAAAAAGAAAAAGAAGTGTCCAGAGCCAAAAATTAGCACAAATTTAAAATAGATTGTTGAAACTTGGCGAGGTAATAAGGAACCACAAAAATGTAATGCAGAGACTAAATGGAATTTTTTTCATACTCAATTAAATTTAAAAATAATGAAATCCACTGATGAACATTAAAAACCAGTAAAATAAATTTATTTACCCAAAAGAAATAAAATTTTAGACATACTTATAAGTCCTGATGCCATTCTTGGTAATATTCATGAAAAGGATAACTGTACTGCCTTGGAACCGTATACATCCATTGATTTGTTGTAGACTATCTGTAAAAAAAGAAAGAAATAATATTACATTTCATTGATTATGCTATAATAAGAATTATTTTTATTTCTTTCTGTTTAATATTAACATTAAATATATCTTAAAAACTATGATTAGTCTGTTAATAAACATTTAATATATTTATTAAAATTATTTTTAAATAATAAATTAAAATTACCCTTAATCAGATACTGGAAGACCAACTCGTAAACCAGAATGATGGCCAAACATCAGGATTATACGAGGAGTGACATAAATCTCTTGTATTAGGTGGTCTTGATGTGCTGGTGTGTATTCTTAATAACGCTCCCAAAAAAGAAAATTATTATTGTTAAAGCCTTTTTTATTAAAACAATGCAACATTTTTAACTTAAATATGGCGACAATGTTGAGTATAAACATGTGTGCAAAAGTCTTTTATGTTATCTGAAAGATTATATAATTATTAAGAAAGAGGGCCCTCATTATGTATAAAAACAATGACTCATTCTAAAAACCGTAGGAAATACTTGTTTATACGAATAAAAACCTAAAAAATTCCGCCAGGAACAAAAAACATCTTTAAACTCTACCAAAAAAAATTGTCCAAGATATACCAACTATCTCTAAATATTGCGCAGTATTCTAAGTAAATTTATTTTTAATATACCATAGACATCAAGAAAAGTATCTACATTTCCATATAGTCGATTTCGAAAGAGGAAACTATGAAAATAGGAAAAATGCATCAGCTTTTAATGATGACATAATTGAAATATTTGAAAGTAAAAAAAACTTTAGAAAACAGGCAGAATAATGGGTACTTACATTTTCAAAAGGTTAAACAGGCCTTAAGGAACAGAATAAACTCAAATAGTATATAGAAAAATTAATTTTTTTATCAAAAAATCGAAAAAATTAGAAGAATGACATAAAATACGCCATTTTGAAACCATTTTAGTTCAAAATTTTCTCACTTTTTCCACAATGGCGCCACCTGCACTCCTCTTCTTTTTCGTATTTCAGGACTTAAAAGAACTATATCCACAGAATAGCAGTATCATTCTTCTTCTTTACATATTTATGGTCCAAAACATAGACACCCATAGATCAGACATAAATGTTTTCTTCTTTCCTTTTAAGCGGCTTGAACTCATATAGGTCACTTGGCCAGTGTCCTAAAAACAAAATCAAAAGGATAAAACTTGAACTATTATCTATGGTTAATTATTAGAAAAAGACAACAATATAAATAATGACGGCACTAGTAAATAAATAATGTATTAGCTGTGATTATTAATTAATAATACAGATAATAGAGTAATTACTCTATTATATTTGATATATATTGAAAAATGGAGACAAAGGCCAGAGAACGCTAATAAAGTGCAATAAAGTTGAATCTAAAATATTTAAAAGACTAGAAAACAGGTAAATGAATGAGTACTTACATTTTCAAGAGGTTGAATAGGCCTTAAGAATACACGCAAATAGTGAACAGAAAAATCAAATTCTACCTCTGATTCTACCAAAAAAATCAGAGAAAAATTGTAAGAGTAACATCAGGGAGTGCATGTAGAACAGGAAATATCACACTACCAACATTGTCAGATTGAACAGCATAAAGCTGCCCCTAAAAGAAAAAATATAATTATTTATTCTACTGAAATAATGTTTATATAAAACCTGTTTGTTGATACTTTACTTATTTTTTAATTGACTTGTCTAGAATTCAATAATTAAATTTATTTTATGAAACAAAAACCAAGAAAGTTTAATCCCCTATACTGCCATGGTAAAGAAAAAAGTATTACAGTGTTTATCAAATAAATGAGAAGCAAAAACACCTTATCTTGCTTTATTTTGAGAATTTAATGATATATAGTTTCACCTCTGATGGTTATAGCATATAAACTGTACTCTATTTACAAATATTAAGACAAAAAATGTTAACTTTAACTTGAGATCTTAGCTCAACGCATCAGATAAGGTGGTTTGCCTTAACACGGCAGTATAGTTATGCATACAAAGACCAAGTTAATTTAACATCAGTTTACTGTATAATTTCATTTTAAACAAGGCATATTACAAATAAAGTTAAGTTTTAACCTTCGTGTGGTAAAATACCTACCTTTATTTTTATGTACGAGTATGAGTTCTATGATTTTTATAATCTTCTAAATTAACACTTTTGAGATGGGTCCACTACTGGAGAAGCTGTATATTTTTATAACAATGGCCTATTCAAAGATTTTATGTGATTTTGGTCTCTGTATTGGTGGCTACAAAAAAAAACATGGTAAACTGAATATCCTAATTAAATAGTTCTTCGTAGTACCTACATTATCATGTAAATCCTTCTCAGAGTAAACAGCTGCAAGTTAATGGACAAACAAACATAGAATATTTTTATGAATCTTTAATAAACTTAAACTTTTCCAAAATATTAATTTTTTCGAAAATTGTAGGGTTAAAATAACTTGAACTATATATTTTTACGTATAGATGGCTCTGACCAAACACTTTTTGGGTCTAAAAATTGCAGAATTCTTCAATATAAGATGTTAATATTCTCTAACATTCCATTAGATGTCAGAACAATCACCTAAAACAGAAATCTATTTTATTTACGCTTTCGTTTCACTACTACTCACAAGATGGCAAAACAATAATTTTTACAGATTTCTTTAATAAGATATTCCATCGTGTACTAATAACCCGACAGATGGAAGCAGCAGTCCATTAAACAGAACTCTGTTATTTTAAATCTGTAACTCGTTACAAGATGGCGCTTCATGTATATTAGTTCTAATATTGCTCACCACGATTAAATGGCGCTGATTGTAATTTAGCTTTTTAATTAGTAATTTTATTATTAAATTTAGTAATTTAGTTTGTAAGAGAGATATTTATATATAAAAAAAACAAAATAAAACACTATAATATATAGAGAATCTGTATTTTTTATTATTGTATATGTCATATTTAACAAAAAAATCAAGTACGATATATCTTTTTTTTTAAAACTAGATATCAACTACATACGCATTTGCCATCTTTACATTTGGAACCGCCTTTAATGGATGATGGAAAGCAGTACGCGGTACAGAATATATTAGTACCCTTACTGTCGTCATCACACAACCAATCTGTCCACGGCAGTTTGTTTCCTTTTTCTGTAATAATCATATTATTTAGATTTTTCAACTCTTTCTCTAGTTAGTACAGTCTGTCCCACGAGCCACGGAGAACCATGAACCACAGACGACATTAAAAAAGACTATATTTTTAGGTAATTTTTTATTTAAGCGGTATTACTTGCCAAATTTCATAATTTTAAAAAATATAATTTTTCGTTAATTTTAACACAAAAATATACATATTTTTTTTTTAAATTGAACAATTTTAATACTCACTATCCTCAGGGACATACATTGTTAAAATATGAGATATAACCACACAGAAAACCAACAAAAACAGAACACTTGTACTTTTAGCAGACATTTTTCTATATTATATTGAAAAATTAACTGACAGTTGTTTCTAACAAGGTTTTTTCTGTTCACATTCGTTAATATATTAAGCTTCTAGAAAATTATAGAAAACAATTCGAAATATTCTGTAGAAGGTCTCATTACGAATTCAGAAATGCATTTTTTACCGTAATTATATCACGCTTCAAGCTTGTATTTTTCCTAAGTTAATTATTTGGAAATAGATTAAAAAAGGTAGCTCTCGGTAAATTTTTCAATGACAGTGATTTTTTTGAAAAAAATAATCATTACTTGTTGCTGCAAATTCTACAATAGCAAATATCAAATAAAAATAAAGCTATTTGAGATGAACCAAAAAAACAAACTATCGAGAAAAGATACACCTTGATAATAAAGTGGATTTTAACTTTTCATTTCCAACTTTTACCAAAATAACAACATTTTGTTTTTCCTCGTATGATGAGACACCAAAATAAAAACACTAAATCACCACAATACACCAAAACACTTTTACTTTTACACTGGACGCGCGTTTCGCTAACCATGTTAGCATCATCAGCAGATGATTATAAACTAAAGTACAATCTACAAGTTGAGCGTTTATATATTCACTCAGTGGGCACCGAGTGGGCGTGGCAAAATCTAGCCAACCGAGTCAGAGCCAACTGAGCGTAACAGTTAGATTTCCGCCACTAGAGTAGTAGGAAGAAAGAACTTGAAGGAATTGGACCGTTGACTCTGTTCATACTATCTATACATTTATTAATTCTGATGCTTTCATATGCATCTAATTGCCTGTAATTTGAGACTTGTTTAATTAATTTTAAATTATTAAGATCTATCCAATGTTCTTTATCAACAATATGTTCGGCAACGCAAGATTTATCCGGTCTACCATATCTTATCTGAGCTAAATGTTCTTTAAATCTAGTTAATATTGATCTTCTAGTTTGCCCAACATATTTCTGATTACAATCTTTACAAGAAATTTCATAAATACCCAGTGGAGGTGTTTTATCTTTTGGATTACCTAATAAATGTTGTAATTTATTATTAGCACTATACACAAGTTTATAATTGACATTCTTAAAAATTCCTTTTAGACCACGGGATAACTCTCTATGAAACGGTATCGAAAAATATTTAGACGTATCTTTCTCCACTTGAAAAGTCGAATTTTCAGAAATCATTAACCTATACCTACGTTTTCTAATTAATTTATCAACTAGTGAAGGGGAATATCCATTACACTCAGCTACATTCCTAATGTAATCTCTTTCTATTTCATATCTTTCGTTGGAAAGTGGGAAACTAAGTAATCTATGAACTAAGAAATTTAAACTAGCCATTTTATGTTCAACACTATGATGTGATTCATTGGGAATATATCTGCGTGTGGTCGTATTTTTCCTATAGATATCAAATTCCAGGCAATTATTAGCATTTCTAATAACTAATACATCTAGAAATGGTAATCTGTCGTTGTTCTCAATTTCATGCGTAAATTTAATAGAAGGAAAACGATTATTTAACTTAGAAATAAAATTATCTATGGTGTCTGAATGTGTGTCAAAAACAGCAAAAATATCATCCACATACCTAAACCATACTCTTGGAAAATACTCAAACTGATTCTTAGCCTCCACTTCAAACCTGCTCATGAATAAATTAGCCAAAAATGGAGACAATGGATTACCCATTGCTGTACCTTCCCGCTGTTCAAAAATTTGTTATTAAATTGAAAACAATTTTGTTTCATACACTTAACGATGTAAGCTCAATATATTCAATCACAGTTTTGTTGTCGAGTTCATTTGCGTTCAGTAATTCCTTCAAGTAGCCTAAAGTATGTGGAATTGGAACACTTGGGAACAACAAGTAATGATTATTTTTTCAAAAAAATCACTGTCATTGAAAAAATTTACCGAGAGCTACCTTTTTAATCTATTTCCAAATAATTAACTTAGGAAAAATACAAGCTTGAAGCGTGATATAATTACGGTAAAAATGCATTTCTGAATTCGTAATGAGACCTTCTACAGAATATTTCGAATTGTTTTCTATAATTTTCTAGAAGCTTAATATATTAACGAATGTGAACAGAAAAACCTTGTTAGAAACAACTGTCAGTTAATTTTTCAATATAATATAGAAAAATGTCTGCTAAAAGTACAAGTGTTCTGTTTTTTGTTGGTTTTCTGTGTGGTTATATCTCATATTTTAACAATGTATGTCCCTGAGGATAGTGAGTATTAAAATTGTTCAATTTAAAAAAAAAAATATGTATATTTTTGTGTTAAAATTAACGAAAAATTATATTTTTAAAATTATGAAATTTGGCAAGTAATACCGCTTAAATAAAAAATTACCTAAAAATATAGTCTTTTTTAATGTCGTCTGTGGTTCATGGTTCTCCGTGGCTCGTGGGACAGACTGTACTAACTAGAGAAAGAGTTGAAAAATCTAAATAATATGATTATTACAGAAAAAAGGAAACAAACTGCCGTGGACAGATTGGTTGTGTGATGACGACAGTAAGGGTACTAATATATTCTGTACCGCGTACTGCTTTCCATCATCCATTAAAAGGCGGTTCCAAATGTAAAGATGGCAAATGCGTATGTAGTTGATATCTAGTTTTTAAAAAAAAAGATATATCGTACTTGATTTTTTTGTTAAATATGACATATACAATAATAAAAAAATACAGATTCTCTATATATTATAGTGTTTTATTTTGTTTTTTTTATATATAAATATCTCTCTTACAAACTAAATTACTAAATTTAATAATAAAATTACTAATTAAAAAGCTAAATTACAATCAGCGCCATTTAATCGTGGTGAGCAATATTAGAACTATCATCCACATACCTAAACCATACTCTTGGAAAATACTCAAACTGATTCTTAGCCTCCACTTCAAACCTGCTCATGAATAAATTAGCCAAAAATGGAGACAATGGATTACCCATTGCTGTACCTTCCCGCTGTTCAAAAAAGTTGTTTTTAAATTGAAAACAATTTTGTTTCATACATAATGATGTAAGCTCAATATATTCAATCACAGTTTTGTTGTCGATACCATTTGTTCAGTAATTCCTTCAAGTAGCCTAAAGTATGTGGAATTGGAACACTTGGGAACAACGAAGATACATCAAAGGAGACCAAAATTTCACCTTCAAGCAAAGTTATATTTTTAATTTTGTTAATGAATTCAATATTATTTTTAACTGAGAAAGAAGGTTCATGATTAGGTAAATTTTCGAACTCCCTTGATAACCATTTTGCCAAATTATAAGTCGGAGAACCTACAGCCGAAACAATTGGGCGCATAGACTTGTCCGGTTTATGAATTTTTGGCAAAGCATACAATTTTGGTAATGAGGGATTGGATACTTGCAATTTTTTCTTTAAAGAAAGATCAATAAGGGTGTTACATTCTTTTAGAGTTTTTTAACGTCTGCTACCATCTTTGACAAAGGATTCTTTTTCAAATTTATGTAATGGCCATTATCGATTAAGTTGTTAACCTTATCGTAATAGTCTTTTTTATGTAATATAACAACCTTTTTATCTAATATAACAACCAACAAGAAACTAAAAAGACAAATAATTTACCTACAAATTGCCTAAAAAATTACCACAATCGGCAAAGTTTCTTTTTTCAAAATTTTCTTCATGGAAAATCATGTCAATTTCTAGTTCGTTTTTAGCTGAAAAAATTGGACAGTATATTTTAATATACAAAAACCTAGCATTAAAAAGTGCAAATTTGTGATAATAGATGAAAATAATTAACCATAAAAATGTTACTGGCAAAGTCGTAAGATAGGAATAAACAATTTAAGAACTATAATTAATATTGCTAACGTGCAATCTGGTTTGACAATGAAAAAATATAAAAAAAAAATTGATCAAAATTGATCGTATTTCCTCTGGTACAGGGTGCGTCAAAAATAATGAACGTAAAAATCCTTTATGGGTATTTCGCCACAGCACTGCAAGAAAATCTACAAAATAAAACAGTTATTTTTTGTAAACACTTCTGGCGTTAAACCTAACCGGACACTGCTTGTCAGAAGTTATGTTTACAGTTATACAAATTTGCCTAACAAAGAAAAAAATGCTTAACGTTTCGGAAAGTCTGTCTCTTTCCGTCGTCGGAAGCAAAAAAAAATACAAAGAATAAAGTAAAAAACTATTTAAAATATTAAAATTCACACTATTATGAGAACACTTTATTTTTTTTAAAGCAGATACGTCTACAAGAAACCATTGACGTTCTGTTAAAATGTTAATTTTAACAGAACGTAATAACTAATAAGTAATAGTTTTTATATAAAAATTTAAGAATAAACAAATTTCAAGTTGCCTAAAGAATGTTTTTTGGATTTATTTTTTTGCAAATGTTATGGGTTGCGCAGTAGCGAAATATCCCCAACCCCCCAGCTAGACTTAGGATTCTGGGTTCACCAGTTAATAAACTATTCATTTTTAGTTATTCTAGTTTGCCTAAAATATGTTCTCTAAATATGTCGTCAGCTCTTAGGCTAAGTCATGACCTATGCATACGACACCTGGACACTTAAAACGGACATTATAAGGAAACTACAGGTCATACGACGCTTCATGGAACGAAATATGCTGGGAATAACCAAGAAAGACCGTAAAAGAGTAAAGTGGATACGCCAAAAGACCCAGGTAATAGATGTCATCCATAAAATTAGACGGAGCTTTCGAGAGGTGAAATTTGCTATTGTAAAACGAAATTTGTTAATATTTAATTCCTGAATTGTGTCCACCCTGTATAACATATAAATACACACATGCAGACGTCAATTCATCTTAAACTAAAGTAAAACTATTGCGGTTTCATTATTTTTATCTATTCTGAATTACCAGTAATGTCGTCAAAGAAAATAAAACCACAAGAAACAACAAAAAAGAGATGTTAAAAATTGTTGAATCCATGTCGCCTACAGTTACGTGTATTAATATTGTACAGTGAGGTAGCGAAAAAATATGAAATTAATTTTTAGTTATGCTGTCTTAAGTTATTTTTTGCTTGGAAGTGATGGTAAGTAATTTTTATTTGGCTAAATCTATTCAGCATTATTCAAGACTCTAGTCTTTACAAGAAGAAAAACTTTTTTATTATTGACATTTTGAAAAAAATGCATTCTTCATAAAAATTTTTGCTTACAATGGCAATATAATTTCGATTTCGTTCTTTGATACACAGTTATTATAAATTTTGATTAACGTCATATTTTTTTGCTATTGTTAATAAAGTACCAGATTTTCCGATAACTATTATCAACCTTTCCATAGCATTGAATTAAATAAATTTTGAGAGGAAAAAAGAAAAAAAAACATTTGGAAAAGTATAAACGGGATTAACCATTTTAGAACAAGCAAAAATGTTTATGAAGAATGCATTTTTCCCAAAATTTCTATAATAAAAAAGTTTTTTCTCTTATTCACTAATTCACCACAATACACCAAAACACTTTACTTTCGCACTGGACGCACGTTTCGCTAACCATTTTGGCATAATCCATAATCAGCAGATGATTAAAAATAGTTTAAATCATCTTAGTTTGTGAAAATGATGCGAAAAAAATATAATATAAATATGCTTAACTTTATTGAAACATCGCAGTAAACAAAAGCTATTTACTTGAAAGTTTTTAAAAGCTCATTTAAGAAATCCCATTTTATAAGAAAATAAACAGACCGAACGTAAATTTCAATTTTGGAAAAAATCAGTTTATATTTTTATAAGAAATCAATAATATCTTTATAAGGAAAGAATATATTTCTTCTTATTTTCGTTTAGATAATCATATCTTGTCCAGATATTCCGTAGACACGTGTCAAAGAAAAAATAATGTGTTAGTATACATTATTCACATTTTTATTACTTTTATTCTTAGCTCATCGCTTATCCAGACTTATTGAGCCCATTAACTACAACATCAAGCTTCGACCAAACCTTGACAGCGACTATTTCAATGGAGTAGCCAATATAACCTTAAAAATATCAGGAAATCACAGCAACATAACCTTACATTCCAGTTGTCTTAATATGTCTAAAGCGCACGCCAATGGAGTAGATTTACGAATTAAACAATTGCCTTATGAACGTATTTCAGTAGCCTATCGGAATGGTGGAATATTTCAACCAGGAGTATATAGTTTTTTCTTTAAATTTGTCGGAAAATATGGGGTATATGGATTAAATAAAACTGAGTATGGAATTAAGAATGACACAAGGTAAAGTCACAGAATGTTTGATAAAAATAAACTAAAATTATCTCAGCTTTATTTATTTTTTTGTATACACTATTGTTTTTATAAGAGGAAAATCTCTTTTATTATAGATTTGAAAAAAAAATTGCATGTTCTAAAATGGTTAATCCCGTTTATTCTTTTCCGAATTTCAATACCGTTTAAAAGAACATTTAAAAAAACGAGAAAATATTGCTGGATTTTTTTAAGTTCTAAAAATCAAAAACCGTCTCTTTGGTAATATAATTTCATAATTTTTAGAGTGATAGTTGTCAACGAGTTTGAACCATACGGTGCTAGAAAAGCATTCCCTTGTTTCGATGAACCATATTTTAAAGCAACATTTAGTATACGTTTAGTGTCACCAAATGACAGCTACTACTGCGTATCTAACATGCCTCAGATTGTAAGCACCATACAAACAATATAATGAACAATATAACAATAACTATAATAACAGGGTATTCCTCAATGGCATGGTAACATTTAAGAAAATAAAGCTCGTATGAATGTACCTCCGAAACATCTTAACTTTTGAGATACAGGATGGTAAAATTTTCTATTTTTTATATGTACAGGGTGGGTCAAATTCGACGCTTTGAAATGGAAACACCCTTTTCTATAGGAGATAGACGAAAACTAATATCGGTGTCTGGAGCTCAATTTTTGTCAAAAACGTGATGGTGAAAACCGCATATCGATATCTGTTATCGTTTCGGAGTTACGGGGTGTTTTTCAAAAATATGCACTTTTAACAAATCGCTGTAACTTTTTTGCTACGGAAAATTTTGTATTTTTATGAAAACATTTCCAAAGCACCTTTTTACGTAGAATTTAATGGTTTAAGTATAATTTTTTTAAAATTAATAATTTAAGAGTTATCAACAGAAAATTTGATTTTTTATATAGGACACCCTGTATATTTTTAATATATTGAAAATAATTTAAAATTACCTTTCCAAAAATATAACACAGTTAATATTTTGCTCGATTCCTCTTCGAGATATAGAGTATATAAAAATTCGCCCGCTCTAAATGAGTAGGCTTTGAAGGGCACCGGCTGTAATGCAAAAAAATCTAGCTGTGAGCATCAATTAAAACGAAAATAATATTTGCTATGAGAGATTCAGAATTTTATAACTATTTAAAATATATTTAACCAACATCAACACATTTAAACTATATCTAATAACAATAAAACTAAATAGCAAACCAAGACATGAGATTTTGCTACAGGTGTTCGACATATCGACCGTCTTCTGTTATGGACAGACGGGGCAGTTTTTGAACATTTCTCGCGGAATTCATTAACTCAGTAGGGGTGAAAGATACCCTCTCATAACTGCTAAGTATTTCTAATTCTTGTCTAGATTATAAGGAAGAATAAGGAACCTTTATTTTTCTGCATATATATCCATAGGATTAGATCCATGGGCACTAAGTCAGGCGGCCTCGACGGCCAACGGCTGGAATCTTGGTTGGCTATTCAATTATTGTTGAAATTGGATGCAAAAATTTGCTGATAACTTCAGCGCTCAGAGGCGGTGCATCGTCTTGCTGGAAAAATATGTTTTCGAGTTCCATTAAGGGCATATCATCAATAAGGTGTCCAAAGCCTACTAGTTAAAAGTGGCGAACTTTTAAAAATTCTGTATTTCGAAGGGAATTATAACAAAATATCGATCGAATCGATAGATATGAATCAGTTTTATATTGAATATTTTTGGAGAAAAAAAATGTACGCCCTGACTAGTCGCCATAGACTGAATTAGAACGAACGTTCCCTATTAATTTTAGTAGTTCCCGTTTAAGACCCAAGAATCACCCCTTAAATATCAGCATGTCATTAGGAAACACCCTGTGTAATGCGTAGTTATTGTATATTTTATTGCAAAAAAAATAAAAACTTTTATTTTTTAAAGAGAATTAATTCTTCATCGGACGGCACTGTATACCACTTCGCAACGACTCCCAAAATGTCCACTTATTTGGTATCGCTGGCAGTGACAGATTCAGCTAATTTTACCCGCCATTTTCAGTACCGGAACAGAAATTTTTCGACAACAATATACAGTTACAATGCTAGCAATACCAACAACAATGAGGTTATTGAATTTGCCCAAGCGGCTCTTGAGATTTTCACTGACTACACTGGAATTGAATATCCTTTGCCAAAACTCGGTAAGAAATGTAATATTATATACAGGGTGGTTCAGGGTATTGTATCAGGATGGTATATTATAAATCGATAGAACCAATTAGTATGTTTTAAACGGTTTAAAACATATTTGATTTTTTACTGAATAAAATAAGGTTATATCGTCTTGGTTAGAGCCAGTGGCGGATCCAGTGGGGGGGGGGGCAAGACTATTCTACCAGTACAAGAACGGTAAAGTAATAGGATTGCTCATCCTCATAAGACGTACGTTCGCTTCTTCCCGCCCTTCAACTGACAGTTGTGACGTCATTGTAGTCCTTGTCATGATAGTGTGTATTATTGGTTGCCTGTGGTAAGCTAATAAAAATAACAGCTGGGAAATTTTGAGTTAATTATTTTGTCGATTTTAAATGTGAAAAAGGCGTTTTTAAAGTTTTTAGAGCTATAGAGTTTATAAATACTTGTTACTAAGTGCCTACGATATTGTTTATTAATTAATTGAAAGCAAAATATGGAAGTACTCTAGAAAGAATGGCTGCAAAAGGTGATGCAGCGAACTGCTGTTCTTAAAGATGCATTATCCGAATATTTAATACAATTTATATAGTTAATTCTTTATATTGCATACATATAAGGTGTTTAAATAAATAAACTAAATAATGAATGTTTTGCATACGGCAACCAATAATACACACACTATTATGACAAGGACTACAATGACGTCACAAAGCGAAGAGTTTTCGCATGCACCTGGCAGATACTTTCGGCTGAACGAGCATTCATATTAGGTTAACTGTTCTTGCTACCAGTAGATATACTTGTACTAATTTACGGGATATCCTGTATATTACACATTTAAGTATCCTCGTAGTATAGAAATGTATATAAGTCAAGGATTTTTTTCTATTGTCGCTATATTTGGAAGCGAATAAATTGTTGTTGCATTTTTATTTTATATCCGTATTGCAATTTTTAACTTCTCTCAATACTGTATAACATTTTCTAAAATCAGAATCCATTCAACTTTTCGCTTTATTGTTCCCCTTGAAAAGAAGCGGGAACAAAGTTAATCCTTGAATTTCTAGCGTTTCATACTTTTAAGAAAAATTTCTTAAATATCAAGTCTTTTATGTTTCTTTTTAATGGGCTAAAGCATAAAATGGAGGAAACTACATCTATAGAGAGAATTATTAATGTTAAAAATTTATTTTTAAAGTTGAAAAAAACCAAAGTCTAAATCGGGCTCACACACCGAGGGTTCCCTTTTTTCTTTTTAGGTACGGAACTTTAAAAATGTTGAAGTCTCAAAATTTAAGCATCATTTTTTTAATTTTTTTTTCTAAAAAAAAAACAAAAAAACAACCCTTCTATTAATTCTAATAGTGTATAAAAATGGTAAACAGAAAATATGCTTCTTTTCTCCAGATACTCGCACTTATACAGGGTTGTTCACCACATACGACACGGAGTATTGTAGCTAAACGATGAGATTTTTACAAATTGTAAGTCTTGGGTTCGATGAAGGACTATTAGAGGTACAATTTAAAAATAATTTTACAAGATACAGAGTGTCCCAAATAAGTAAAAAATATCAAAGTTGTATTTTTTTTAACGGAACACCCTGTATATTATTGCATTTTTAGTTTCTACGATTAAAATAAACGTAAATTTGATTAAGGACTATTATACTTAACCTTACCGTTTTTGAAATATTTTCAATTTTGTGAAATTGCAGTAAAAATTTTAAAGCTTCATTTCTCCAAGGGTACCAAAGTTTTTAATACTAAATATTTACTGAAGTTTATTTATTGATCAGTTATTGTGTTGCAATAATAAAAATAATACTACCTTATACAGAGTGTCTAAAAATTTATTTTAAATAATTATTGGCTTCAAACGGCAATAACTTGTTTAATTTAAATGGAACACCCTGTATATTTTACGAGAATCAGATGCACAATTTAATTGTCTATCAAATTATATTATACCATCTCTTTAAGTTTCCGTAGAAAATGCATTTTCTTGTAATTTAGAATTTATTTATCAATATACCCATGGAATATTGACATTTTAGATTATTTTTAAAGATGTACCAAATTTTTTAAAGAGTACAGATACTAATATTGTGGATATAATTCGTTTATTTCATTAAAAAATAAAAAAAAACTGTTTAAATATTTGTTAAAGAGGACCAATTAATATGATTCCAGTATTCAAACTACATTAACTGACTGCATTGATTAATAATAATTGTTCCCAATACTAAAAAACTGAATTTTGTATGGGTATTAGACAGTGTGATAAAAAGTAACACCTTAAAAATGATATTTCATTTTTTAATAAATGCTTATTTATAACAACAGAGACTTTAATTTTGATAACCTATTATTATATTGATTTCTGACTCAAATCCACATTTATTTAGAATAATTTATTAATGAATACGTATGTAATTAATTAGTATATGGGCGGAAATAATGGTGCTATATTTAATTAATGGTATACTCTTTTATAAAGATTTAAATAGTTTTCTTTTTGCATACAACATTATTGATTTTAGCAAAACGATAATATTACTAGAATGTCAATATATGATGTCAATATTCCATAGGTGTCAATAATAAAATGTCAATATTCCATGGGTATATTGATGAATGAGGTCTAAATTATAATGTATATAAATTGTGCATCTGATTCTCCTAAAATATACAGGGCGTTCCATTTAAATTAAACAAGTTATTGCCGTTTGAAGCTAATAATTATTTAAAATAAATTTTTAGACACTCTGTATAAGGTAGTATTATTTTTATTATTGCAACACAATAACTGATCAATAAATAAACTTCAGTAAATATTTAGTATTAAAAACTTTGATACCCTTGGAGAAATGAAGCTTTAAAATTTTTACTGCAATTTCACAAAATTGAAAATATTTCAAAAACGGTAAGGTTTAAGTGTAATAAACCTTAATCAAATTTACCTTTATTTTAATCGTAGAAACTAAAAATGTAATAATATACAGGGTGTTCTATTTAAAAAAATACAACTTTGATATTTTTTACTTATTTGGGACACTCTGTATCTTGTAAATTATTTTTAAATTGTACCTCTAATAGTCCTTCATTGAACCCAAAACTTGAAATTTGTAAAAATATAACCGTTTAGCTACAATACTCCGTGTCGTATATGGTGAACAACCCTGTATAAAATACACCCTGTACAGTACTGCATTGTAATTTGTAATGCCATTTTATATGGTCTTTGTTGTTGAATTGCACCATTTCTTCCTGAGTGACAAATTTATTAAACCTGTTATTGAAATATATTAATTCCTTTATTTCTTTAAATTTTGAGTGTATTTTGCATAGATATGATTGAATATAAGAAGGCCAAGGGACTGGGAACAGAATTATGGGGTCTGATACAGTTCAAGATGGGCTTATTGAATCAAAACCTGGAAACTTACAACAAACATGAGCGAGGTTTTGTGATTTTCCACGAGGTGACACACTCATGGTTTGGAAATTTAGGTAATTACATTGCTTTGTCAAATACCGGGTGTTTCTCAAAAGTGGCTCACCCCCAATAACTTTTTTATTTTTTCAGATAAAACAACGAGATTTGGTATGTTAGTATATGACATAAATTAAGATTGATTGACGTATTCGGTTGTTTTCGGTCACTTTCTGTTTCACCAGAAATGACTACAACATTTCATTTTTTAATGACACCCTCGGTATTTTGGTACTTTATTTGATAGAATGACATCGAGTGAGTTATAGTCAAAAGTTATAGTCATTTCCGGTGAAACAGGAAGTGGCCAAAAATAATTGAATACGTCAATGAATCCTAATTTATGTCATATACTAACATACCAAATCGTTTTCTTTTATATGAAAAATTAAAAAAGTTATAGGGGGTGAGCCACTTTCGAGACGCACCCGGTATATACTAAAATTCGGCATTACTTTTTAAAATTATTTTGAAAGAAAAAAATCAAAACAGGATAAATCCCAAATCCTCAATACAATACAAAAAAATATACAATTTGAAAAACAAGAGACAATATATTGGTAAACTATAAATACATTTACTGTAGGCGTTTTTTTCCCTGTTATAACACAAAAGAATACTTAATTTAATCTATTTCAGCCCATTAGCTCAAGAAGGTGAATATAATAATAATTATTAGTAAACACGAGGGTGAGAAAAAAAGGAAAAGTAAACATGTAGCTACTTAATAGGGTGTTATATTTAGATAAATTAATTACTATGTATGTTAAGTCTTCTCCTAATTTCTTTCAGTATTATACATGAAATACCCCCAAAAAGTATATCAATCATTAGTGCCACATGAAAACTGTTTTCTTTAAGTTGATTTAAGAGTAACTATCGCAATGGTTATACAGAAAATATAATTAAGTATAGATTCTTTTAATTAATTAAATTATTTATTTTAATTTTAATTTTGTTAAATAAATTTTTTATTTAATTAAATGAAACCATTATTTAATAAAATAAAAATTAAGTATAGATATACTCTGTTATTTCAAATAAAAAATAGGTTATCTTCATTCGAGGGTAAAATGGGTAAACATAAAGAACAATAAATAGAAGGTCATTTTGTAGAACGGCAAAAATATAGATTAATTAATTATTACCTGAAATTTCCTCGGAATTCGTCCACGTGTTGTGTACAGCGGATCAAAAAACAAACGCGTACCATAGACATTATAAGTAATAGAATGTCTTTCTTCTTGTAAAAAAAGTCACCCCTATTTAAGAAAAATAAAATATTACACGCTAAATAGGGACATACACACACCGGAAAAGTCTAGGGATATTACAATTTTATCCAGCCATCATCAGTAATTTTATTATTTGCATTTCTGATATAATAAAATTAAAATAAACAAATAGTTTACAGGACGTATTGGAAATAAAAATGCGAAATTTACCGAATTTTTCAAATTTACCTTGATTTTTATTGAACTCAAAAAAATATGCACATTTTTTTTTATTCTAAACTGTGAATTAAAAAAAAAAGATAAAACCATTTTTACTTAATAAAACACCTCCTCTACTGTTCATTACAGCCCTACATTGTCTCTCCATGCTCCTGATCAGGTTGTCGATCTCTTCTTGAGGTACAGCCTGCCACGCTGCATTCACGGCCCGAACCAGATCCCTACGAGTTTCACGAGGCATACCCATTCTCAAAATTCTTCTTTGGACCGCGTCCCATACGTGCTTGATGGGGTTGAGGTCAGGAGATTGTGCCGGCCAGGGTAAGATGTTTAATTGATGAGCATTGATAAACTCATTTACCACTCTGGCTGTATGAGGCCGTGCATTGTTATGCATGAGAATGAAGTTTCTCCCAAAATCATTGGCATATGGTAACACGACAGGCTCAAGAATTAAATCACGATATGTGATTCCTGTTAGAAACCTTTCATGAAAAACGAGATCGCGTTTTCGGCCTAACTGGACTCCTCCCCAGACCATAACTGTTCCACCTTGATAAGGGTGCACTTCCTGAACATGATCCAACCGAATAAAATTTCCCGGTTCTCTCCATACCCTAAGCCTTCTCGAATCCGGATGAATTCCAAATCGTGACTCATCCGTGAAGAAAACATTGGCCCATTGTTCATTCGGCCACTGAACATGATCTTGAGCCCGCAAATATCGTACCTCTCGATTTCCTCTCGTTAAGAGTTGAGCTCTCCAGGGGCGTCTGCTTCTTAAGTTGACCTCTCTTAATCTATTGCGAACAGTGTCAGGACTAACGGTTACATTATGTGTTTCCTGGAGAACTAAATTTAACTAAGCTCTGGTGCTGTTAGAGTCGGTCGGCGTCGAGCATTTAATTGTAAAAAATGATCTTGCTGAGGGGTAGTAATGCGATGTCGCCCTGTGTGCCTTTCAGCAACATCACCACTTTCACGGTAGCGTGCACTTAATCGCGATATTACACTTTGCGTTGTATTTAGCTCTAGCTACGTCGATTTGGCGCATTCCAGCTTCGAGCATACCCATAGCCCTTAGCATTTCGTCTCTGTTAAGATGTCTACGCTCCATAATGTCGTTTAATACTAAACAGAGTTATTTGAATGAATTTTGGCCAGTTATCATAAAAACATAGCCAGGTTAAATTCAAACAATTGATGCTAGGTGCTTTTTATACATTTGACAAAAAATGCACAAACACTTCTGCAAATATTCCAAATTTAGAGATAACTAGTGTGACTACTTCGTTTCAATCGAAGTAGAAAGAATCGGCCTACAAATATGTGGTTGTTTATTCAAAACATTTATTTTTAACTTTAATAAAATGACATCCCTAGATTTTTTCGGTGTGTGTATTTTACAACCTTTAATCGAAAAGCAGGTACAATATTTTATTTTGAATTGATGTCCACTGAAAATCAGTGATATTTTAGATATTATTGGAAATTCAACGGAAGATAGTGGGAAAATAGTATATACAGGGTCTGGCAATAGTGCGTCGGGCATCTGTAGCTCCTAGAATAAAAAACATACGAATTTTGTATAAATGCAAACCAAAAGTATGTAATTTAAAAATTGTTCTTTATTTTTAGAAAATGTTAAATATGTCAAAAACCTTACATTTTAGTCATATACTTCCCTTATAAAACTGACCTTTATTTTTCTCTCAGAATCCGAAAATCAATTAATATATAGGGTGTTCCATTACAAACCAAAAACTTTGATATATAACTTTTTTTGGGGAAACCCTATAGAACTCTGTATATTTTTAAAAAGAGCTCTGAATTAACCTACATATGCTCATAAAATTTCATTTCAAAACAAACTGTCGTTCTCTTTGGAGCCACCGCGTCGTATGAGAGGTGCTACCCTGTATATTACCAAAATCCTACAACAACACCTTTGAAAAATAAATTTTATCACGTACCTAAACCGTTAGTAATGAGTAAAAGAAATGGTTTTCGTCCATCTATTATGTTTTAATGTCTCTGACGAGTATACAAAGCGCATAATAAAGAAAAAAAAACATTTTCACAATAATTGTGAAATCCTGGGATTGACACGGGCGGACACGAAAAACCGTCGTTCTGGATAATACATCATACATTTTAATGTCCGCCATTTCGGGAAAACAAAACCAACGCAAACAAGGGGATATTCCCTCTATTTTAGGCTGGAAACGTTTATTTATATATCTTTCCAAGAAGAATCAAACATGAGAAAATTTACACAAGATACAAGATGTTACGTTATTAATTAGAAAATTATTCAAGTGAGACAGAAAAAAGCGGCGTGAATTAGTGTTTTTTTTATGTTTTATTTTTATTCTTGTGCTATATCAATTATAGCAGTTTGTATAGACACATAATCATATTATTAAACACACTAATTTATTTTTAGTAACCAACGACGGATGGAATCATCTTTGGCTGCAAGAAGGCTTGACTACCTATATGTCGACCAAATATTTCAATCAGTACTTCAACGTGGTAGGTAAAATAGCTCTAAAATATACAGTATTATATTCAAGTATTTATTATTTTATCAAGAAAAATTAAGCAGTATCTGCTGGTGGAAGGAATGGATATGTTACTAGTGATTTTATTTTGTGAGGATAATTGTTTGTTGGCCTGAAAGGTTTTGCTCAAAGGTATCCAAATAGGAATTTCCTTGACAAGCGTTCCTTTGAAAAACTACTTTTCCTATTTCGCAGAACTGATAGTGTGGTATATGAAAAACCTATTAGACAAAAACCTGTCGTTCAAACTGAAGAAAAATGAATTTGCCTTAATTGGTTCTTTTATAGAAAATCCAATATATCTACAAGTCATCGTAATATAAATCAAAGGACTACTTCTTTATTTTTCGTGATAAAATAATAAATACTTATTTATTAAACTCTTGTAGGTAAATTAAATAAAAGTAAACTGTTATATATTTAAATAAAGTCCATAAACTAATGTCGACTTTGAAAATAGCTACTAACTGAAATTGCCATATCGACACCAGCCATCTTGATTGCCATTTTATTGCAAAATCGCTTTTTATTCAAAATCTGAGCCAGATAGGTATAGGAAACCCTAATATAGTTTGAAAGAGCATTTAAATGTGCTTTGACTTATTTAAAAAAATACATAGTGTTGTATTTGAAATAACGAAGTTTTTATGTAAAATAAATATTTAAAATAGACTAGCAATTTTTGATACCCTTGTATACATTTAAGAAAGCAATCAAATTTTTCAGTAAAGTTTATTTCTCTGGCTTAAAAGTCTTTTTAAAAGTGTAAAATTTTTTTGTAAAAAAAATCATTTTTTTAGTATTTGGTGCAATTATTATTAATCTATTTAGCTAGTAATTATTTAATGTAAATTTTTGGACACTCTGTATAAGGTAGTATAATTTTTATTATTGTAACAAAATATCGGATCAATAAATAATCTTCAGTAAATATTTAGTATTAAAAACTTTGATACCCTTGTAGAAATGAAACGTTAAATTTTTTACTGCAATTTCACAAAACTGAAAATATTTCAAAAACGGTAAGGTTTAAGTGTGATAAACCTTAATCAAATTTACCTTAATTTCAATGGTAGAATCTAAAAATAGAATAATATACAGGGTGTTCCATTTAAAAAAAATACAACTATAATATTTTTTACTTATTTTGGACACTCTGTATCTTGTAAAAATAATTTTAAATTGTAGCTTTAATAGTCCTTCAACGAACCCAAAACTTACCATTTGTAAAAATGTAATCGTTTAGCTACAATACTCCGTGTCGTATGTAGTGAACAACCCTGTATATAATTTTTTCAGACACTACAACCACACAACGTATTCGATCTAAGCAATCTATTCTATGAAGATAAATCCAAGCCTTTGCCACTTGTAACCTATCCGGATCAAATCACAGAAAAAGACCTTTTTAGAAATGCAGTTTATTCAAAAGTACAATAAATAATAATTCAAAAAATTACCAAGTAATCAATAGTTTTATATAGGGTGGTGCAATATTTCAAGTGCTGGAAACGGTTATGGGTCCAGAAGCTTTCCAGAATGTTATCAGGAGGTATTTAAAGAAATTCTCTTATGGATCTACCACGACAGACGATATTATCAAAGAATTCTCCAAAGAAAAACCTGAGTTGGATATAAAGTCTTTTATGGAAACCCACTTATACCAATCTGGATTGCCTGTGTTGAGTCTTGATGAGAGTTCTGAAGGTTATATTGTCACTCAGCATGATATATACAACGGAACGTAAGTATAAAATTATTAAGTATGTCTAAACTTGTTGTTTAAACAATCTGTTTATTAAAATTCTCGTAGGATTTAATTTAGACTCAGTGTTATTGATTAATTGTTATTTTTGCTAATTTGTGTAGAAGAAAATGGACTATACCAATTTCGTATATGCAAAGGAATGTAACTGGACACATATGGTTTGACAAAGATTCAAAATCAGGTAATGTACTACTTCAGTACAATACATCAACAATTTTGAAAACTGTACTATTTTTCTTGTGTTCTTTAAGTCTAGTTCACTACAAAAGTCAAAATTCAACTTTTCTACTAATTTTGTGATTCTACAGATAAAAATAAAACAAAAAGTTCCTATACATATTTGCCCTAAAATGCTTCCCGAAGAAATTACAGCCTTACAAAAGTTAAATAAAAATAATATATTATGTATATTTTTGAGAACATTGGTAAACCGTTTTTCCTGAAATTTGGTTAGGTTTTCAAACGGTTTTCAAGATATTTGCGTTTAAAGATTAAGATGCATCGATTTTAGTATTTTAGTGAAATGATAAAATGTGAAGAAATGCGCGAAAGTGAAATGATAAAATAATAAAACGTGAAGTGCATCGGAACCTTCAAACGCAAATATTTTGAAAACCATAATAACCGAAACGAAGAACACTTTTTTACATTAAAAAAGTCCTAGCTTTAATTTTTATTTGTTGAAATTACTTTATCTATAAGGATAAAAGAAGTACCTAACTTTCAGGGCTGTTATGGAATTTTACATCATCGCCATTCGCTCTAGCATCAGTCATCATGTGTATAATAAATAATAAATAAATAAACAACGCTTTATTGCACCGGGTGTCCCACTAAGAATAGCTCTCGGCTGTATCTCGGAAAGTATTAGCTGTAGAGGCTGCGGAAAAAAATATTTATAACTAAAGAGGCTATGAGAAATTGCTGGAAATTATTTTCAAGTTTGTAGAAAGACCGCTAGGGGCCGCAACCGCAACAAAAAAATAAGAAAATGGGACATTCTGATAACACTCTTCGAAATCTTCAAAATCATTTTTTTAATATATTTTATTCGTAAATGGTTAAAAACTTTCTTATCCGGATTGGGGATAAGAAATCGATCAGAGGGTGAAAAAAGAACTTTTTCAATTTATTTCTGATATAAACGCTACCATAAAATCGTATGGGACCTGTCAAACATTGATTTTCCTCAAGTTTTTCTTACTTCCGCTTTCCCTTTTCACTTATTATGTTTGGAATACCATCATTTGATTTATATTAATATTTAATAAACCAAAATATTATACAGATTTTCTACAAAACCACACATTGAAATACTGTATGTTCAAATAAAAATTCAAAATAAAATTAATTATAGATATTTATTATCTTTTTATTTTATAATTTTTGCTTGCAGATCTTCAGGACTATTGACAATTCTATATCATCACCGAATCTTAGTTGATTAAGATATTCCCCATCTATTTTCAATCCTTTGTTGGTCGCAGTCAAATTTTCTGTCAATTTTAAACTGGAAGTATAAGTAAAACTGAATTTGCCATCGATTTCCTTTGAAGATTTCCGCGTAACGAATTTTAATCGAGATTTAGCTCGGGCGTTTCCTCAAAAGAAAATTACAAAATCCATGTAATTTAATTCGATTTTCCCCGTGGAAATCCCTCGTTTCCTAAGGTAGAGTGTGTAAAATGCACTTGAAGCAATACCGCAAGCTATTAAGTCCAGCATTATAAATTAGGGATGGACATTTTAAGGGAAAAAAATTATCGATCGTTTGTTTCAAGTTTGAAGATGGTAGACAATGTGTTTTAGTTAGAATACAGGCAGATGAACAGAGCTCATCAATGCCCAGAACCATTCTGCGACGTTGCAAAAGATGCTGATGCCTGGTGGCGTTGAGGTACAGCTCTCGTCTACCAATCTCAAGGTTGTGAGTGCGAATCCTACACCCGTCATTTCATCAGCCGACTTTTTTTAATAAAATAAAAATAGTTTGGTTGTGACCTAGGTGGACTCAGCCATAAATGAGTACTTGGGATTTACAATCCTGAGATAATAATAGGCGGTTGAAGCACAGTTTAAAGAATATAAATATATCAGTTGATCCACTCTTCCCCCGTATCAAAATTCCTTCCGCCGCTCCCCGCCTGTCTTGTAGACTTGGGTCAGTCTACATCCGTTGCTCGACGTGTACACAGCGTCCCAAGTTTATTTTAGTTTTGTTTTCGGTCCGACGCATAGGGTGAACCAAAAATAGTGTTTTAGTTGGTTTGTTCGAATTGTGAATAAAATGTCTACTAGAAATAGTTGTGCAGTGGATGGTTGTGAAAGTAGAATGACAGACAATATATCGTTCTGTAGGTGCCCAAAAGATGAAGGAAAGTATGTGTTTATATAGTATAGGATATTAAGTATATAATAATTAAAGAATTAGACATATTAAGTATATTATAATTATAGAAACCTAACTATGAAAAAATGGTTTTAAAAATATACATATAAATTAAGAAAAGATTTTACTCGAAATATGCACAAAATATTTATTTATAACAATTAGTTTATTATTTTAGTAGATATTTTAGAGTAGTAGTAGACACTTTACTATTATGTTTTGGATTTTGCAGTATTTACCGGTTTGCAAAGTGCATATTAAATTATTATTTAAGATATTTGCATTTTTTTAAATAGCATGTTTTACTTTTTAGATGTTTGTATTTAACTTTAACTACCTACCTGGAAAGTCCAAATTTTATCGTCAGGTAATAAAAATACGCGCATACAACTTCTTCTGCTATTGACAAGTTTTTTAGAGTTTTTACTAAATTTTATGTAACAGTAAATATAACAATTGACGAGCACATGGGAAAAACGATGAGTATCGAGAAATGATAAATGTTCAGGAAACCGTTTGTTTTAATTGAAATTACGCATGGACTTTTATATCCGAGTTTATATCGTTTATATTTATATTCTTTAAACTGTGGTTGATGCGTAGTGCTAGCCACATTACCTTCCTTGTATAGCGAACGGCTCTAGCATGGCAAGCTGTACGTTGCTACTCCCAAGGCGTTAAACGCTATATACGGGAGCTATTATTATTATTAAAATCTCAATCAGTTACTGAAATGTTCTACACTTATTCATGGTATATAACAAAATATTTCTTTAAGTATCTACATTTTGATTTATCGATATTTTATCCCATCCCTAACTATAAGCACTTTGCAGTTACTATTCCTCGTGTTGCTGATGCTGGGAAAGTGGCAGGAAGAAAAGATTGGATCCTGTTAAATATCGCAGACTCCCGAGGGATGTACGCAGTCAACTACACAGAAAAAATCTGGGACGCCTTGCTAGATTCTATAGAGGTACGAGATATATTTTTTTTACAGTTATTATTAGTAAAATTTTCTAATTTTTTTCATAATAACTCTGATGTTATTATAAATAACTTTATGAAATTTGATATACGTCTTCTATGCATCAAAATGCAATAAAGGGAATTTTATTTAATGGATTCAGTGGCTTCCATACGTGTTTTATATTGAATATTTTTAGAGAAAAAATAGTATGCCACTGACTTCTCTTAAAACAAACAGTATTTTCAAAATATTTATTCGTTTGTAAACAATATCCATCTCTTGATTTTTGTTCTCCCGCGCATGCTTTTTGAAATTTTTAAACCAAGCTGTGTATTCCAAAAATAGAAATAAATCAAACCAAACCCAAAAGAATCTTTAAATTTTAATAAGCAATCAAAAAACTCTCAGCCTTACAAGAAACATTTATTTTAGGAAATAATAACACGAAAAAAAAACATTTATTTCCGTTTTTATGAAAAATAAATTTAATTACAAAACAATTCTTAACAGTATTCTGTTTCTTTTGGAATACTGAAAAATCATATTATCTCGTAAAAACATCTAATTTCCAATTTAAAAAAAGCCCCTAAAAATGTTCACCTCCTTTTTTCGGCCGTTTTTAGGTTCAAACAATTTTTTTATTAAAAAGCCCAATATTAATTTTGCGTGGTTTTTGAAATCCGATAGAGCGATCACTGTCGAAATTAATTTGACCAGAGAACTAAGTGAACGTAGAGGGGCAATATTAATACAACTTTTATGTTCTTGAAAGTAAAATTTCTTTAGGCGCGATTGGAGTAAAAATTCAACCTTGACCAAGCTAGCGAGAATTAAGGTAAGAAACTAGGTAAAGCATCGCTAGTTCATTTGCTAGTTCAAAGCTCATTTGCTAGTTGAGAATTAGAATTATTAGAGTTAAGCAACTAGCATTTTTATTAGAGAGCATCGTTATATTTATTTCAAACCAATAATCAACGAGAATCTATTGATCCTTAAGTGACTGACTCGCTGATTAATCACGATCCTGCTCAAACCACTCAACGTAAGAAGCTCAATTTTGGCATACAGTTTGATTCTAGGGTGTAGAGGTTCGATAAGAAGGGATTTTTCGAAATTCCAGTTCCAAGGGGGTGAAACTACCCTTCAAATATTACAATATTTTTTATTTAGAAAACGGTCAAGTTTCCGAAAAAAACGCTTAAACACTTATATTTTATTTTGTTTTTTTACATATTTTAAGATTTTTTAAAAATGTATACAGGGTGTTTCGAAAAATCTGGTCATTGATTAATCAGGATCCTGCTTAAAGCACTTAACGTAAAAAGCTGATTTTTGGAAAATGGATTGACTTTAGGGTTTAGAGGTTCGATAAGAAGGGATTTTTCGAAACTCGAATTCTAAGGGGGTGAAACCACCCCTCAAATATTAGAATATTCTTTATTTAAAAACCGGTGAGTTTTTCGGAAAAACTCTTAAACACGTATATTTTATTTTGTTGTTTTACATATTTTAAGATTTCTTAAAAATTTATACAGGGTGTTTCACAAAATATGACCATTGAGTAGTCACGATTTTGCTTAAACTGCTTGACGGTTAAAGCTGATTTTTGGCAAACGGATTGACTGTGGGGTGTAGAGGTTCGATAAGGAGGGGTTTCTCGAATCTCAAATTCCAAGAGGGTGAAAACGCCCCTCAAATATTACAATATTTGTTATTTAAAAAACGGTTAGACTTTGGGGAAAACGCCTGGACACGCATAATTTATTTTGTTTTTTACATATTTTGAAATTTTTAAAAAAATCATACAGGGTGTTCCAAAAAGTTGGGTAATTGATTAACCACGATTCTGCTTAAACTGCTTGACGTAAAAAGCTTATTTTTGGCAAACGGATTTTTCTCGGGATTTTTCGAAAGCAAATTCCAACAAGATGAAACTACCCCTCAAATATTATTAAGTTATATAATAATATTGCAGATTATATAGTTTTATAATATATATAGTAACCTATATGTTTTTTCTCATGCTGACATAAATGTGAGAAAATTTTATTCAGTTTGTATGTTAATGGAAATTCTTGCTTTGCTTTATCATCACCATTACAAATGATTAATTCGACGCGAACGAAGTCGCGGGTACACGCTAGTATTCGTATAATTTAACAAAATTACTGTAAACCACTATAAATACCAATTGTTGGTTAGGTTCAATTTTTTTTTTCTCTTCTTAAATAAATTTAAGCGTTATCATTATTAGGCATTTGCATAAAAGTGTGTCTTTGGGTGGTATTCCATAAAATTTGCCGGCTATTGTAGAAAAACTTGTGTCGTTTCCCTCTCTCAGAAGAGCTCTACGTTTACGTATTTCTATGAGTCATCGGCCCTTCCAAATGAACGAATCGATAGAAGGGTGGTGTATTATTATTCAAATATTCCAGAATTAATAAGCAAACGTAAATATTTGCAAACCGTTTGACGGAAAGTTATATTCAAATTAGGTAGACTTAAAAAATACAACTTAAAACGATTTCTAGATTTAGAGCTATTTTTGAGAGGCTTAATTTTAATTTTAGAGTTAGTTTTTGGAGTTTTTGAAATAATAATCGTTTGCAGGCTTCTATAGGATTTCAAAAGGCCACTCTGACACAAATTAACTATAACAGATGCGAAAGAACACCGAATTACGCGTTCATGTTTCTGTGACCTTCAGAAAGAGTTCATAGACAATCCGCATCAATGTATAGTTTGGGTTATTATTTGTTTGGGTGAAAATATAATCTGCACCAATGTGTTATCGAGGCATACAAAAAGGTCCACAGACTTCGAGACATACGAAAAATCAAGTCCATTTAGCGTGTGTCGCAATTTTCACACCTTAAAAAAATAGTTTTTTATAGCTATAGCAGCTTCAGCGACTATGAAAAAAGCTGTGTGATTTTCATAGAAAATAAGGGCACCTGTAATTAATTTGAGAATGTTATAAATCGCTAAAAGAGGTTTCAAATCTCTTGGATTTCTATTAATATTAAATAAATTTTATTAAAAATTGAACTAAAATTGTTAGTATCATTAAAAACAATTCAAATTCAAAAATTGTATCAGTCAAATTCCCTCATTTAAGGTGAATATTAAAGTAAATATAAATACAGCTCATTCTAAGCTCTACTTATCTTTAAGAAAAATTTAAATCATTGTTGCAATTGGGCCTTAATGCCATTTCGAATGAACAATAGTATTAATAATGTACATTATAATAATAATAAATTTTATAATATAGTGTGTATTAAAACTACTAAAACACTTTTAAATTGGTATTATATTAACAACTTTTGTTTTTTAATCCAAAAAAAAGTTACCAATTTTCTCAATCAAAATATTTGTGGTCCTGAAAAGGACCTTCGTTTTCCCATGTTCGTCAAGGTAGGTAATGGGTAAACGGTAAAAAAACAGGATAATAAAATTTAAAAAATTACAAAAATTGTTCAAAAGTGCCTCTCTCTTGCATTAAACCAAACGATCATAAAATCCCCTCCTCACATTGGATAACATATCAGGGGTGACAGTGTCAAAGGCATTAAATATTTTCTGCCTTAACTGCTCCAAGTTTTGAATTTCTTCATGGCCGTAAATTTTAGATTTTATGTACCCCCATAAAAAGAAATCATTCACCGAGAAGTCAGGTGAAATTAAACGTCAGTCTAAACAAAACTGTCATTTTTGAAAACTTGTCAAAATTTGGACACACGCTAAATGGACTTGATTTTCCTGTCTCGAAGTCTGTGGACTTTTCTGTATAATCTCACAGTAATTTAATAGATTGCTCGTCATATTATATCAGCTCGTAGGAGATTAGGATCGTTACATTTCTATTGGTTCTATCGGACTTTTTTCGACTATATAAATCTTTATTTTTTGTAAACTTTAATGCATAAAATATTTTCAATCTAATAAATAATTTATTGATGTAAATAAGAGGAAATTTCTCACATGGGTGGTCAAATTCTATAGTTTTCATTATATCAAACAGCCTCTGAATGTTTTCTTCAGTGCAAAACTCATCATTTAATATAAATAATTTTTTCAGCCTGTAAATAAAATGAACAAATTTTTCCACTTTCATGATCAAAGGCTTTTAAATGGGTAAATAATTTCGAGTTATCCAGAGATTCGGACAAATATCACATTGATGTATTTGAAGACCCTTTTTAATGATGTAGTCAAACATAATTAAAGGCATTTTGAGTTGAAAACATTTCTCAGAGGCTGTTTGATATAATGAAAACTATAAAATTTGACCACCCATGTGAGAAATTTCCTCTTATTTACATCATTAAATGATTTATTAGATTGAAAATATTTGATGTATTAAAGTTTACAAATAAAGATTTATATAGTCGAAAAAAGTCCGATAGAACCAATAGAAAGGTAACTATTTTGTCACATTTTTCATTAAATTTTGTTAATTAAATTAATTTTTTATACTATAATTATCTTTTTTTTCCTTATAAATAAACACATTTGCATCCCATTTTAAATAAGATATACAAATTACCAAAACTTAGAAATAACAGTTCAAAAGTTCAACAAAAATCCTACACCCGTTTTTAAAAAGAAACATATAACCACGCACTATGTCATTCCAGCAAGCGAATACCACACAGCATAGGTTTCCGGACTAAACGACTGGTGTAATTACACCACTCAATAGGCGTGTCGGGTTTGCCGAGCGGTTTCCGATGCAGTCGCTTTCTTTCGCATCTGTTATAGGTAATTTGTGACTCTGATGCCATTTTTTTCGTTATACGACTCTGTATTTTTTTAAATAGGATCTGCCTGATGATGAAGTAGAAAATTTAGCTGAAAACACACTAATATTGTATATGAACGAGGTGATCAACTGCGATGTGATCTTGAATCTACAGGAAATACTTCCAAAATGTATCAAGTCAACATTTCGAGACCCTGTATTGACAGTCTTAGAAGATATCATCTGTTATCCTGATGAATTTCAATTAGCTTATGTAAGTTTATTAGTTTTAATGGATTTCACACAAATACTTTTTTTATTATTTATGTTTCTCATACCCTGCGATCGAAAAAAAAGGCATCAAAGAGGGATGGGGAATGAAAATCGATGGTAATTTTGGTGAGGTTAAGCACTAGACGTCATGACTTGGCACATACTCTTCTTTATTTGCTAATTGCGCTTAGTGCCTTTTAAATCTTTCTATCATTATTAGTGTTAAGTTTTATGTAAATTTTTGCTAAATGATATCTAGAGATAGACCTCGCCAAAAATTATTATCGACTGTCATTCCCCAGCCATCTTTGACGCCTTTTTTTCGATCATACGGTATTTTTGTATTGTTTTCAGGACAAAATCAAGGGAAATATAGATTTCAATGAAGATGTACTGATGCTTAGAGGAATGGATTGCATAGTTAAAGGTATACAGCAATCTTTAATAAGTTTAATATAAAAAATAGTATACAGGGTGTCCCTGTATACCCTGTTATTAGTTTCTAAAAATAAGTATAATATCTTCAATATTTATTTTCACACTCTACATCTCATTTGTGAAACTAATGGGGGAAACCGCTGGGGAAGTTGGTGTACAGAAAGGGGGAAGTATGCGAGGAAGTACGGGAAGTATGAAAGAAGTTGGTGAAGTATAGAGGAAGTTTAGGAAGTATCGAGGAATTTTTATAACGCTGGCTGTTTTTGGTAGCCGATTCTAAAGTGGATTAATAGAAATATATTTTGAATTACATACTTTGGTTTAACGGGGAAGTATTAAGGAAGTACGGGGAAGTATTAAGGATGTACGGGGATATATTGAGTATGTATGAGGAAATATGGGGAAGTATGAGGAAGTATTGAGGATGTTAAGGAAGTATTAAAAGGGACAGAAGGAAGTAACTCAAGTTGGTGGCAAGTTGGTCAACGTACATTTTTCATCCATGGGTGTACTAAAATATCCTTATCAGAGATTCTTTTCTTTGGTAGCAAAACTAACATCTTCTTAACTAAGTCTTGTACTTCAGCTGATACATCTGACCATTTCTCAGCCACCATGTGATAATTACCGTTCACTATTTCAGTTCTTAGTAGCGCGGCGTCATTTGATCTAATAAAATAGAAAGACAAAAAAATATAAGAAAAAAAGAGATAAAGTAAAAAAAATATGAAAAAAAATAAAAAACGTTAAAAAGAAAGTAAGAAAAAAAGAAAGAGAGTAAGAAAGAAGAAATAATAAAATTGTAAGAAATGACAGTGATAAAAAGGAAAGCGAGAAAAATAAAAAGAGGAAAAAATAAGAAACAGAAAAAAGTGAAAACAAATAAAATAGAACAATATACATAGATAGAAAGAAGACAAAGATAGATAGAAAAAAAAACAGATACAGATAGGAAAAAATGAGCTACAAAGAGAAAAAATGCAGAAAAATAATAAAACAGAGTTAAAAAGACCGCGAGAAATAACAAATAGTTGAAAAATAAAAAGAAAGAGAGAGCAAGCGAAAATAGAAAGAAATATAATAAAAGCTACATAGGGAAAACATCGATTCAGGAAAAGAATAAAAGAGTTAAAATGAGAGAAGCCGAGAAGAGGAGGTGGAAAAAAAGAAGAAAAGAGGAAATATAAATAAAAAGAGTTAAGAAAGAAGAAAAAAGAAATATAGAAAACTAGCAAACAAAAACTGCTATAAAAAGAAACAGAACAAGAAGAGAAAATAATAGAGAAGAAAGATTAATTAAAAGTGTAAAGAAGAAAAGACAGCATTAAAAAGACAGTGAGAAAAAATAGAGAGGAAAAAATATGAAGAAAACAAGAGCTACAAAGAGACGAGTTACAAAAGTCGGTGTGAAGTTGGTGTACAAAATTTAGGTCAGCGGTTTCCCCCTCGTGAGCCACCTTTGTTCCATTTGAAAAAATCGAGATATGATTAAAAATACCATTTGGGCATCTCTTAACCGGCCAGGACAAGACACGAAAAACATTAGACGATCAAATCTATTTTTCCAAGGCTCCCTAATTTAAAATTAGTGGTTTTAACGCAGCCATGGCACAAATTTAAAATACTTTTTTAATTGAATATGTCAAAAGTTGATATATGATATGTCATTTCAGACTCAGAATGTCATAAAAAATAATACCATTTAGTAATCAAAAGTTGTAGTGATTTCCGGTGAAACAGGAAGTGACCAAAAACAATTGAGTACGTCAATCAATCCTAATTTATGTCATATACTAACATACCAAATCTCGATTTTTGTGATCGAGAAGAGAGAAGTGATGGAAACTAATTGAATACGTTAATTAATCCTGATTTATGTCTTACTAAAATACCAAATCTTGTTTTTTTATCAAAAAAAACTTATACGGGTGAAATTTTGGAAAACATCCGGTATAGAAATTACTAATTTTTATTTTGCCGTGATTAAATTATGAAATGAAAATTCCAGACGTTTTGAAGAACGAGAGCGACGCTTTCAGGGGAAAGTGCAGAAGTTGGATAAGAGCCAATTACAGAAACGGAAAAACCTATTTCGCAAATGGTTCAATAAGGAGAAAATCCGGAAGAAAATTAATTTTTATGCCAGCTCAAGTAGTTTAAGTACAAAAATATTTTGTATTAGTATTACTTCATTTATTTACAATCAAATAAAAACTGTTTTAATTTGTTTAATTCTCATTTTTATTATATTATACCCAAAAATACGTGAAAAACATTTTTAGAACTTATACATACATACAAAACGAGGCCCAGTTGGCTTGGAAATGACGATCGATGACATTCCTCATATAATTTTATATACAGGGTGGTCCGAATTGTATTCCAGAAACTTCGGCAGCATATTCTGCAGATAAAAATAGGTAAAAGAGTTCGTATAAATGTATGTCCTAAAATGCTTAGTTTCGGAGATACAGGGTGTAGAAATTTCATTTTCATTTCGATTTTTTCCAAATAATTTCTGAGGTACCGTCAATATTTAGATGAAAATTGGTGTCTGGGAGTTTTTTGACATGAGAAATTTGATTTTGATGTCAATATGACTCCTACTAGTAGAGGGCGCCACCTACATGTGTTTTGACTGTTTTGAAGCGCAATAACTTCTTGTCTGTACCTGTATAAAACTACCGAGTGAAAAAATATACATTCACGACGTTTTCCACGCAAAAAATATCTCTTTGTAAAAATCGCTACGAGCAACCGTTCTCAAGATATTTAGAATGAAAATAATCAATACATGTCATGATTGACGAAAAATAAACGTTGAGTAGATAGTTATTTCAGTGAAATAATAAATTTGGGAAAATTTTATTTTTTTAAATTAATCATAAATTTTTCTCCAAAAAATGACGATAAAACAGTTTCTGTTAAACTTTTAGCACAAAAACATTTCAAATTTATGATTTCAGTCTAATAACTATTTAGTCAACGTGTTTAATTTATGTCAATGATGACAGGTATTGATAATTTCGATTCTAAATATTTCGAAAACCATTACTCGTAGCCTTTTTTACCAAGAGATCTGTTTCACGTGGAAAACGTCGTAAATGTATATTTTTTACTCGGTAGTTTTATACAGGTACGGAAGAAAAGTTATTACTCTTCAAACCAGTTAAAAAATATGTAGGTAGCGCCCTCTACGAGTAGGAGTCATATTGACATCAAAATCAAATTTCTCATGTCAAAAAACTCCCAGACACAAATCTTAATCCAAATATTGACGTTACTGCAGAAATTATTTGGAAAAAAATCGAAATAAAAATGAAACTTCTACACCCTGTATCTCCGAAACTAAGCATTGTTGGACATACAACTATACGAACATTTTCACTTATTTTTATCTGCAGAATATGCTGCCGAAGTTTCCGGAATACAGTTCGCACCACCCTGTATAAAATGACAGCGATCTGCATTTCATAGCCATCGCTGACGCAGTTTATTTTCGATCATATTGTACCAGACGGTCGAAAGAAAAACGGCGTCAAAGACGGCTGAGGAATAACAATCGATAATAATTTTGGCGAGGTCAAGCCATAGGCGTCATTTACTGAACCCGTTCTCTTCTATATTTTTCAATGGTGCTTACTGCCAGTTTGTTTGACTGCCAGGACAGTGGTCTTGAGATGGTTGCAAATTATTTATTAATTTTTTATTTTACATGTAAAAAACTATTTTTTACCTGTGAAAAAAATATTTTTTAATTTATTACTTTTCAACATTTCAGACTATACTTTTTCAAACATCTCCTTGGTTCACGTCAGAGAGAACACTAATAACTAAAGTGAGAGAGACCGATCAACGTTTATTTTTGAAGCCTGTGTTAGTGGCGCGGCCTTTGGCGTCTAACCCGAGCTATGAGCGCATTATCGATATAGTAGATTTCATTCATACCTATATACTGGCGCCAAAATTTTAAAATTTCTATATTTGAACCGAATCTTAATCTTTCAAGTTTATAATAAGAAATCTTCGTAGTTTTTTTAGATTATTTTGTTGACAACGAAAATTTATTATTAGACTTTAAAGCATTAAAACCTATAAATAAAATACTGTGTAGGAACATAATAATTTATTTAACTCCATACTCCTTGCCATACTCCAACTCAAGGCTGCAATCTTCAGTATCTTTATTATCTAACTTGATTGGGAGTGAACAGGGAAGCACGGTTGGGAGCTCGCATAGAGTATCAGTAGGTATCCCTTAGGTATTCAATGTTTTTGATAGTCTTTATTCTATAACAAGAACCTAGCAGTTAAAGAAAATAATTTGTATTACTGGAAATAATACCAGGTATAACACCTAGTCGTGAAATCAGAAAAGAATGTGATGTTTTAAATTAAAAAAAATAAATTAGCAATGTACGATTATTACGTGCACTCACTATTACTATTAGGTATGTTAAAAGAATTACCGAGATAAAACTTACCTTTAAAGGAAAGTCTGGGTCTTTGTCTGGGTCTCAACCACAAAACAAAAATTACAAAAATGCCGAATAATCGTGGCATCTGAAATAATCAATAATGACAATAATCTTCTCTTCTAACAACCTAAAAGAACAGGCACGTTCAGTCAAAAACATTTTATTACTCCGATTTGCTCCGATTATCAACAGATTTTAGTTATCTCCTTCTAGAACTATGAAGTAGAAAAAGCTACTGACAATCTAATTAATCCTGTCAAATGTTTAACTTGCAAAGTTGAAAACTTCCTTTTTTGACTGCCTAAACGCTATGCGCGTCTGGGATGCGCGGTGACAAAATAAACTTCTACGTCTACGAAATGCCCTATTCCACAAGCTCTCTCACTTTAGTTATTAGCACAGATAACACATAGCTTACTAGATTGTTTTCTAGTAAAAAAGACCTTATTTTGTCACAACAGGTGACATTTTTTTGTTTTAAATCAAGTAGGTTTTAAAAAAACTACAATAGGTAAAAAAGTTTCTAAACAAATAGAATATCCAAATTAATTTATTTCCAATGACAATAATGTGTAAGTTTGTAATTAAAAGTTAGTTAATAAGAATAATAGGTGTAGTATATTTCAACATCATTCACTGGTTTTAAAAACATCAAAAAATATGCATGCGTTTTCATAGTATAAACACAGGTATAAATATGAATTGTTCCTTACGTTAGTTCTTATTGATATAAAAGCAAAAAAGTATAAAAATTAAAAGCTGCAATTTTATTAAAAATATGTTATTCTAACACATATTTTTTTAACTGTAATGTTCTAAATTGATCAAAATATAAATGTTATTTTTTTCCTAGGAAAAATAAAACTTCATAACTTAATTTTCATAAATAAATTTATTTCTATTAAATTTTATAGAGCAATTTGTATTACAGTTTTATTTCACATATTTTGTAATACTGCTTCGGTACAGTGCCCCATTGCTATCTGTGAGTTCATTTAAATTATGACGACATTACTGATCTAGAAGATAAAAATGTACCTAAGTACCTTAATATTATAATCAAAAATGGCTAATTTTGTAAATTATTACCTATAATGGTTAGATGAGTTATGAATGTAAACTTCTTTACGTTGATTTCTAGGGTAATACTAGCATTTTTCTTTTTTCATTGTATATCTTGATCTTGAGCACCTTCATTTTGTACAATAAGATTTGCCTATTTGTATTATTTGACTGAGCCTTTATTAAATTTTATTTATTGGAAAAAATATGGTCTTTTAAAAAAATGATTCTTGAAAAACACATAATTTGTAAATAACTATTTTTTTTTCAAACGTCACAAAAGTATTAATTTTTGCGACGTGATTGACAAATATAAAAAGTCATTTTAACGCCTATGCATAAAAGTAAAGCACTTTTACGCCTAAGCCTATAAAGTGTCAAATTCAACGAGCGTAACCATAGTTTCTCGATATATAATTACTAACAAGGTATCATTTTATCAAATCTTTTTATATTATTCGGAACGTTTGAAATTGTTTAAAAACTTATTTGTGGCGTTTGAAAAAAATAGCATGTTCTATTCGGAGTAAAAATGACTTTTTGTGCCTCGGCTGTACGAATATTTCAAATTTTTACTCCTAATAAAACAATATACTATATCCTCATTTTTCTTAAATTTTAAACAGAACCTTTATAATAAGGTGTCATTTTCAATAACTAAAAAAATATAGTATTAAAACTGAGAGTAACAGGAAATTTTTCTGAAAAAAAGGCAACAGGCGGTACAATATTGCGCGCGCTTTTCATTGTACGAGATTCCATGCTTCGGGAAACTTTTCAGTCAGTTTTTCCAAGAGTATCAGCATGAACGTACGTCAATATCAGACTTGAAATAGTTCGCGACATCGAAAAGTTTAAAACAAAAACTTTTGAACTAAATAGTTAAACATTATTTTTTAAACAAAAAGTGTTTGAAAACTTTTAAAAGTGTCTAAAATATTCTAGAAAATGTTAAAAATATTTTATTCTACAGTAAAAAAAATAAAATGTGAAAAGAAAATTTACTTATGTATCAAAATGTGTTCGAAATAAAATATTAATAAAAAAAATTAAAACTATTCAAAATAATATAATCAATATAAATTGTGATGACTATTAAATATAAGTGATATTAAGTGTTTACATTTACTAAATAAAAAAGTGATGACCAAAAAATACTTTTTTGGTGTATAAATTCAAAATTAAATGACTAGTGTGTTCAGACATCAAATGATACTAATATTTATATATAAAACTATTATCTATTTAATACACTGACAATAAGATTTTTTAAAAGCCAAGAATCCAACAATAAGTATAATAAAGAAATATATTTTACATAAAAATAAAAAAAAATATATAAATACATATACAAATGACAATTAAGAAGAATAAATTAAAAAGAAAAGGATAACAAACTAAAAAACAAGACAAACTACAGAAGAGTCAATGAGAATATATAATGTGACCAACTGAAAAAGATTTTGGAGAGATACTTAAACAGAAATGTTGAAAAAAGAACTTAAAATAGTTAGTTAAAAAATAAGGCTTCAAATGTAGACTAGCAACACAACAGCAACTATAAAAACACATTTCAAACTGCAAAACTACTACCATTTTTATAAAAATAAAAAAGACAGACAATAAATTTTAAATAACATTAAAATTATGTTTTTTAAAAAAGTATAAATAAGAACTGAATTAAAAGTTGGTTGGTGAATTTAGACAGATATAACATTGAAAGGCTTCATGTTAAAACAAAAATGTAATTATCAAAACACGGAGAAGAACAAGTGGACAAGAAAAAAATAAAACATTTTTATAAACTCTAGTTATAAAAATGTGAAACTAATAAATAATTAAAACAGAAGAAAGAATGAGTTGAAATAACAAGTTACCCAAAAATATCTTGAAATCATCTATAAACATCAAAAAAAAACTAGCTATGTTCAATGTTCCTCTTACTATGACAAACTTCTTTGAAATGATGTAAATCTACTGTAACTTCATTCGTAATAAAGAAAAAATCTTTCACTCCTAAATATGTATTGAAAGAGGATGATATAATATTCTAGAAAGCTTCTACAAAAACTTTATCCAACCATGTCCAACATTACTCTTTACTGTGATTTAACAAGTTTCTCCAAAAGATACGAATCCATTCATGGACCTCTAAGTCTATCAGTTTGTATATTTGGATCAGTAGCCAATGTCCTTAACATCTGTGTCCTAACCTCCAAGGAAATGCGATGGCCTACCAATCTCATTCTCACTGGTCTAGCTGTTGCTGATTTATTAGTAATGCTCGAATACCTACCTTTTGCTGCTCACAGATACTTCGATAGTGAAGGTAACAGATACGTTGAAAACTTCTCCTATGGATGGGCAGTTTTTACTATTTTCCATGCTCTATTTAGTCAGGTTTTTCATTTTGTTTCTTGCTGTCTTACTGTCATTCTTGCTGTGTGGAGGTACATAGCCATCACCAGTCCACAGAAAGCCAGAAGGTATTGTGAAACTCGTGCAACTTTCTGTGTTATTTTAGCTACGTACTTGATATGTCCAGTAATATGTACACCTTTGTTTTTGTCCTTGAGGATACTGACTTATAACCAAACTTGTGACAGACAAGGAAGAATCTTGAGTAAAAAAGATCTAGAGACTTTCACCGGTGTTACAATGAAGAGACCTATCTACATAACTGACTATGTTAGTGAGGAATACAAGTACGCGAGTTTCTGGGTTTATGGAGTGGTAATAAAGTTAGTACCCTGTATTTTGCTGACGCATCTGTCAAGAAAACTGATCGTGGTGTTGCTGGAGACAAAGAAGAGACGGAAGATGTTGCTGACTTCGAGTATACCGATGCAAGAATATGATTCCAGGCCGTTTTTGAAGAAGAAGATTGATAATGTGAGGCAAGCTGACAGGACCTCTGGGATGTTGGTGGCCATTTTGTTGTTGTTTTTGATCACGGAGTTCCCGCAGGCTATTTTGGGGCTGCTGATGGCCACCAAGGGACAGCAGTTCGAGAAAGAATGCTACAGACCTTTAGGTAAGATAAAAATAAATTCTATTGATACAATTGTTATAATTTTCATTACATCCTCCAATGTGTTGCTATTGCCAAAATAATGACTTATTTTAAGATGATTACAAAAAACCTATTTTTTTTAAAGATTTTTTTTTGTTTTTCGAATATTCTGCTTTTTAAATTATAATACAGGGTGGTCCGAATTGTATTATATTGAAATAATTAGCGATTTGTTGACCAATAACAATGAATTTAGAAATCGCGCCTTCGATTACATAACTGAAAGTTTAATTGATATCAAATATATACTTTTTACATATTTTTTTCCTGCAGTATGCTGCTGTATATATTATCGGATACAATTCGGACCACCCTGTATATTAGATTTCTCTATGTTTACCTATTTCTCAGAGTCTACTTCCATGTATAATTTGTAGTTTTTTTTTTACTGAAAACTGACATTAAACAGTTATTTAAATTTCTACGTTTGTTATAAAGGGTTGTAAAGTGATCGTTATAGGGTTTAACCCTAAGGGAGGTTTTAAATTAGTTTGTTTTGTCACTTATATAGTTCTAACCCTTGTCAGACTGGTGGAAACTTTGGGCAACTTGGGAAAAAAAAGTTTAAATATATTTACAGTTAAAATATTACAGATGTTCAATTTGAATATCTCATTATTATTTGTGTTTGCCCTTCAATTAACCAAATTACATACATTTTAAAAGCAAATATTCGTATAAAGAACGTATAGTCTCTTATTGGAGCAAAAATAAATACATATATATTACGTACGCTACATATATGAAAGATATACGGCAAAAGATGAAAGTTAGCTGGCTGTTGTTTGATATAGCTCGAAGCGAGAAGTTCTTTGGGGCAATTTTCGCCAGAATTGTATATTTTTTCGCTCGTTAAATCCCAGACGTATTTTTCTCGTTGTGTAGATTGCTTTTTCTACCGTGTTTTAAAAAAGTCGTGATTTTTCGCTATATTAAAAATATTCTTTGCCATTTTGCGGATTTCCAAGTGTTTAGACGTCTGGCAACATAAAAAACCTAAGAAATATGTTTGAAATTGTCTCTTTTTGTTAGCTAATGGAAGATGATTTGATCTTCAAAGAAAGTACAGATTGTTTCGTTATATTTAGATATAAAAGAAATACGAATTTTTATGTTTTGTTCTGATGTATACTAATTGA